CCCCTTCTACATACAATTGGCACACTTTTCGTACACTGAACGATGGAAATAGGTCAGGGAAGCGTAGGCCTGTCGGTCCTAATGATCCAGAAGTGTTAGTTTTTGATTCAGTCACACTGCATAAGGAAGCTTTACGGTGTCGGTGTCCAGAACAGCCTTATTTAGCTTGACCGACTTGCGCAGATGTGCCAAAAGGCTAACGAGATGATCTTGTGCCGGATGAGAATAGGGAACCTTCAGCGCCAGATCGATCAGAGTCCAGGAGAACGCGGTGTGTTCGGTCGATGCGCTGCCTTCTTTGCCCTCATCCTTTGGGTCGATAGAATGCAACATCGCATCGAGTTGCGTAAGAGCGTTGGAGAATGACTTGGGATCATTTTCACATGTTTCAAGGTAGTGCTGAAGTATCCTGTGGACCTTCAACACAGAGGTTTGCCCGCATAGTGCGGTCACTTCGGGGTCGGTCTCGTCAATGCTAAAGTCGATAGTCGACATCATGGAAAGCCTAGGTTTTGTTCGCCAGTGGAAGCAGCAGAGTAGAAAAATACGGGTAGACGTCTGGACATCATAAGGCTAAAGTGATCCCCATCAAGGCTGCGGGGGTGCACCCCCGCCTCAAGAGGGTTATATGACTTCATATCAACAGAGTATAAGCATAACACAAATTCTTTTTACGGCATGTATATGTCAAGTTTGTAAGCTGATGCCTCCACTATTGGTGTTTCTACTTCTGCATCAAGGGCTATCTTATGTCTTCATGTTTATTCTCCTGTCACCAAGGCTAGCATACCAACTTCTTAACATAATAATTGATACCGAGCATATGTTCACCTATGCCACATTCCCCAGATCCTACTATAAAAAACAGTGGCTGCAGTTCCAGGTCTCGCTCGGGTCAGGGTCCCTACTGCAGCCAAGCGGGGTGGTTCAGCAACATGCAGCCCGAGAAGATCCCCTAGACGATCGACCGGTACACGGCCGAGATGCGCGGGGTGAGGGCGTCCTGGACTCGGTGCTTCAGAAAGAGACGCTGCATTGTCAAAATATAGACAAAAACAGTATATCAACTCAATCAACGGATTGGTATAAAAGAGAAAGAAAAAAACATACAACAGTAGGGATTCGCTGGTGGTCACCCACCCAACTACTAACCTACCGGCGTGTGGCTTAAGTACGGCTGAGCGGACGGGAAGCCCTGTTTTCCACACCCTGTGGTCGTATGTAATGGTACTGTAATAATAGGGGCCTATATACCCTAGGTGAGTAGTAGTAGTTGAATCGCAGTGAATGTTAACAGTATATTATACACCGACTGGCCTCCTCCTCCTCTTCTTCCTTTTCCTTCTCTCTTCCCCCGACGTCAGTCCATAAGAGGGGCCTCCCTTTTTTGGTTCCGCTATTGAATATTGTCTTCTCTTTTCTTCTCCCCTTACTTTGATTTTTTTTTCTTTATTTCTGCCTCTTTTCCCTCTGCCTGGTTGCACCCTTCCCTCTCGCTCCCCTCCTCGGCAAACCACGCCCTGTCCAAGCTGCCTGATTCGCGGTGCCTGATCCAGCGTTTAAAGGCCACTGTTCCCCTCCTCCCCCTCTTTTTTGCAGATAATCACGCAGCCAACGCATCGTCAAGTCCGCAATGGACCCTGTTGGCTGGCCCCGGCGCTGAACCGGACTGGCGACTTGCTTTTGTGGGATGATCGACGGCTGCCGACGTCCGACATCCTTATCAGTGGTGAGCAGACACAGAGTGTTCACTCTTTTCACATCTCCCTTTCCCTCTCTCTAGGTGAAGCTTAGCGAGAAGAAGCTAAGATCTTATATTGATAATTTCATATTGCAGCTGATTTCCCTTCTCTATCGTTAAGATCACGATTCACGTCGCAACGTCCCCCCTGATACCCCCGTACCCACCACTCCACGAATTGCTACGAACAAACCCCCCTCTTTTTGTTTGCCCCTCATGCTCTCGACTATCCCTCCTCCACGGCCTGTGTCGGTCAACTCCTTGGCCAGACTCCCGGCCTCCCCTTCCCTCACGTACCAGAAAACGGGTCGAAGCACCAGTGGAGAGATCCCCGCGTACGATGGCCCGAACGACCCCCCTCCTGCCGTGACACGTCCTTTGGAGTGTTCCGACGCCGACGACACAGAAATGGAGGATATCTCCCTGGCGGCAGAAGAGCAGAGGCCGGAGAATCGCACGGGGATTCGCTTCGAGAATCTGCCGATCGAGATCCATGAGGCTATTCTGGATCACCTATTCGGAGAGCGCGTGTCGGCCAGCAGTGCAGGCGGTTCAACCATTCGTAGCTGGGCCAAAGCACTTCGTCATCCGCGACGGAAGGTCCTCTCAAATCTTGCTCTTATCTGTCCCGTGTGGAGACAGCTAGTCCAGGGTCGTATCTATAGACATAGTTTGTCCCCTCCCCCTCCCTTTAAGATGGTGCAGGTTGAGAGTGCTAACTGTTCTCTTCCAGTCAAAGTCAAAGGTACTATCGATGGCTTGGCGGAATCTACTACATGGTTTCAGGAGCACCCGTATCTTGCTGCCCACGTCCGTCATATTGAGATATGGGTACCCGTGTGGGGGAACCGCGCCAACAAAAATGCGGCGTTGCATCAGCCCCCTGCGCGGCGCTATCAGAATGAGGACACGGGACTAGCAGATGTCACCGCAATGCTCCAAGTGTCGATGGCTTGGGTCACGAGCGATACGCACCATGGAAACAATTGTAACTATCATTACGCCAGTCACAATGCTACCATGGAGGAAATCTTCGACCACGTCCAGGATCACTTCAGTGACGCGCGCATTCTCACGCTCGAGGGCGGCCACTGCAAGAAACCGCCTATGATTCTCCATTTTCGCAGCCCCATGTCGGACGGGAAGCATCTAGCTGAACTTCCGAACATCCAGGTTTTTGTCATGAGAGGCGCGTGGAATATCATGCGAGACTATGAGCACTGGTGCAACATCGCTCGCGCTCTGCCCTCTCTCCGCGATTGGGACTGTGCGTACGCGAAGCCCAAGCCGGAGTGCTACGGCACACTCTCGAAAGTCCTGACCACCCTCCCAATCTCTCTGTCCCACATGAACATCAACCTCGATGGCTTCTACAGCAAGGACAACATCCAGTCTGCCTGGTTTGGTGGGGACGGCTCCAATCCTGAGCCACACCTTTGCCGACTTTTGGGAGAGGTGGCCCCCCGGCTGGAGACTCTGACCTTCACCGGTAAGCTGTGCGTCTGTGTATTCCACGCTGCGCGACTCGTCGCATCCAAGCTTCAATCCGAAGCGCGACTCAAGTCCCTGGATCTAGTGGTCAAGACGTGCTGTCGCGAGAAACGATCGGACCTCGGTCTTCCGCTTCTGGACGACGCGGCCGGTATCACAAATCTGCGTTTTATCCGTTCCTTTGAGAAGTTGGTGATAGGCGCTATTCGAGCTCTCGAGTTCTTCCCACGGCTCGACTGCATCCGCATCCGTTTCATCGACCTGGATTCCGCATGTCCCCTGCTCAACCCATACTTCCAGATGACTAAAAACCGCTGCACCGGGATTTGGAGCCCTGCCATCCTCGACGCCCTCGCCGACGTGCGCCCGCAGGCCTATTACGTCGAGCTGGCCGATGGAATCTATCCGCAGTACGGCCCGAACCATCAGATCGTGGGCGCTGTCTACCCGCGTGCCCGCCCACAGAGCATCCAGGTAAACATGTACAAGATCATTGCCGATGCGTCCAAGCCATGAGAACCCCTCGTTCCCGTCGTTTTTGCAGTGCATGTAGACCACTGGCTGGCCATCTTTGTCTGTTAGCGAAATACCCCATTTTACCAATCCTAGCCTTTTTCCAAATACCCCCATTTCTCGCATGAATCAGCCGTCGCCCGCTTTTCCTCCCTTTCTTTATTTTTTCCCGAAAAAAAGATGCCATGTTGTTGCAGCGCAATAATCTGTATTTCTGATTTTTCCTTTCAACTCTTATTTCGTCTTTTCTGCAACCTAATAGCGTGCTGCCAGTCAGCGTCTTGCGTTGTTTTATTATTTTTTTTTTTTTTCGAGGTTCACCTAGTGGACTACATCCAGCAGATTTCAGCACACTCTTATCAATGAAAGAGAGAAAAAAAAAGAATACATTCCATTCCATGATTTAAAATTGTGCATAGAAAAGGTACTTTAAGAAGTCTATTTATATGATTTTAGTGTGCAGAACTAAATTTTGACTTTCCCATCTACACCCTGCACATCCTGGATGATGATACCCAGAATCCAAATATTGACGGCAAAGAAAAGCAAGCCAGACAGGAACAAACCGGGGACAAAGGACGAGATGCCAAGGAACTCGAGGCGGAAGCCTTGATGCAGCCAGAGACCCTAGACTGTTAGCATGATACTTTTTGTCTTGAGAAAGAAAGGCGATAGATACCTGTCCGATAATCCATAGAGATAAAGCGAGGAAACCGAGGAGAGGACGTTTCCGCATGGAGGAATTGGGGAGGTAGAAGGGGAGGAAAACGAGGTACCACAGGAAATACTGGCGAGGTCAGTTATGTTTTTTCCTTCCTCTTTTTTGTGCTTATAGACATACCTGACTGGTGCACACTTTGTTAAAGGTGACAAAGGCAAACGTCTGCGCGAGCATCGCATCGGGCAGACTCCGCTTTGCGAGTACGAGCGGGATGACCACCACAGACAGGAGGAGCTGCGGAAGAAAGGCGAGCGACTCGAAGCGAAGATGGGCATCCCCTGCGGCAGCGAGATAGAGCAGAGTGCTGTACGGGGAGAAGTTGTGGCGGTGGTCGATCCGCGTCAGGTGGTGGAGGTACGTGTGCTGCAGGAAGGGGGCGCCGTAGAGAACATACATGGCTGCGTTGAGAGCCATGAACACCACAAGGGCAACTATCGTGAGCTGCAAACGCGCTGGAGTGCAAAAGTCGAGCGCTTGGGAAAGCAGACTGCTGGGCTGGCTTGTTTTCCTCTTCTGCGTGGTGCTTCTTGACTTTGCCGCCGACCCGTCATGGTTCGCGTCCAGCCACCAGAGAATCGACGGCCCGTAGATGAACGGATAGATCTTGAAATGAACCCCAAGCCCAAGCAAGATCCCCGCCAGCGTGATTCTCCGGTTGAGCACCGCCCACAGAAGAGCTGCAACCAGCACGCCGAGCAGACCCTCCGAGCTGCCCCGCGTGCTGATGTTGGCCACCATAGGGTTCAGCACCCAGACGCTCGCGTACCGCAGGGACCTGGACGGACTCATCCCATACTGCTGCATCAGCACCTTCGTGATCAGCCAGCCGGCAAGGAGGTCCGCCGCAGCGAACAGCGCCTTGCCAAAGGAAAACCACCACCACGCCGTGGGGAGCAGCATCCACGCCAGCAGCGGCGTGTACCGGTATGTGTCACGGGCGTATGGTGACTCACCGTGCGAGACGTACCGCGCCGCATCTGTAAAGACCATGTAGTCGATATCCGTGTATTTCACGGGGGAATTAGCATCCTGCCAGATCCCGTAGAACAGGAGGACGACACGTAGCCCCGCGGCGGTTGAGAATACCTTGACGGGGGACTCGAAGAATGCCATCCCGCTAGATTCGCTCGAATGATTCGGAGACATATCTGCCTTTGTTTCCTTTTCTTTCTCTATGCTTCTTTTCCCTCCTTATATAATGAACTCGGATGTAAACGATGTCATGCAGCAGCAGCACTGTGGCAGGCTGTTGGTCGCACCGGCTCAAATGAAATCAACTTGCGTCAAATCACGAGTTCTGTCATCGATTACGATGGTGTCTCTCTCACCAGAAGCTTTGAAGCCTTTAGACTGGTGGACGGTATGCGATGCAATACAAGAGGATGCCACAAACAACGGATGTTCTGAACGTGTCGTGGCTGAGTCATCACCTGCTTATGTCATTCCTGACAAATCTCATCTACAGCCTGTAGTTAACTATAACTAAACTAACCATACTCAAGATCATGACATTTTCATTTCTTTACAGTGATGGGATCTAGAGGTTTTCCCTGGATCTAATGTAGCCTGTATCTATATAGCTAAATAATTATGCGGGCTAGGGTGGCATTCAATAAGCTTTCAAGGACGGATACAATCTCCTGCATAGTGTAGTAGTTATATAGATAGTAGAAAGTAAGCAATATTACTAGTAATTTCGAAAAAAAAATATCACCAGCGGTATCATGCTCCATATTTTACCCAACCAAAAAAAACAAGCAGAAGATTCGTAGAGGCCATCCACCAAATCAAATAGGTATCGTATATCAGTGCTCATTGGAGTTGGTTGGCTAGTGATATGTGGTGGCAGAAGGGGTCGGGAAGTACGTAGACTCATGCAAATTGTCGAAAAATACATTTCCACTTGGGGAATACTTGGCATCCTTCTCCTCTGGATTGAAGAAGGAGATGGCGTCGACGATGTTGTCCGACTCCGGGAATCCGGGCCATAAGGTGTTATCGCTCCAGCTAAGATAGTCCCAAATGTTCTGGTTCCCGGGCTCGTCCATGAACGCTCCGCTCGAATCTTCCATAAGCTCGTTCTGGATGACAATGTTTCGTTCAGGGTGACTTTGAGAGGTGGCGGCACCCTGGAACGCCGAGGGCATATTCTCCTCGTGAAGGCCCGGGTTGGTGGCGTTGCGAACCCCGTCAGAAACACTAGGCCCTCTTTTGCTGGCTTCCAGTATCCGGGTCACAACGTCCAGAGTGCGCGTGGCTGTAGGACTCCAAGGCTGTAAGCGTGCTATTGTGATCATGGCGCTCTCAACCTGGGCTTGACAGGACTCGATGCTGGCAATGGGGTCATCAGACGTGGTATCTTTGAGGAACAGCCCGAGAAGGGGAACCAAAACTGCCTGGAAGATCATCCAAACTCCGTTCCAGCCTGACATCTGGCTCAATCTGCTCTTCGCAGAGATATCTCGGATTGTTTCATCGGCAAGTGCGCGACACTTCTCGATTGCTGTACGCTCTTCAGATCGGAGAGCGATATATGGGACCCGGCGTAGAGCATAGCTCAACAGCGTGGGACGGTTGACTAGCATGCGTTGGTTCAGATATCTCCACCGCATGATGGTTCTTGTCATCGAGATCGATTCGATGCACGGCTCATGGTCCTTGAGAATAGCCGGGAGATTTTGATACCAGACATACAGTTGATGGTCCAGGTTGGCCATCTCATGGTATCTAATCAAGGGTGCTACCGCTAGGGCTTCCTGGACTTGCGTGGCGATCTTGCAGAACCTAATATTTTCGAGGATGGGGAGGATGGTGAGAACACTCTCCTGGCAGCGAGTTAGCTTCTCATGCGATTTCTGAAGTCAAAAGTTGGCACGGAACGGCATACCCTTTCGCGATACTGTGGTCCCTTCACAGTGATGGTTGGGCCAGACCGGCCCATGCTGGGCCGGCCCAGTGTTCCGGAACCCCAGGTGTCCAGGCAGAACAGTGACCACCACACTCGCCGCTTCAAATCCATCGAGGATGATCTTTGCCTTTCCTTTGCGTCCTGTGCGTCGGCGAATTCTTTGTGCAAGCCCAGTGCAGCAGCCATCCGAAGAGCCGCTCCCATAAGCGCATACGCGAGATTCGGCTGGCTGACGTAGTGTAGGTAATGACCACCCATAAGTCCGAGGGTCTGGATAGTCTCCAGATTCGAGCTACCCAGCGATTCGAGGCCAAGATAGCTCTTGGAACGTAAAAAATACGTATGGTGGGTCGTATCATCGGACGTTGTGGCCCCGATGCTGCCCAGGGCCAACACGATGTTCAGCAATCCGAGCCAACGGTTGTCCTTTCGGTGGCCAGAGAGATAGGTCTCGCGAAATACATATTCGTCCAGTATGGGGGTGAAAGGCTGAAAATAGGTAAAATAAGAGTTGATCATCTGCAATTCGGTAAGTGGCATTTGGCTTTGCGGTGGTGTGATGGGCTGCCGATGCGGACTTCCTCGCTGCCAGGATGATGTACTCGGGAAAGAGCAGTCAAATTCATGGCTAGCATCTAGAAGGCCAACAGGCGTCTGTGAAAAGTAATAGAGAGAGCCTGGATCCAGCCAGGCGATGACCTTAAGTACCGCATGGATCGACGATATGCCAAGGTACGAAGATGGCTGCTTTGTTGAGAGGGAGAGTGCGTTAACGTCGTCTGAGACTGAGTTCATTAGATATGCACCGTTTGATTCTCGGTTATCAAGGGATTCCTCTGGCATAGTCTGCAGTGATTCTAGGGTGCCATCTTCATTCTCGTATGTCAATGGAGAGACCTGAGCGTCGGTCGGGGAGGTGCCTGGAGACACCACATGCTGGGCCTGAATGTTCCGGGACGGCACTTTAACTCTTCGCTGAGTCGATTCATCTTCAATCAGCTCGAGCAAGTTCTCACGAGAAAGGTGCACCAAAGACTCTGGCGAGGTGTCTGGAAACAGCCTCGAAAGCACCGCACGATATTCGTCCAAAGTGGTCGACAGCTTTTCAACATGCCTATGGGACTGTGTCAAAGACAGATTCATTCGAGCGAAAACAAATCACTCAACCTGACTGGGCATAAATGAGATTGACAGAGATGAGTCTTACCTTCGCGACGGCCGTGGGTCCGAATAATGGCATGCATCGGCCTTTTTATACCACCGGCACGCTTCACACGGCTTCTCGCCATCACATTTGATTTTACGGTGCCGGCAGGACGTGCAAGCTCGCAAAGTAGTCACCCTTCTGCCAAACGATTCTCGTCGCTCCGCAATACGAACCGTGGGTATGGCAGAGCCGTCGGGGTTGTCGAAGCCTTCAAAGGTGTGGAACATGCTTGTAGAACACCAGAGGAATCTGACCAAGGTGCCGCTTTGAGTAAACTATTCAAAATATAGATCCCAGTGGAGACATTCTAAAAGGTCTGCTCGGGATGAACCGGTGGACAGCGAGGCCCGGGGTGAGAGATGGAAGGAGAGTCGAGACCACAGGGCAAAAGAAATCTGTCGTGTTTGATTCAAAGAAGGCCGATGATGGACTCTTCTCTTCTTCAAATGACCAAATTCATTTGATTCATGAAAGTAAATGAGGTGGTGGCGGATTCTTCAGTTTTCAAATAGTACCACTACTATTGAAAGCGATTAAAGCGGCGATCGTTGCTCAAAAAGAACAATGACAGCGACGACAATGGTGATTATATGGGGATACATCACAAATGATCTGCCACGGGCCTGGGCCACCGACAGGAAAACATGGAGAAACGGTGGAGGGAGAATTCAGGGTCCAGCAGCATGGGTTCACAGTGATCTCGAGGACAGACCGGAAGAAAGACTCTCTGAGAGGTGAGTTGTCCCCGCATGTTTGGAAATGGGGAGGCGTTAATTAAATTGGGTGCCACCCTCGACAGGATGGCACTCATTAGTACAACGTGCCAGGATCATTCCGGCAGTGCTAACAGTGGCACCATTTCCTAAAGGACGAATAGAAGCCACAAGACCCTCTTTGGCGTACGGTCAAGCAGGCGATGCCTAGGTACCAGGTGCTAGGTTGTGATTCTAGTGAATCATCTCCCCGCAAACAGGGAGAGCAGTCGACGTGCGAAAGCCAATCTCCACTGCTTTTTAGCCAACTAATCAGGATGGCTTCGGTAGACGACCGTCGAATCGTGGATGCTTGGCGCTCATCTGATCCCACCATTCCTGCCATCCCTCGGATCATCGCTTATGAGTAGCTTCCGGGGGCGAGTCTTGAGCTACATGGAACCTTTTGCATTGAAGCGTGGCGGCAAGGAACCATTTGTTGCACCTGTTGTTGAATGGACAATGAGCAGCCCCTTAAACCCTTGCGAGTTGGGACTGCTACTCAACCTTTTATGGCCCAGGCGCCTAAACGGAGTGTTAGAACTATGAGGAAACCATGTAATCCGGTAAACTAATGACCTGGAACCCTGTCCCAGACTGATTCTAGCAGCTACTGCCTCGTGAGAAACCGAAAGCATCATGTTGGTAACATGCATCACACGCCTCTGGCACCGTCTAGGCTACCAGAGTTGCGAACCGGCCAAGAGAACTCCCCTCCATGATTGTTTGTCGTAGTCGATAGCTACACGAAAGGACACATGTAACCGGAGCTCGCCTGTGAGTAACCCTAGGCCTCCGAACAACCGTGCAAGGCGACGACATACTCTGCTGTTTGAAGATGGGAGATTTGACGGACGTCAACCTCTGCTTGTTCAGACTTTACCAATCTAGAACCGCTTCAGACAGTCCATAGCAGTTGCCCACAAGCCATCACTGAACCGCGGCATACTCAAGAGACACGGAGGCAGGGCATTTGCCAAGCCCCGGGAAATCGGGAAACAGCTCCAGGAGAGATGAGTTCTCGGCTTAGAGTTGGGGTGGACAACTATTAGTTACCAATAGTCAAATGACATTGCTCCATGGCTAAATAGGCCTTGTGTGGCTGTGAACGGAAATTTAGCGTTCCAGTTCTTCACGTCGTATAATTGTATTAGTTCGTAGCTGATTTAGTTGGTCAGTGGTATCCGTCTCTGGAATGTATGGTCTATAGCCTTTGTTCCGGCTGTGATTGACTGGTATGTGCCTCGAGTCCTTTATATGTGCGGATTGCGATAGCCGCGTCTGACAACAGCAGAGAGAGATATGTTTTTGTCTCGGGGGTAAGTTGTACGATTCGATGTTACGGCCACTGCAACTGGCAGACTGGACCTTGCACCATTAAGTAGTTCATCGAGCCGGAAGCTTTGGAATGTACGGTCAATGTAATGCCATAATATCATCCTCGCATCGAATCGTGTAGAGTGCTGTCCCGCTGGAAGGCTCCAGGTTATGGCCGGCCATGTCGGTTAGATTAGGTTCGCGTCTTTGTCTCGCATGAAAACCGTGGTTCCCCAATGCCACGTAACCTTGTTTAGCCCGTTAGACTCACAGTTCCCCTCCGTACACACCGAGGGGACCGGTAAGACTGAACTGCTGACAGTCAATTGTGCAAGGCCAGGTTCATGTCTGCTAACCGTGAGTGGCTGCAAGCGCTGCCAGAACAGCACGCGAGGATCTTAGAAGAGAAGTGTTTAGACACAACCTTAGAAGAATACGCGCATTTCAAGCGACACAAGAAAGGACGATGGTTGACTCCATCCCTGAAGCAATGAAGAAGGTGAAGCTGGTCGACTCTTTTCCTCTGTTGGGAAGGAACAAAATACTCGGAATCGGATCAAGGAAAGTCCGAGGGAAGGGCCAGAAACGGAAAGTGCGGGGAAGCACCTGCCATAACAGTCAACATCTCACAGCTGAACAGCCTGATTTGGGAGATTTTGGACACTTTCGCTTCGCTTTTACGGAGGATCATTGCAGCTTCCAACTGGCTGAAGAACAGCCATCCTGGAGGTCCTCAGCTTTTTGAACTAACTGTTCTGAGCACGGAGGTCGCTCCGTGATAACATGATCGTGTGGGGCACGGAGGATTGTCCGTGGACCTTCCCTGGCTCTTCTTCGAGATCCAGTACTCGTTTATTTAGAGAGATGGCAGAGTGTCATTGTTTTGCTGGCTCTTTTCTCACTTTATCTGGCCAAATGAAGGCTGGATGGTGGTATCTCTATTCCAAGAAAACCGGTGTCTCATAACGAATCCCCTTCGCCCTTGTTCCTTGACGACAATGGCTCGATTTTTGAGCCAGTCCCTGTCCACGGGTTGGACTTTCAAAGAGACTCGAGATCAGGCGGAGGAAGCATGGATGCCCGTTCAGTCTGTGCCCTCTGTCGTGCATCAGGACCTCATAGCAAACAAGAAGTAGGTTTAGCCGATTAAGATTCGCAAGGAAGAGAGAGGGGACTGATTTCGCTGTGACGCGGTAGGCTGGAGGATCCGTTCATCGGCTTTAATGAACTGAAGGCTAGATGGGTAAATGAGAAATCGTGGACCTACCGGAATATCTTCCAGAAGCCTGCTGTGCCAGCGGAGTCGTCGATAGCCTTGGTGTTCGATGGTCTAGACACCTTTGCAACTGTCAAGCTCGACGGCAAGGTTATCCTGGAAGCTGATAACATGTTCCTTGCGCATCGCGTGGATGTTACCAAGGCCTTGGAAGCTGACGGTGAGCATGTGCTGGAAATCGATTTCGACTGTGCTATGACACGAGCTCAACAACTCCAGGAGCAGCATCCGGAGCATAAATGGGCGTGTTTCAATGGCAGTGGATCCAGGCTTGCTGTACGTAAGGCTCAATACCATTGGGGCTGGGACTGGGGCCCGCTGCTGATGACTGCGGGTATATGGCGGGATGTGCATCTGGAAGCATATACCGCGCGGGTCGCAGATCTCTGGGTGGACACAAAACTTGCGCCAGATCATCAGTCGGTCGATATCACTGTCCATGCTGACCTGGATGTCCCGGTGTCAAGTTCTTGCAAGATCAGTTTCACAATCCGTCTCGATGGCAAGGATGTTGCCCACGCGGTCGTCGCTGGTGAAAAGACCTCCAAAGTCACCTTCCACCTCGACAACCCGTCATTGTGGTGGCCACACGGATATGGAGGGCAAACCCTCTATGAAGTTTCAGCAGCAATACTGAGCGAGACCGAAGAGTTGCATCAAATATCCAAGAGATTTGGTATCCGCACTGCCGAAGTCATCCAGCAACCGGATAAGCATGGAAAATCCTTCTTCTTCAGAATCAACGGTATAGATATCTTCTGCGGTGGATCTTGTTGGATCCCAGCGGACAGTTTTCTCCCCAATGTCACGGCAGAGAGATACAGAAAGTGGATCGAATTAATGGTCGCTGGCCGGCAGACTATGATCAGGTCAGTTTTGTCCTCTTATATCTAAACACTAGCAAGATACATGGTACTCATCGATATTACCTTCCAGGGTCTGGGGTGGTGGTATCTTCGAGGACGATAGATTTTACGACGTTTGCGACGAGCTTGGGGTCCTGATCTGGCAAGATTTCATGTTCGGCTGCGGCAACTATCCAACCTGGCCTGAACTGCTACGGTCTATTGAGGAAGAGGCCATTTACAATGTGCGAAGGATCCGCCATCACCCGTCCATCGCCATCTATGCTGGGAACAACGAAGATTACCAGGTCCAAGAGTCTACAGGACTCACTTATGATTACGAGGACAAGTGCCCTGAGAATTGGTTAAAGACAGACTTCCCCGCTCGCTACATATATGAGAAGATCCTTCCAGATGTTGTCAATAAGCATGGTGCAGATGTCTTTTATCACCCTGGGAGCCCATGGGGTGATGGCAAGAAGTCATCGGACCCAACAGTGGGCGATATTCATCAGTGGAATGGTATGTCCCCTCCTCCTTACACGGTCTCACACAAGTACCAACTCTTTCAACAGTCTGGCATGGCACCCAGGAAAAGTATCAGATATTTGACACACTCGGCGGTCGTTTCAATAGCGAGTTTGGAATGGAGGCGTTTCCCCATATTTCCACCATCAAGTACTTTGTTGAGAACGAGGCAGATCTGTTTCCCCAGTCGCATGTCATCGACTTCCATAACAAAGCTGATGGCCATGAGCGAAGGATTGCAACTTATCTTGTCGAGAATCTGCGGACGGCCACGGATCTAGAGGTATGTTTCTCCGTCCTCATCCGCATAGCATAGTGTTTCTAACGCCTTGCAATGTAGACGTATATTTACCTTACCCAGGTGGTTCAAGCTGAGACCATGATGTTTGGATATCGAGGCTGGCGCCGCCAATGGGGGGATGAACGCCACTGCGGAGGTGCGCTTTTGTGGCAGCTGAATGACTGCTGGCCCACCATCTCCTGGGCGATTGCCGACTATTTCCTGAGGCCCAAGCCTGCATACTATGCAGTGGCTCGGGTGCTGAAACCACTTGCAGTTGGCGTGCGCCGAGAGCACCACGACTGGAGCGTGACTCATGCTCAGCCACCGAAAACCAGCAAGTTTGAGTTGTGGGTCGTGAGCAGCCTTCAAAAGGAGACGCTCGGCAGAGTTGAGCTCCGGTTCATCTCAATCAACACTGGACTCGAAATTCGGGGGTCAATCATACATAAGAACATCGCCATCGTGCCGAACGGGACCACTAACCTCATCGTGGACGGTCTGATCGATCACACTATCTATTCAGAGCCCCATGTGCTAGCTGCGCGGCTCTGGGTTGATGGCCACATCGTCGCCCGTGATGTAGACTGGCCTCAGCCATTCAAGTACCTTGACCTTTCTAACAGGGGCCTCGAGGTCAAGAAGAAGTTTGAATCGCCCTCTGGCGAACAGATTCTGGTGTTGAGCACTCAGAAACCATTGAAGTGCCTAGTCTTCGAGGAGCGTGAGAATGTCAAGATTAGCGATAGTGCCATCGATCTTGTTCCTGGAGACGAGCAGACCGTCACTATTACTGGCCTGAAAGCAGACGATGCTTCTCTGGGCTACAAATTCCTTGGACAATGAGAGACCTGTCGTCACCATTCAAATCACCCTGATATATATCTGGTAAATAGATACATAGTTAGCACCCGATGCATAGTCTCGACTTTCATAGAAAATTAAGATTGAATCCTCCGATTAGAATAGAAAGGCCCGATCTTTAATTGTTATACTCTCTGAAAATATGCCTTTCAATACATGGTCAAAATCTCAAGTATGGATGACACTGGAGAGGGCGATCGATGTCTTATCGATAAGCAGAAGCACAATCCACTCCCCACTGCTTCAACTGAATAATGAGCGACCTCTTCACAGTCACTTCCAACATTGAATTGTGGCTCCCTCGACGTGTGTTCTTCCTTCCCTTGATTTTCCATGGCTGGTACCAAACGAACACGAGAAGGCCAGCCTCTCGATCGTGACGATTACAACCCCCGACCCCGACCCACGGCCATCTCAACCACCACCACCACCATGAACATGGATCGCGAAGCCCCGGCCTCGACCGCAGGCTTGACAGGACACGCCGACGTGTCCTCGAGCATGGTGACATCTATCTTTGGCACATTCCGCGATGAGCTCGACCGCCACCATGATCGTCGGGAGAGGATCATCAAGACGTCCCGGGATATCACAGCGTTGAGCAAGAAAATGTAAGCCAAGTCCCCTACAAAATAAACCTATAAAGTAAAACGGGGTGTTCATTTAAGCCATTGCTGAAACGATTTGCAGTATCTTTTCCCTTCAACGCGTGCGAAGCCTGAACTGTCCCCTCCCCCCCGCGATAGCGAAAGACACCAGCGCCCGCCTCGCCCAGATCGTCGAGCTCTTCCGATCCGTCGTCCCCGACGTGACGGGCATCAACTCCTGGCGGTACCAGCGCCAACTCAGCGGCGGGATCCAGGAGTTCATCGAAGCGCTGTCTTTCAATCACTACGTGCAGTTCCAGACCCTGATCACCCTCGAGGAGATCCGGCGCCAACTCCCCGCCGAGATCCTCGTCACAGAGGAGGACTACATTATGGGTCTGTTTGATCTGACGGGGGAGATGATGCGCTTCGCCGTCACCTCCCTTTCAGCAGGGATGGTCACACACAAACCTCAGCACCAGCACCCGACACACCCGGCTCGGGATACGGACATGCCGGGCTCTATTACCGGTAGTAGCATGGACGAGACGAGTCCTATGCAAAGCATGGAGACTAGTACTTCTACTACTACTACTACTACTACTACTTCTACTACTAATAATAACCCCTCCCTCCCGTCCTCCCAGGCGGGGATCGTGGTGGACCTGCGCGGAATGCGGTCATCCTTTGAATCACTGAGTGTTCCGCATCGATACGGCATGCTGCGCGATTTGTCCAAAAAGCTTGATATCATGCAGGGCAGCGTGGAAAAGGTCGAGCGTGCGGCGTACGGCATTCTCGTGCGGGGGAGCGAGAGGCCAAGTGGGTGGGTGCCTGATTTGTCGGGGCCGGCGGAGGTGGAATCTTTCTAAAAGAGAATGGTTTGAGGCGTATATCTCTTGTTGAAGATGAAACTGTTACAACAACTGAGAGGCTGTTTAAAATGATGACTCGATTGAGTGGTCTGTTTACAAACAAGAATAATCACAAGTTAAGAATACTTCACCGTATCATAAGGATAAAATGAAATGGAATAACGGAACTTCTCTCGCGAGCCTTTGTGATGCGCAGTTTCTCCCAATTACGCCCTAGGATCCTCATCCTCAGCCAAGATGCCCTGCGAGATCAAATCCTCAGGCTGTGGTCTGTTCTGGATCTTGTGCTCCAGGCTATCGGCCCGCATGTGCTTTTCAAGCTCGAGCGCATTGGCCTGCAACGCCGGCGCCGTGCCGAGAGAGGGGAGAATGTTTCCTGTATCAAGAAAACTTTAGTATTTCCTTTTTCTCTTTCTTTCTGTCAAGTGGTATAATGGGCAATGAAGAGGTGGGATAGTGGCTATGGCTACGATGTCGCTGGTTCAAGATCACGATGAAATCCAAGCGGACATACGCTCAACCAGTTCGTCACGATCAGGACGACGTTCGAGGTTCTTCTTCAGGGAGTCGGAGGTTCGCTGGCGGGCGAGCTCCTGGTGAGCAGCTTGGAGGGATCTTGTCACATTAGCCATATCATCCAATCTGATTATTTTTGTTGATGACGAGGAGAGGAGGAGATATTGCGGGGTAATAATAACAAAAATACTCACGGAGCTACAGTTGTATCGAGCAAGATGTGTCTTTCCTTCAAATCATGGGGATCTGGGCGTGTCAGCAGGTGCTTCTCCAGCGAGTTGCGTCGCTCGATGGGCGAGATCGCAAGCGAGGTCTCGTCGATATCAGAGTTGACCATGATGATGATGATGATGATGATGATGATGATGATGATGATGATGATGGTATAGTTATGCTCGGGCTCGGTGTGTATGTGTGTAATGAGTCTAGCTAGCGATCAGTGTTATAAGACAGTGAGTGATTCACGATGGGATATGGATATGGACAGGTTTAAAAATGATGGGATGATGGACGACGATCACTCGAGGTGAGGTCAAGTGATGTGATGGCATCGGGAGCTTCGGTTTCCACGGGTCAGTTGGGCGGGGCAACGACGCCGTTTGCAGCATCGCTTTATTATTGTCTCTTCGTTGGCGGGCAACGAGAGAAACAAAACAAATATTGGATGTCAGGGTTTATTCTGTTGTTCTGGCTGCGGGCTGGCTTATTGGTTCAAGTCAAGTAAAAATATAGATACCAATCATTTAACTAAAACTAGTTATCGCGTATCTCCATGAGTTCAGTGCATACATACATCCCCCAAATTTCATAAGCGAAATAGACATGCGCAAGACCAAGAGCAAAAAAAATAAAATAAGAAGCCATTAGGATTCCTTCCTCCCAGCAACAATTTCGGGATTTTTTTTCTTTTTTTCCCTTCCCATAGAGTGACCATTTAACCAGACAAATCCATGAGCAGGTTTAATAGGGAGATTTTGTTTTTTTGTTTTTTTTTCCCCCAACAGCAAGGCACACAAGCCTGGCTGATCAACTCATATAAAGTACTCCCTCAGTCCGGGTGGTTGCGTGCACAGGCATAAAGGAAAAAAAAAAAGGAAAAAGGAAATAGGGAACCTTCGGTCTTTTCCCTCCTAGGCCCAGGCAGCAAATGATCGACAGATAATGAGATTGCTGGAAGAATCACGCTTGGTCGATTCGAGATTTCCCTGCCGCCTGAGCCACTTCATAACACTGACTGGGTCGATGTAAGGATTAGAAGACGGGAACAGTACATAGCAATACCTCGCCATAGTCAACGCGTATATTGCCATCGTCCACTGGAAAGTATGCCATTAGCCTCATTCACCTGCCCTCACTTGTGTCAACAGGTTCGGTCAGCAGGCAGCGCGGGTAAAATGGGCTTCTGTTATGCTTCAGGGACCGAACAGTGTTGTTCTAGGTAAAAGGAGATCCATGTGCCTCGTCCGTTGGATTCACCAGGGGGATCAACGGACTCTGGACTTGCAATCAAGGAACCCACAGTTTGCCACGGCCTCGGCTGCTCCCACGGGAAGGTCCGCGAGAGCCGCCGCCCCGTCGGGCGTTGGCGTGGCGACGGGAGGCGCTCGCGATTCCACGGGAAGCACCGGCCTGCGTGCTCAGATCAATGGTAGGCTGCTTGCTGGTAGGCACGCCCAGGGAGCGGCTGAAAGAATCCGGGTCAATCGGCTGCGTAGGGATCTCGGCCACGGCTTCGACTGGTGGAGCGGCTGCCTTGACTGCAGCAGGCTTGCGAGCACTGCTAGCACGCGCGCCTCCACCTCTGGTAGGAGGACCTTTGCCGCGACTGCGAGGAACAAAGACAAGCTCGTCTTCATCGCTTTCGTCTTCCTCGTATGAGAGAAGGGTCTTCGGCTCGCTAGTCACGATGGTTTGCGTCTTCTCTGCATACTTGCATCTGTTCTTGTACTCCCGCTCCTCATATTGGATGGCGGTCCGCAACTGATGGATATTCTTGGTTCCAATGCCGAATTTCTGGGCCCAGGTCTGAGTTTCGCGGTCGTTGGTGATCAAAATGCAATTTCTCCCAGCCTCCGGGCCACTGTACAGTCGCCAGATGAGCGCAGAGAGCAACGGCCGTAGCGACGAGGGCACCGAGGGGATAGTAGAGCCGGAAGCGGAACGGCGATGTCCAATGGCGACTGCTGCCTTGACATCCTTAGAGCTTCCATTAGCGAGCAGGTGTGAGCCACTACATTCTGGGCTAGTCCGGGAGCTTCTGGAAGACGGAGGAGAGGCCTGGCCACTGCGAGTTCCAACGGAAGTGATCGAAACCGCATCAGAATCCTTTTTGAAGTTCAGCTTGCTCAGAAGCATCTGGGACAGATCGTCGGGGGAATCGCCATTTTTGCCGACCATGTTATTCTTCTCGGATCCGCGAATAAGATCGGTCTTGTCGACAGTGGTAATATCTCCGTTGGCTGCTGCCTCCGGTTCCTCCTCGAATTCCGGTAGAAAATAATTCTCCGCTTGGGCCCAGGTCTCATACTGTTCCATCGGGCCTTGCAGAACGACGTGGTCGACGGGGACATTATCTTTTCCGGAGGTGACTCGGTCGAGAAAGCGGACAGCCTCGCGGGCGTTGATAGCGACTTGTGATCCGGCTCGTTTGAGAGCATGTAGGCGTTCCAGGGCTGGATGAAGCGAGGACTCGATGAGCGGGACAAGGTCGCACGGTGCTTCAGCATGGGTGACACTTACTGTAAAGAGGCACAATCAAAGTAATTGCGCCGTTCGCCGTCCATTTCTTGATTTCGCTGATATTGGTGGTCAGAGCCGTTTCGTCCACGGCGCAGTGGAAGACCTTGCGTCCGGTAGACATGACTGAAAGAGTGAAAGTCGGCGCCAGGCAAGACGTAGTCGAGAGGCAAGTGGAACGGAGGTGATTGATAGAAACACGAGATCCCTAGAGGAAGCTGGAAACTTCCACTACCGCGACGAAGCCGCAGGCGATGTCAGCGTGCGACTAATGCTGGAGGCGTCGTCGCTCAAGAAGGAGGTTCGTTCGATGAGGCGGAGATGGGAATGTGGGGGCATCGGCGCAGCGGTATGAACAGCAGCAGTAATGGGGGTTTGGTAGCGAACAAGGAGGGTGTGAGAACATCTAAACAAGAAAAAAATCACTCACAATATAAGCCAAGGTAGTAGAGACTCTTTATTTGCACCATATTTGATTCTGGAGGGGGGATTCCTGACTGCAGGAGAAGCGCCAGGAAGATGAAGGCAACACCGCAGTCGGCGAGTCATAATCCATCATCCGTCGCCATTTTTTGCATAATTTTCTTGACTAAGCAAGCCTCACGTAAGCTATCTATCAGCTTGACCAGGTATTAGTATTATTAGTATTATTATTCATGTCAAGGACTTTATAGACAGTCTATTCCACTATTCCAATATTATTTTATTTGATCATCTAGATCAAGACTGAGTGGGTTGGGAGAATAATCATATTCACTAGCGCGATAGGCATATCAAGTCTTTCCCATTGACATAATAGTGCACATGAATCAATGACATGCTTCTAGGTATGATAGATACCAGTAGACCTAGTCCCGACTATTGCTCTTTCAGTTTCTTGATCAGGCCGTCTGATTCCTTGACACGTTGCGCCCATTCGCTGTGGTTTGTCTGAGATTAGCACTCCATCAGTGAAGACTCGTATGGGCTCTGTAACTCACGTCCAGCTTCCATCGTAGACTCTTCGAAGGTTTGGGTCACCCAGTTCTGCCTCTCCCAGTGCAGTCTCGATGATTGTTGCCGTGACACCAGTACCACAAGAGCTGATTATCGTTTGTGATGGGTCAATCGCCCGCTTCTCGAACACCTTGCGCAACTCCACTCCAGGAAGAAAAGTCTTCGTCTCCGGGTCCAGTAACTCCTGGAATGGGAGACTCTTAGAGCCGGGAATATGCCCAGATGACAGACCAGGGCGTGGTTCGGGTTCTGTTCCCGCCCAACGACCGTAGGAACGGGCATCCAGAATTTCGATCGGCTCAGCGCCCTCCTTTCCATAATCTTTGGCAATCTCCTTCATCTCGGAAAAGGGAACCACCAGTTTCGAGTCATACGTGGGCACGGGGTACTTCGATCGTTCGACCGGCGCAGAATCACCACTTTCAGTCGGAAATCCTCCACGAACCCACAGGCGGTAGTTGTTAAGGATATGCACGTTCGGGTGCCCAAATACTCTCAGCGTCCAGCCTAGACGCGGGGCACTGAAAATTCCAAGCTCCTCTGTGTCGTACACCACGATCTCATCATCTCGGCGGATACCAAGCTCACTCATTGCCTCTGCAAACGTCTCGCATGTTGGTAGCATATGCGGATACGGGGAGTCGTTGTCTTTGATCACATCAATGTCGAAGAACCGTGCTTGCGGAATATGATGCTTCCGGAAGACGTCGATCCCCTTGCGCCCTTCGGGGTCGTTTGGCATGAACCAAGCGGCACATACGGGGACCACGCGGGGCGATGTCGAGATCTTGGTCGGAGGATTCCGCTTCAGAGCATCACTGAGCTCCTTGGGAGTGACCAGATACGATGAAAAGGAGATCTGCCGAGATTGAGTCTGCTGTCGCAGCTGTTGTGAAGTAGACATGGCAGGGCGCACTAGGCGATGAGGGGAACCGGCGAACAGGGAGGAACGAAGAGCCACAAAAACCATGGCTTCAACTAGAGCAGGAGAAAAGATTTTAATGGTGGAAGGGTATTTTTACATGCCGAGGAAAAGCACCAAGAACCGAAAATGACGACGAGAGAACATGGAAAGGCGTAAGCAGCAGAGCAGAGCCGGAAGGAGTGAACTTATCAGCAATGCGGAGAAGGCCCGGTGAGCCTCCGATATCCGGTTGGTAAACAAAGCGCCTGTCCCTGATAAGACCCGTCGGCCTCTCAACGTCGCTGTTTTCCCGACGGCTCTACACAAACCATTTGCCGTGGGCGTCAACCAAATTTCTACTTCTTCTATCCTCTTGCTTAGTGCCAGGATGAAGGTGAAGATTAAAGAATGGAACGCCATCGCGACGTGGCGATGGAATATGCCTGACGACGAAGTCTGTGGTATCTGCCGCGTCCAGTTTGACGGCACCTGTCCAACCTGCAAATTTCCCGGCGATGACTGCTCTCTGCGTAAGAGATATCAATCCTTCCTTTCAGACCGCGGACTGACACGTTTTTTTGGGTATAGTTCTCGGAAAATGCGGACATTCATTTCATATGGTGTGATTGTGGAGCTCAATCTCCTCATTTGAGAACGGCTGGGCTGACCTGTTCCGCAGCATTGTTTATTGACCTGGATTCAACAGGAAAGCTCCAAGGGACTGTGTCCCATGTGCAGACAGAGTATGAGCTTTCTTTTCTTCTCCGATTTTTCGTTTCTTCCCCCGCGTGAACGGGGCTAATGATCAATGCAGAGTTCGAGTGGAAACAAAATGACGAGTAACAAGGGCGCTTCCCTCTATTATTTATACAGCATGGAAATGAGGCGTTGACGGACTGGAATTGGATTGCGATACCCTATGACCATTGCATTGTTTTTTACTACTTTCCTTCGTGATTTTCCTAAAGACGAAGGTCTCAAGCCGGATGTCTTCTCCAGAAGTTCTATATTACAGGTTCTATCAGATTAAGCGTCTACATCCTTCGCTGAGACCATAACCAAAGTAATCGGGGTTTTAGCCCAAATACCATGTCCAGCAATCGATCCTGATAAATTGCCATCACAGATTCTCGCCATCGCAGCAACGGCCATCCCAGACACGTGAATGACACGGTCACATGACCGTATCGATAAGCTTAAAGCCGCCCCGGATTGGTTTGGCCGCTTTTGGCGCATCATGACCTGACCTAGCTCCAGCCAACTTCCAGCAGCACAGCTTATCAATAACACCCCCCCTCCCCTACGCAATGTAGCTCTCGCTTACTGGAGATGTCTTCCCTTCCTAAGAATACGGGATCCGCCCCTCGTCCTCCCTCATCTTCATCCTCCAAGCAGTCCCTCCGAAGACCCTCCTCGGGCACTCAACAACTTCCATCTCGACCACGACCCATCGATCGACGGTCCTCCGCGGAAGAGGTAGATAGCCATGCTGTCACCGATGCCTCTCCAGCACCTAGCCATGAAGCTATCGAATACACGGGGTCACCAAACTATGAAACAGACGCAGCACATCCGGATGTTCCACCCTCGACAACGCACTCGCGATTCCAGCCTTTCTTCACACTCATCGAGGATGCCCACTCCGCAGAATACTTCCATCCAACAGTACACTATATCTTCTCCGACGACGACACTGATATCATAACAGAGGCGGCCTTTCGTGTGCTAGAACCCGGCCAGGATAAAGGTGCTTCCGCCCTGCAGCGCAATTCCCACCCACACGAGCAAGACGAAGCCTACACCGGTGAGGCGGAGCTTGGAAATCCCGAAAAACCCTCCCTTCTACCACCGCCGATTCCAGGGGTACGAGAAAATTATATCATCCTCGACATGGAACCGTCTCCCTCATCAGAGCAACAACAATCAATACAGAGCGGTGGCGGCGATGTCGGTCCTACAAGTACTACTGCTGCCGGTGGTGTTCGGTCAATTTCGACATCTCCAGCAACCCAGCTGCCCCCTCCTGCGCAGTATTCGGCTCCGTTCAGGGTCACAGCAGCACACAGCCTGACCCCGGCGTGGCAGGTGCTGGACACCGCCGTACTGCCGGCGCCCACGTTCGAGAACGGCTCGTCGGGCGAACAGGCTGGAAACAGTGGAATCATGTTGAAAATCCAGGGGACGGCAGGTTTGCCGGCGGGAATAAAAGAAAGGGAAAGGGGCACAGGTAGCCAGCGACTGGAGGATATGATGGACCAGTTCGCAAAGCGGATGAGAGAGCTCCGCCATGTTATTGAGGCGGGGGAACCACCCACGTCCGCGGCGGAGGAAGACCAACATAATGAAGATCAACATGACTCTCCAGGGCTCATAAATCAGGGAGATCATCCAGAACAATCCCTCCTCCCAGATGTGATTTAATGTTCCGTACATGAGGTAGCAGGCGGCTAGTCCTTTGGTATAGATACTGATATACAAGAATGTTCTCTCGACTGACCTCATCATCCAACTGAATATTCTTACATCTGTATTTAAGTCAATTTGAAATATGGAAAGGCAAGCTGTCAGCCAAGAAAATAAGTATTTGGGTATCATTTTGAGGACCAATGCACCACCCTTAACTACCCAAGGCAAAAGAAGGGACGAGAACCGTATAAAGGTCCAAGACCACTTTAGATTAAAGACAACAGAACGCCAGGAAAGAGACCAAACAAACAATTCCCGCTCACTCCACATGATTATTCATCAAGCGCCGAATACACAAACGAAATCCCAAGCCCTGTAAAGGTGAATGGTGGCGAGCTTCAAGCTCAGCTCCAGAAATAAAGAGTGGATCACGGAGATCAAGAAAAAAACTGAAACGTTAGCCAAGAGGCTTAGAGTAATGCCAATGTGGATTTATATGGCTATTCAATCAGACTGGCGATTCCTGAGTCTCCGTCCCCCTGATGGTGTCGATAGTGGCACGTTCTCTCTGCCCTCTAGCATACTAGCCATCCTCCGGGTAACGGCTTTCTGAGGGAGTTTCGAATCCGCTGTCGCAGTACTGGGACAATGGCGCTTGGCAGGGCGCTGGTCAACATCGTCCTTTTCGGACGTAACCTCTTTGTCCATAGACAACTTGCGAGTCGGGGTAGTGGAGCCAGCATCAGATGCAAGCTGTTTGGCGATATTCACGTCGACTTCTCGGAGAGGAGAGGTGATATCTGTAGGATGTGATACATTTCCTGCTTCCCCCCGGACATCGTTATACACAAAAGTCTTGGCTGGTGATAATGAAACTGGCGCATTGTCAACTGGAGACAGTTGATCTTCACCACTGAAAGGTAGATTATTCAGTTGTTTGGAATTCCTCATGCGGGAGCGCAGAGAGTCATGTTGTTCGGTACGTGGCAACGAGGTAGAATACTGATAGTTCGTCTTCCGCGGAGTTTCACCGGTAACAACGTACTCTTGCAAAGGTCGAGATTGGATGTAGTCGCGAAGATTCGATAAAGGCTGGCGTACCTCGTCGGACAATGGGTCGATCAAGCTTTGCGCGTCATGGGTGTGAGAGAGAACCTCCTCCTTCATCTGACCCACTCGGCCATTCAAGTCTTGGAACCGATTGTCGAAAGTCGAGTATGACCGTCGGACTGTAGCTGCCATGGTGTCTAAGTGATTCATATGTGCCTCACAATACCGCCCGTTTTGTGACCGCGCCTCGGCCACAAAATCGTCCAACGCTGCCATTTGAGTCGCCATATCTTCCATCTGTGCATCAACAATACGCACAGTTTCTTCATGCACCGCTTCAGTTGCCTTCTGGATGGAGACATTGCGGGAGTCAAACGTCTAACACAATTTAGTAAAGCACCTTGTCATCCAATTTCGGGCATCTTACCTCCCAATCATTATCCATTCTTTCTTCCAGTTCGCCTCTAGAAGCATCCAGCTCTGCCGCAAAGAGATTATCCCTTTCCATCCAGTGGTCAATTTTCTGTCTGTACTGAGTTGTCGCACGCTCAAGTACGTCGCCCGAAGATGCAACATTCTTTCCAATATCGTTAATCTTGCGCTTCAAGCGACCATATTGTCTCTGCCTAGATTCTTCGACCAATGCGTTTATCTTCGAGACCAATGCATCACGTTCTGCCTCGACATTCGCTTGCTCCTCTTCCATCGCCTGGGTCAAATTCATCGAAGCTTGTCTGTTGGCCTCAATTGTTTGACGGTTGGCCTCCTGCAACTGCTGTCTCAACTCAAGTATCTCCTTGCTTTGAGCCGACATGTGTTGAGCCAGGGACTCGAACACAGTTTTCAGGTCACTCCCAAGAGATGCATATGATCCTCGAAGCTGCGTGTGAAAATCCGCTAGCTCCCCGATGACATCTTTCGAGATCCGAGCGGCAGCCGCAGACAACCCATTCAAACCCTCTCCAACCTTTAATTTTACCTCTTCACGTAGAACTTTAATCCCCTCCAGAACGTCGTTCATTTCATGGCTTGCTCGGATGGTTTGTTCCTTCGTCTCTTCCTCTGCCTTGTCAAATGACATGGTAAATTCATGCAATTCAGAACGATTGACTTGAATGTTTTGGAATTCTGAAATCACATGTTGGTTGATCTTGGTGGCCAGCTCCTGAAGCGATCTAGCCTGTTGAATCTGGAATTGCTCCACCTTGGATTCAATATGGCTCGTGACATCAGTAACTTTGTCGGCTGAAGATTGCCAACCCTGAAGATTGGTGTCGTGAAGGTCAGTTTTGCGTTGAATTTTCGCATGCAGCCCGTTCACATCGCTAAGCGTGCTCTTCAGGGTGGACAGAAGGTTCGTCCCAATACCGTGTAATTGGGCCTCGGTGTCCTGGTGAGCTTGACGTAGCATTTCTTCCTCCTCCAGACTGTCTCTAGTATCTTTGAGAACAATTTCGGTCTGTTGAAGGATATCGTTCGTATTATTCAAAGCGACTCGGGTATCCTCGTTGTCTTTTTTCAAGTTGTTAAAGTTACTTGTCAATGTCAAAAGTTCCTGAACCTTGTGTCGCAGGCTGGACTCCATCGACTCGATCTTGGCTCTTTGTTCCTCGTTCACGATTCTGCGAGATTCACTCTCCATTGTCATTTCCTCATATGCATCTGCTGTCATATAAACACCGTTGCGATGTCTTGTAGCAATGAGCTCACTCTTGAGCTTCTCGATTTCAACAGTGAACTCGCGGAGTAAGGTTTTCTTGGCCATCGTAGAATTAATCTGCGGCTTGTTGCGGATATTTTTCGCTCGGAACGCGTAGTCCAAAGTGGACATTGTTTCTTCAAGGTTGCTTCGAGACGGAGAAATGGTAGCAATGATGCAAGTCTTTGTCCGGCCCCCGAGAGAGTCCTGGAGCAATCGAGTGAGCTTGGATTCCCTGGCGGTGAAATTAGTATTTGATCAGATATCTAGACGCCGATATATGGGGCTCTAGCATACCTATAAGGGATATGTGCGCTCTTATCAACCAAGGCATTGATAACTCGTCCAAGAGTAAGCAAGCTCTTGTTGATCAACCCAGCTTCTGTCGCGCGTTTGTTTTCAGCTCCACTGCGCTGAATATTTTCGCTGCCAGCCAAATCCACAAGATTCAATTTCCCAGAACTAATGTAATCCTCGCCGGATTCGGTGGTTCGCTTAGTATAAACAGTGATGGTGAAGATGGTGTGGCTTCTCGAACTCAGGTCGTTGCATTTTGTTGCGGCAACCTGACGCTTGTGGCTGCCCTTCTGGAGAAGCTTGATTCCAGTTGTCGCTGAATCAATGTACGTCTCTTCCATGCCTTGTACCATGGTGCTTCCACTGTGACCCTTCCGCGGCTCGTTCTCGAAAATTTTCAGCTTCGGGTTTTCCTCCACAGACAATAGATCTCTCAATTCTTCGTTGTATAGTTCAATGAATGAACACTTCACTGTGCTCTCGGTGTCTTCGAGCTTCTGGAACAATGAATAAAGCACGCGTGGAATGATACCGGCATTATCAGACAAGATACCAAGTGTGTCTGTCATGTCTCCAGACATTGTATATGTCTTACCGGTGCCTGTTTGGCCGTATGCGAAAATCGTGCAATTGAAACCAGCAAGCATCTAGGATTTTGTTAGTATGGAATCTTCCTACGTGGCTAAGGGGGCATACTTACTTCCGTCAATACAGGTGCAACAACATCATCGAAGACGATAGCCTGGTCTGCAGCTGGTGAGAAAACCTTGTCAAAGTTGTAGGTTTTGTTTGACACCGCATTAGGTCCCATAGACAGTTCAACCGAAGTACCCTTCACACCCTCTGTCGAAACAACCACCCCGCTGTTTTCTTTCACCTCGCGATCATTACGTCCTCGGCATCGGACCACAACATGGATACTGGTGTCCTCGCCAATCGTGTGTTCAAACTCCCTTTCTTTTCTTTTCGTGGGATTGCTGGGTTGCTCGCTGGGAGCGCGTTGAACGCGTGGCGCACTCGCGGTGACTGTTCTGGCGTTTCCCATCACAGACTCAGGTCTTTCTGTCGCTGTCGTTCCCACTCGACGTGTGGTTTGGCGTAGTGCTGACCGTCTGGTTGGCAGCCCAGACGTAGGCCGTTGGGGGCCGGCCATTGTGACAGATCGCTAGATAGAACGATAACAGATATTAGAAAATCTCGCTCCAGTAGCAGACCTGCACCGCGGTCTTAGATTTCTTTTGTTTCTGCGAAAACCCCTTGGGGACACCAGGTGTCGAGTTTTGTTGTCGTGGTTGATAGGGACCAGAATGTGTTCGGCGCTCCGCCTCGACGGGGAAAATGTAAACAAAGCCGTCGCCTGGCGTGCACGTGCCACTTTCCGGTCCCAACATCGCCTTGGTCATACCCGCTGCTCACATGATTTCCGATGAGTTCATCAGCCATCTCAGTCTTTGGGGAAGATTCTCCATGCTTCAGATTCTAAGGACTATTCCCGGACCTCTGATTCTGTCTGCATAACAGTTTATATTGTGTGTTTTCTTCTGGAATCAAGCTGCAGAGACATCTAAGCACTGCTCCGTCACTGCATGGACAGTGACCAACCCCTCATTGCCCATCCACGATAACAGGTCGTAGCTCCGGATGGCGACCACGAAAGCTTCGACGCAAGCTCAGATATTCCCAGGCAAGGGCCTGGGTCCGATAAGCAAGTTCTGGTTATTTCTTAATTCCGTCGATGGAGTAGAAAAGTTCCTGGGCTAACTGGACACAGCTCTAGGTGCATCGCTTCACAACGTCCTTAGCCGCCTCAAATCACATCCTCAACTGTACCCCGCCATCGATATTGCATACTCATCAGGAGAACCTCTGCAAAAGCCGGTGCTACTCCAGCTTCCAGCGAATGGCTTACGCCTGCGCTTCGATGGCCCCGATCAAAGATTACGTCTGATCGAGGTTCTTGACTTTACGAAGATCAACCTGGTGTACAAGAACCAAGAGGTGATCAAGGGTGCCAAATCCCAGGATCAGCCAGTATCTCAACAAGGGCCGAGTTTCCGCCATGTTTACAATCGGCTGTTTGGCCCGTCATACCCGGGGGAATACGTTTCGCCCGCTTCACCCTCTCCATACGGGACCTACGTTCTATCATATCCAGGGATAGCATTTTCGTTTCCCTTGCAGGACTCAGCGTGGTCTGACCAATGTGACTTTGTAGCATTGCTCTCTTCTTCGGCTGCTCTACCAGCCACATCCATGGCTATATTTCAGGGTAGTTCGTGGCCGGAGGTTCGAGCCAAAGTGTTCACGCAGCAACCACAATATCCCCGTTCGCCAGCATTGGCGGGCAAAAACAGGGACTCTTTACCAGACGAGGTTGAACGATTCAAGATCTTCGGTGCCGGGAAGCTTGAGGCTATTCGGAGATCAAGTTCTTCTACCTATATTACCCTGTCGGAGACGACACCGCAGGATCTGATCGCAGAATTTGGACCTCCGGATGCAATATATCGTAAGAATGATCGAAGAATATCTATCCACCGGGCCACGGGCGGTCGGACGGATCCTCTTCACATGAGTCCATCTCCAGGTAGAGGGATTGAAATTAGTGATACCGAGCACTCTTCCAATAATAGTATTGCTGATGATTCAGATGAGGAGCTCGCCCAGGGCAACCCCTTGGATCCTTCCTCCTTGCCAACGGAATGTTTCTTCAATTATTTCCACCATGGGTTTGATGCATTCATCTCATCCCCCACAACCCCTGGGCCAGCATTTCCTGGGTCTGGGCTCTCAGACCCATCACCTCCTCCTCCTCCCCCCTCATCACAGCTTACTGTGACAAAGATAATTTTACATGGAAATGTGCCGGGTTCATACCCCTTTAACCGCCACCGTCGCAGTCGCTGGACAATTTATGCAGATCACTTGGGTGAAGATCTCTTGACATCAGAAACGCCCTATGAAGATATTTCAAAGAGACTTCGCAGCATCTGGCAAAACTCCTATTCCAGTGTCGACGAGGAACGTGCTCTGCAGCGACCGATGGTGTTGAACCGTGGCTGGGGTGACAGCCCCGAGAGCAGTGTGGAATTCCTGGGCGGTTGGGAAGAGAGCACCGGAGGGAAACAAAGGGCTGGAGCCGATGGTCAGGATGGAGGCCAGGGACTGGGCAATACAGAGTTATTTGGATTCCCGGGGCTTCTTTTCGAAGTTATGAAGAACGGCGCGGTTAGTTGTCTGACGATATATTAGCTTACTATGTATGCTACAGTAGGATTGCAGGAGTGAGGGAATCAGGATTATTTCAAGATCTCGTAAAAGATGTATTCTCTCTTTAATATCCATATTATATCAACTCCTTCAAATCCTCAAAAGATGAGAACTTGTCCACATCGACGGTGAAGATATATGGCTGCGTAATAATATTACATGTCCGTAACGCATACAAGGCGTATTAAGTATGGTAATCTGGTAATCTCTGGTAAAGTTCTTTATCGCTTGGCCAAGCAAGATTTTGCGGAGATCTTTCAGCACCCCGACAGCTCTCCAGTTCAACTTTCCCCTCGACGCAATTGAATCAATTCATCATCGGGCTATGCGACAGCGGTAGCATGCCGGAACTGCCGCGGTCGCTCACACGGTCGTGGTCGTCGACGCTCAAACTTCCCAAGTCGACATTCCCCCCACGCGCGTCGCCCGCCGACCAGGCCAAATATCTCCAGCGATGCACCGATGAGCTCTACGCCTGGCAGCGTCGCGAACGGCCTGCAGACCGACCCTTTGTCTTCCACGATGGACCTCCCTATGCGAACGGCGACCTTCATGTCGGACATGCCTTGAACAAGATCTTGAAAGACATCATCTGCCGTGTGAACCTCGGCTTGGGGAAAAGGGTGCAATACATTCCCGGCTGGGACTGTCATGGCTTACCCATTGAGCTCAAGGCTCTGCAAGGGCAGAAAGATCTGAGCTCCATAAGCGGACCTGCCGGTGCAGCGGTGATTCGTAAGGCTGCCCGCAAACTAGCGAGTAAAACCGTTGTCGAGCAGATGAAGGGGTTCCGCAGCTTTGCGGTTATGGCCGATTGGGAGAATCACTACAAGACAATGAACAAGGATTTCGAAATGAGGCAGTTAGGCGTTTTCCGGGAGATGGTTGAAAAAGGGCTGATCTATCGAAGATTCAAACCGGTCTACTGGTCACCTTCCACTGGGACAGCCTTAGCAGAAGCGGAACTGGAATACAAGGATGACCATGTTTCCACGGCTGCTGTTGTTAAGTTTCCTCTGGTCACGGTTCCACCATCTTTGGCTGAGTCTTCCCGTGTCAGCGTTGACAGGCTCAGTGCTGTTATTTGGACAACTACTCCCTGGACGCTCCCGGCCAACGCTGCAATCGCAGTCAATGAATCTCTGGACTATGTGGTTGTCGAATCTCAGGCCCACGGTCAGTTGATCGTCGCAGAGTCCCGTATCGGCTATCTCCAGGGTATTCTCAATGAGGAATTGCCGATCGTGCATGCTTGCATCCCTGGGTCAGAATTGGCATTACATACCACCTATCGCCCTCTGTTCAAAGCCCCCGAAGCCGAGTCTCAGCCAGTCATTGCGGCCGAGTTTGTGACAGCTGAATCCGGCTCTGGTCTGGTTCACTGCGCTCCTGGACATGGCATGGACGATTATGAGGTGTGTCTGGCTCGCGGAATTCCTGCCTTTGCACCGGTCAACGACCAGGGCCAGTTCACCGAGAAGGCCATGCCGTCTGATCCCGCGCTTCTATGCGGTAAACACGTCCTTGGAGAGGGAAATAGCGCTGTTCTAGAATATGTCAAATCCCAAGACCGACTTCTCCATACTCATAAATATGAGCACAAGTATCCTCACGATTGGCGATCGAAGCAGCCGATCATCATTCGCGCAACTGAACAATGGTTTGCAGATGTCGCTGATATTCGAGGGAGCGCGATGGAAGCTCTGGAGCATGTTCACTTTGTCCCTGAAGCCGGCAAGCAGCGTTTGCAGAACTTCGTGAAGAACCGCAGTGAATGGTGTATATCCCGTCAGCGGGCCTGGGGTGTTCCTATTCCCGCCCTGTACCATCGTGGAACTGGAGAAGCTGTGCTCACGAAGGAGAGTGTGTCGCATATCATGAGGGTGATCGAGGAGCGTGGCATCGATGCCTGGTGGACAGATGATGCTAATGATCAGGCGTGGATCCATCCATCGCTCCAGGAGTCATCAGGCGCAGGCTACAGACGAGGCACGGATACTATGGACGTTTGGTTTGACAGCGGCTCTAGCTGGTCTCTATTGGAGATGCTTGCCAATCGCCCCCCCGCGGATGTCTACCTTGAAGGAAGCGATCAGCACCGTGGCTGGTTTCAGTCTAGCCTTCTCACATTCATTGCTCATCAGCTTTCTTCTTCTGAGAACTCCAATACTCCCCGGGCGCCATTCAAGAATCTAATCACCCACGGCTTCACTCTCGACGAAAATGGCTATAAGATGAGCAAGTCTATCGGCAACGTGATGTACCCACAGGCTATCATGGACGGAACCCTGCTTCCTCCGCTCCAGCAGAAGAAACGAAAGGGCAAGAAACAAGTAGAAAACCAGCAACCGGTCTACGACGCGCTTGGTCCTGATGCTCTTCGAATGTGGGTCGCGAGTAGCGATTACACGCGTGATGTTGTGATCGGCACCAAGGTTCTCCAGACCGTCAATATCAGTCTCCATAAGTATCGGGTGACATTCAAGCTTTTGCTCGGTGCTTTGTCCGATTTCTCGCTGGACCATATTGTCCCATATGAGCAGTTGCAGAAGGTGGATCACATCGCGCTCATGCAACTCTCGCAGCTTGTCCTGAATTGCCAAACGGCGTATGAGAACTTTGAATTTTACAAGGCCGTCAGCGCAGTCAACCGATGGACTAATATGGAGTTTTCTGCATTCTATATCGAGGCGATCAAGGATCGACTTTATACCTACGCCGAGGACAGCACCAGCCGACGAGCCGCGCAGACTACTCTTTTCTACATCTACCGCCATCTCCAGGAGATTCTGGCTCCTGTCACTCCAATGCTGATCGAGGAGTCTTGGGAACACACGCCAGATCTAATCAAGTCCCAGACCGAGCACCCACTAAAACGCATAGTATCTGCACCGGCGTCTGAGTGGAACAATCCCGCGTTGGAAACAGACTCGCAGGATCTTCTGGCGGTGGGCTCGGCCATCAAGACCGCTCAGGAAAACGCTCGGTCGAAGAAACAAATGGGCTCCTCCTTGCAGTCGTTCGTACATCTAGTCTTCCCAGTGCAGAGTCCTGCCCTCACTCGCGTTCAAGACTACCTGACGGAGCTTCCTGACATCTACGTGGTTTCCTCTGTCACGGTCGGTACGGCGACTGACCCTCTTCCTTCCGATCTGTCAGATACGGTGTGGCAGTACAGCGCGGAGTTTGAATGCGCCGATGGAAGCAAAGGAACCGCCCACGTCTATGCGCCGCACGATTCGAAATGCCCCCGGTGCTGGCGGTATGTTGTACCGGAACCCCAGAGTGGTGAAGAAACGCTGTGCGGTCGCTGCGAGGACGTCGTTCGTGAGATCGATGCTTCTGCATCTGCATAGATCATCTCCCTTGCATCTGAACTCTGGAATATAGGCTTATTCTATGTATTATATTTCTGTACCAGTAATAGAATCCCTCTACTTGTCTATTGGTCTCTTTCGGTATTTTGCACCTCCATCCATTAATAAACCTCGCCCATTAACATTGAAAGAATTGTCCTTCATCATTATATAAATCAATAGCAGGAGCAGCTATACGTACAAAAATTAACTCTCAATCTCCAGGTAAATAAAGTATTTCCGAAGAATGTTAAACCAAAGCCAATCCACTAGATCGGTTCCTTGCTGCTCTGAGATCTTCCCCATGACGCCAATGTCAAGTCAGCATGACGACGCTCATAATTTCTGCATCTGCGGTACTCACCCGGCTATGTGACCCGGATACGCCGCGCCTATGGCGATAGAGAGACCACTTTGAGTTGATGGCAGGTTTCTTGTTGCAATCTGGGCTGGTGTCGTCATTGATGCCACGGAGAGTTTGCTGCTATATATTGACCGCATGAAGGGCCAGGCAGAATAATAATTCCACTCTGCAACATCTCGACTGCACAACTCACTCAATAGTCCAGTCAAAATGATTCAACCAACACTTTTGGGCCATAAGACTTTCCCTCTTCCTACATCCACACCGTCAGTCGGTCCTGTGCCGACGGTTGTGCCTGGTACAGAGCCAATTTTCCAGGAAATCGGCACGACTGGACAACGCACGTTATGGTATGACTGCATTTTCAAACACAAGGATGGGATCAACCATCGCTAACCTGGGTTTTTTTTTAGGGTGGTCGTGGTGTTGATGGCGTTGTCGTCGCTGGTGTTCTACGTTCTTACAGCCCGGGCACCACTGGTATGGCTTTAGAGCAAGGAACTGTTTCGTGGGACTCAACAGCAAGCTAATAATGACATGGCCGAAACAGCCCAAACGGACCTTCCACACGCTTGTCTCACTTAGCACGACCATCTCCTTCTTCGTCTACCTTGCCCTCGCCACGGGCGAAGGCATCACTTGGAAACGTGACCGGATCCACGAATCCCACAAACACGTCCCCGATACGCATGAATACTACTTCCGCCAGGTGTTCTGGCTGCGCTACGTCAACTGGTTCTTGACCGGCCCCCTCGCCCTGCTTAGCCTCACCTTGCTGTCCGGTCTCCCGGGGGCGTACTTTGTCGTCGCCGTGGCGGCCGACTGGGCCATGCTCGGTACCGGCTTGCTCGGTACATTTGCAGGGCACAAGAATGTGCGCTGGGTGTGGTTTGCTCTCAGCTGTATTTCCTACATGGTTCTCGCGCACCATATCATCCTGCACGGACAGCGGGCTGCGAACAACAAGGACGTACAGACCAAGCGTTTCTACGGCTCGATGGCGTCTGTTTCCCTGCTTGTCAAGGTTCTCTATCCGATGTAAGTTCTGTGTTGCAGAAGGCTTGTGCATAAATGGTATGCTAAAACCATTCCAGTGCTCTCGCTGCCGGCGCTCTCGATCTGAAAATCAGCCTCGACACCGAGACCGTCCTCTTTGCGATCCTCGATATCTTCGCACAGGGGCTGCTTGGTTACTGGCTGCTTCTCGCACACGATAGCCATACGGATATGTGAGTCTCTGTTTTCTATTTCACAATAGAAGTAAATTGATCTGACGCTTCTTAAGTACTCTCTATGTGGACGGTTTCTGGGCCCACGGTATTGGAAATGAGGGAGCTATCCGTATTGAAGAAGAGGGACCTTGAACGATTACAGAGCATCACGCTCTTATGTCAATGGCTTAACTTGATGACGATAATGCGATGAACTTCTGGTAATGTGGATGGTGTAAAGCACAAATTGGATTGGACAAGTCGGGGTTATGGAGTTATGGTATGGATAACCTGATAATACTTTACAAAAAGAGCTCTTATTTGAATAAGACACAATAATCAAATTGAATTACAAAACTGAATTACAAGAAATCATGAAACAGCATTTCTACCAAGTAAAAGCTCTCTTCTTATGGATATTTCTCATCTCTGATGCTTATTTCATAAATCGTCGCGTCGTAATAGATACACCCAAATCAAGGCAGAGTGATTACTTGCCCGCAGGTTTCTTCTGACCAGCTTGGTTCTCCTTCAAGTGACAGGTGCACCCGCGTTTGCCACAGCCTGCCTTGTTTCTTTCAGCAAGGAGATGGCCATGCTTTTTCATGTCGAAGGGCTCCTCGCCGATCTTCTTACCGCCCTTGAGGTCGATAACCTTGAGATCCTTGAGCACGTCGACGGGGAGGCTCGATAAAGTCCCCGCGGCACGAGCAGCTGCAAGGGTAGCCACGGCACTGTCCTTGTCTCCAGTGCTGAGATTCTTGTTGTGGCTCTGTGGCTGCTGTCTTGGGATGGGGACCGCAACAGCCTTGCACTCGGGACGGGGAGACACAACGCAGACTCTATTCTTCATGATTTCGGGGAGGAAGAAGCCTGCATCGACGCAGTCGCGCTTGAAGGTGATGCGTTTGAGTTTCTCCGGGTCAAAGAAGAGGTGGAACGGGCCCGCGTCGACGACAAAGCCGACAAGAGTCATGTTCCGGATGGGGAGGTACATGCCCATTGATGCAGCGATCATGGCGCGCATCTTGGCCTTCTCCATGGCGTTCTTGTCGAGGTACTCGCCGTCGCCGATAGAAGGGTTCAGGTTTCCAGTGCCTTTGTCGCCGCTAAATGGTCAGCATTTTGTTTACAAGGCACTCTCGGCGAGATAGGATTCAAAAAAGACGAAACTTACTAGTAGATCTCAAATCCATCGGCGAAGGGTTCCTGGACCTTCCAATTGTGCTTGATGACCTGCCACTCGCCAGAAAGGTTGGACTCCAGGCTAGGTTCCAGGGCCATTTCAAGCCAAAGATCGGTCAGTTCGGGGTTCAGCCAGACGACTTCCCAGATGTACTTCTGGTAGGACTGCATCATGCCCGTGATCTTGAGGACACGCAGGGAGCGGAACTCGATGATGGGCTTCAACTCCTCCAGCGGCAACATGTCTTCTTTACCCTCGTCTTGGTTCTCTTGAATGGGCCAGAAGACGTCCATGCTGACAATCTCTGCATTGCGAGGCAGACATTTCCAGGAGGCACCACCGCGAAAGTACATGAGTGGCTTCAAAAGCGTGCCAACCTCCTGTTTGATCGCAGTGGCCGGGATGACCGCGAACTTATCATCTTTCTTGGGGGTGGGAGGGGGAGACATTTTGAAAGGAGAACGGAATAGAGGGTGCTCCCCCCGTCGTGAGAAGATCTGGCTGGGGGTACGCGAGAGAGCGCGCTTTGCAAAATTAAGAAAACGATTACCTGTCCTGGTCTCCGTTTTACCGAAGTCCAAGGTGCTCTTGTTGTCTGTGTCTTTGGACTCGCTGGACTTCAAGGCGAGGCTGAGGGCATCGCTCATGGAAAAGCGACGACGAGTACGGGGCTTCTGGGCTTCGTCCTTGCGAGGAGTAAGAGGGTCTCGAGGAGGATCTGCATTGAAGACAGGAATTTGGGCTGCATTCACAGAGAAATGGGGTGGTCAGTAGGGGAAGTCACAGCTCGATAGAGAATCCCATGCTCAGCACAAAGGGTTTCATCTGCTATTTAGAAGATGGCTCACTATGAGAGATGGCCTCTAACTGGAGTCTGTTTCTTTCATTTATTTCTCTCCAGAAAGCACCACCCATGAGGGTGCTCTTCCACCATTCATTATCAAACTGATCCATTTTGGGGGAGGCGAGCTGGACCAAAGGCCAGGTCTTGACAGTGGGCTCGCCCTCTCAGGCGAGAGACATGGATTTTGTTGGAATATGAGAGGATGCCAGTGTTTAGGAGACGAATAGCTGAGGAAATGACTGGATAACATAGGTCATCATTCCTCTGGAAGATGCAACAGGGGAATTAGAAGGGAGCAAAACAGACAGAGAGACAGAGACATCCAGGCAGAGTCCAGGTGGTAAAATAATCTGGAGTTGGCTCCAGTCTGCTTTGTCCATCGATAAAAGACAGGCCAAAGTCATGGTGCTTCACTGTCCTAGAGTGAGACTACATAGCAACATTTTATAAGGAAGGGCCTCTAGAATTCTTAAGGCTATATTAATGTCGATCTAGACAGTATATATCAGTATATATTCAGTCGTGGTATCATCTCCAAGGTAACCATCTCGCTATTACCTGATTTAGGTATCTTTCTTCATGAAAACAACGGAGGGACTTGATATATGACGGAATCGGAGACAATCAGCTACCAGAAGAAGCTGTTAGAGGCCATTTAGTATCTAGGCTGGTAAATTTAAACATATCAGTTCTAAGAATAAAGGTGAATATCAGTTTCTGTCTATTTGAAAATGTGCCACTGCTTCCAGAGAAGAGCATTGCACTAGATACCCGACATATAACTATCGTCAATCCACTATTTTAAGATGATAAGATCTTCATTAGGCTATCTATGGCCCTTCACAATGATATAAATTCTAAAATTTAATGTTCATTTGTAGGTAGATTGCGGTGAATGTTGACCATTCTAGACTAAACTCGTGTGGCTTACCTCAACATCCCCCGCCTGAAACCCAAGGTTGTCTCTTCCCAAGTGTTCAAGATATCCAGACAACACACTATTCGCAATGACTACTGAAGCGGAACATCCTTCACTGATAACTGGAGGCTGTCTTTGTGGGTCGATTCGATACGACGTATCCTTCGGTGAGGGGGACAACTGGCCGCCCCTGGTAAATATGGCTGCTATCAGATCACTGCGAGCGTGGAATAAGCTGCTAATCTAGGTGAAAAATACCTAGTCAGGATCCTGTCAGTGCACAATGTGTCGAAAATGGACCGGCTGCTTATATCCCCAATTCTTGACCGTGTCACTCTCGCAAGTCTCACCAGCGCTCCCCTCTTTCCCAGCCTACAAGGAGTTCCCCTCTTCTCCAGGCTGTCTCCGGGGATTTTGTTCCGACTGTGGAAGCTCATTGGTCTGGAAGACGGAGAAAACACCCGATGAGCTCGCCTTGTTCATTGGCACATTGGATGAAAAGTGGTTGATCGGGGAGAAGGGGGCTGGTACCGAGAAACCGATGGAGCACGGCATCAGGGTCCATAGCAGGGGAGGGCTAGGGGAACTTCTAGCTACACCAAGGAATGGCCAATATTACTTTGAGAATGCGATTGAGGGGGTCACGGACGGTGCACGAGGGAAGAAGTATCTTACCCATCCGTCTATAGAAGAAGGATTCGATTGAGTCTCGGCATGTTTACACTCGATCAGCACTGTTAACTAACTGCTGTCTTTCAGATATCGAGAAATGGAATACCATCAAGTCAGGATAGGTCTGTTTCTTTTTTTCGAGATACTCCGTACATGGAGGATTAGTCAACAGGGAAAACAATTTAACTTCTGCAGATCTCGAACGTAACTCACAAACTATCTACAGAATCCTCCACGGCGATGGGCCGTCATCTCGTATTCAGCCTGCAGATCTGATCGTGCAATAGCTTGGCAGCTATAGACATTCATTCAGCTCAGCCTCGGGATACTCTTTTGGGATCTTCTCGGATAGATTTGAGAAGATTTACCCCGGTGATCCCAAGCCTCTGGAGACATATTTCTACAGCCTCACCAATCAGAATCAGGTCAAGGAAGGCTTTTCCGTGGATGAAGCCCGAGAAGGGCACCATTGTCTACATCCGGACGCCCAGATGGTTTGCTGAAAGAAAGGGGGGGAATGTTTTGAGAAGTATACGTAAAATGGAATTCAAAAGAGATGGATCGATTCCTCAAAGAGTGAGAGGCGTGTTTTACAAGTCTCCCTGTTATTCAAACGAAATCAAGATGCGGTTCAGCAATCAGCTTGCATCTTTCATGGTCCTGGCAACTTCTGCCTATGCAGTTGATCCGGCCGATATCTATGATGGAGGATACAACTCTTCAGACGCAAGTGTCGAGCTTCGCATTGGGAATGGCGGTGCTGGCCAAAGCGGTCTCATAAAGGGTTTGTCAGTCCTCTTCATGAAAGACATCTCTTGCTAACGCCCTCACAGTGCTCGCCGATGCCTACATCCAGTCAAGCGTCAAGAATGGGTCGTCCCCGTTTAAGATTGCCTGGTACGAGAGCGATACTACAGAGAGCATCGACTACCTGAAGTCTGACACGGTGGATATTGGCATCACGTATAACCCTGCCGCAGAAACCATTGCCATCAACCAGGGCATCGCCCAGTCTCCGGCCTGGTATGCCTGGCGAGATCACTTCCTCCTTGTCGGCCCTCCGTCAAACCCAGCCAATATCTCCAAAAATGATGACATCTACACCATGTTCTCCGATATGTTCAAAGTGGCTGAGGCAGGCACCACGACTCCTCCGGTCCGATTCCTCTCTCGCTACGATAAGTCCGCTACCAACATTAAGGAGTCTGATATCTGGGTGGAAATCGGACATGTATGTAATGCAACAAGCTAGGCTCTTTGAAACTTTTTGAGACTATCTTTCTTTTTATCTCTGACTATATCCATTTGCAGGTCCCATGGGCCACTGCCTATTCCACCTGGTACCACCAGTACATTGCGTTCCCCGTCCAGGCCCTGGAAGCTGCAATCCTACTTGAAGAATACACCATCACCGACAGAGGCACATTTCTGTCTATTGACTCTTCGCTTGAAAACCAGACCACCATCTACAAGGCCGCCACGGACGCCGCCTCGGACCCGCTCCTCAACCCTGCGCACATCCTCATCGGCACCAACGCCACCAACGTCGATATGGCCGAGTCATTCACATACTGGGCTGTCAGTTCTGAGGGCCAGGCCGTCATCACCGGCTTCAAAAAGAACGGGCAGCAGTTGTACTCTGCCGCGCCGAGCAACAAGACTGCTCAGTTCCGCTAGGCCATAAATCTCATTGAATGGCGGGAAGAGCAACATAGTACCTCGGCTTTCTATGATACATAATGTTATAAATATCTAAATACCTTTCGCTTAGCTTTGGCTCTGAGCTTGTACCTTTCTTACATCTAGTAAATCAGTCGCGGAGGTATACTCGGTGGTAGACATAGTTATCACATCTAAATTAAAATAGTTAGGATAAAGTTTATAAAACATCAAAGCAGCACATCATACTCCTATATATGTACGACCGACAAACTCAATCAGCTTATCAGGGTTTACACATACCTAGGTATCCTAGATTTACAAGTCGGGGCTAAGGGAGGCTCGAAGGACATTTAAGAATAGGTCATTCTATCATGAAACGTAATGGATATCATTTTTGGCCGGTTGATGGTCAGCTTTTATTGACTCCACGCTAGGTGTTCTAGTCTTTTGTTTTTTACCCCTTCCCGTGATAAATACATCCAAATGAACACCATAGACATAGCGTTTTTTAAGTTAAGAGCGTGTGATAAGGAGTCCTTTCCAGCCTTTTCCGATCCTCCAGCCAGAAAGGAGCCCGGTAGTAGGAAAACATCCGTCGATCAAAAAGAAATTATGCATGAACCCATCGCTCCCCTTTTAGTACTTCTTTCCCTGGCGCAGGACATCCCCGAACTCCTCCAGAGGACTGCGGATGAGCTTGGTCTCCTTCCACAGGTTGGGGGTGAGGAAGCCGTAGGTGTTGCCAACGGCGAGGAAAGTGGCCTTGAGGGTGTTCTCGAGGGTCTTGGTCGAACCGGAAGACGAGGTGTAGGCGTCATGGACACCGGCAAGCTGGAGCAGACGCTTAACGGCAGGGGAGGCAACGAGGCCGGTACCACGGGGGGCAGGGATAAGCTGAAACAATGTCAGTATATAAACTCCCACGTATAAGGTTTTTTTTCAAAGGGGCATTTAAAGGGGACGTACTCTGACGGAGACGGAACCGCACTTTCCGCTCTGCTTGACGGGCAGAGAGTGAGGCTCACCGAGGTTGGTACCCCAGTAACCTCTGCGGACGGGGAGCACACTGAGCTTGGCAATGATGATGGCGGCGCGGATGGCAGTGGCGACTTCCTTGGAGGTCTTGATACCGAGACCGACGTGGCCCTCAGAGTCACCGATAATGACGATGGCCTTGAAGCGGGTACGCTGACCGGCACGGGTCTGCTTCTGGACGGGCTTGATCTGTATTGCAAAGAAAAAAAACCGTCAGCTTCTGCTTGCTGAAATCCCATGAAACCTTCCTCGCCCAATCCATTGTCCTAATATCGTTCGAAAAATCGATAGATTTCAAGTTTTCGCAAAGTCGACAGTTTTTTTTCCCTCCACCCCACTCCATATCGCTGGTCCTTGTAGAAGGAAAAAAATTGTGTCCGTACCTTCATGACCTCATCCTTGAGCTTGGGGAGGAAGAAGTCGATGATCTCGTACTCCTTCACGGGCAAGCTGTGCAGGTAGATCTGCTCCATGCTGGTGATCTTGCCGGCCTTGACGAGACGGCCGAGCTTGGTGACGGGCTGCCACTCGTGCTTCTCGGAGTCCTTGGCTCCACGGCGGCCTCTTCCACGACCGCGACGGTCACCACGGCCACGAGAGCCGAATCCACGAGAGGGGGCAGCGCCAGCGGCGGCAGGGGCAGCGTTGTCAGCCATGTTGGATGGTGTTTGACGTCGGTTAACGGCGACCTGATATTAAACAGTCAGTTTCTGGGTTCAATGGTCGAAATTTGTCCCCCAAAAAAAGCAGGATCCGAAGACAATATTCTCAGTCTCACAGCTAACAGCTTGTGTTCTGACCGCAAGAATTGTCCTTTGTGTGAACGTACCTCTATGTGATTTGGTGTGGATACCCGATTCTGTCGGCGAAGACGGATTGTGTGAAATCCCAAATTCAAGGCTAAGCGAGTGTGTCATGTGACACAACCCGTGTATCGCATCCCACTAACCCCGATAAATACTAGCGTATATTAACCCTCGCCTTATCTACAGCATACAGAGTATACTCTGTACAACAATCTACCAGATGCCTTCTTAAGCCACTTTAAGATACTGGATAGTTCCTTTACTAATGATCTGGAAGTGTCAAATGATAGTGTCAAAGAGAATTTACCTTTCTCTCCCGTTCTTCGAGTGCTATGAGGTGATTGCGGGCTTCGACGTGTCTTCAATTTCTTGTGATTTACTAGAAACTGGGTACCTCTTGCTGGAATGTCTCATCTCACTTCATGTGATCCTGTCAGCTCTGCTGACACCAGACCGAAGCCTGGAGAAACGGGTGCCCAACCCAACTTTCATCCGCCGAACACGAGGGGTCAAGAGTACCATCCATTTCATAAAATCCTACATACCTCTCATCATATACTAGTTCGGTTCTATGAAGATCAGATGAGAACGCATTACTCATGGAAAGGAAACTCCACGTTCTAGCTGCTGAAGACAAGTACGCTATGAATCAGTGCTATTCTCTACCAGTGTATCTGTAGCATCCAATCGAAAACGGTTCATTTCTAATTATCGGGTCTGATCTAGTTATGTCAATCAGAGACTACTCCGAAGAATTCTGGAGAGGCTGGGCTGCACAGTTGCCATTGTTAATGATGGGCAACAGGCCCTCGATTACCTGGCCGGTCCGCCTGTAGCTTGCCCACCACCAGATATCATCTTGATGGATGTATGCAGACATCTCGACCGATAAAAACACTAAGGGATATGCTGATAGATAGTGATGGACAGGTTTCAATGCCTGTCATGGACGGATATACTGCTGTACAGATCATCCGCACGCAGCTTCCATTCAGCGCCAACCCGAGACTTCAGACAACACCAATCATTACCATGATCGCGCATAAAATTCCAGAATACCGCATGCGCCAAGGCTGGATTCAAGACACCATAGGCAAACCGGTGAGAGTGTCGCATATGAAGCAGACTCTCCTAAGGTGGTCCCGAAAAGAGATCATCCCCATACCCGGTTCGCAAACTGCGGTTGCTCATCCGGCATGGGGGCCACATCCTTTACGAGCGCATCGTGGACCTCGATCTCTTTTATAGTTGTAGCCATTGCAGCTATCTCGACAAACAGTGCGGGAGTCCTGGGGGTGCTGTCATCCTTCAGTGGCCTATGTCCATAGCTACCCCGGTGTAATCACATCGTCAACGATTTCACATCGCGTCAGAGAAAAGAGATGAGACCTGGGAAAGAACCAATAGTCAATGTGATCAATGTAGATCAATCATTCCGAGGGCCAACGCTAGGGATCACCCCTGACCCTCAGCAATGATTTCAGTCGCAGTGGCAATCACAGTTCAAGTCTTGTAAACACCTGACGTCAATTTTAACCTTTAACTTCACCTGGAAAGCTGTGGGTCGATCGCCTTTCAAGGTTGTCAACTTGTTTTTTCTCTTTATTGTTTCTCACGATGTTTCGAAGTTTCGCTGTGGCAAGAGGGAAATAGAAATTGGCCCCCCACTTCCGTCACTAGTGCCCACTACAAGCTGGTCAATCATGTGAACGCTTATCAGTGCCTGGCCCATGCTTCAGGATTCTTGTTAAACCCCAGACTTCCGTCCTCGAACTGTTTCTTCCTGGCTGCTATCTATCTCCATCAGTTGGACAACAGGGGTAACTATGTTCCGGTGGTACGTAACGCCTTTTACATTGACTGTTGACGCAATCATCCATTAATTGCTCTGTTAGAACCGACTGACCCTTGCCCCAGGTATCAGACGAAGCTGGCCAAGCAGCCGATTCTCACGGCCAGTGTCACCAGTGCTGTAGGCCGACAATCCCTCGCTTTACAAATCGTTTCTAACCGTGCCCCAGGTTCTGTTTGGAAGCGGTGATGTGTTAGCCCAGCAGGCCGTTGACCGGAGAGGCTTCGATAAGCATGACATGGCGCGAACTGGTCGCATGGCGCTCTATGGAGGAGGTGAGCTGCGATGGGTTCCCCTTTTCTCCTCAGATACTAACAGGTTGTTTTTTTATCTCTCTAGCTATCTTCGGTCCAGCTGCTACCACGTGGTACGGAATTCTCCAGCGCCATGTCGTTCTCAAGGGAACCAGAAGTACCCTGATCGCTCGAGTCGCTGCCGACCAGGGTGTCTTCACTCCCATAAACCTCTTCTGTTTCCTTTCGTCCATGGCCATCATGGAAGGCTCCAGCCCGATAGAAAAGCTGCGGACGAGCTTCGTTCCTAGCTACAAGGCCAACCTCATGATCTGGCCGGCAGTGCAGGGAGTGAACTTTGCCATCGTGCCCTTGGAATACCGTGTGTTGGTGGTCAACTTGGTCAGCTTGGGTAAGGACAAGAAGCGTTAATGTGGTCAACTAGCTTTGCTAACTTGTCCGGTACACAGGATGGAACTGCATTCTAAGCATGATCAACAGCGGGGAGAAATGAGTCGGTTCGCTTTGATAGATACCCGGACACCTGATTTCTATCTCCTTTCGGTTCGCTCGGGTCAATAGACGGCTTTCAAAATTCTTCAAGTGCTTTCATCTATAGATTACATACATAGCACGTTATCTCTGGGCTTTTGTGGTTGGGACTACCTTATTTGCTTGTTGGGTTACATTATTTCGAGGGCACTGGATCAAATGACTTATTTGGCTTTAATGATAGAAAATAAATTTTAAATCTTATACTATATCATCATCTATTTCGAGCTTTCTGAGTGCCCGTCATTGATTATTGCATCCTAATTATTGGCCATTCTTGCTATTTTCTTAGGGCTCGCGGGAGGGAGGGAGTGTGGCCAAAAAGGGAAAAGCTGCACTTTTTGCGCGGCGGCATCTCAAAACGCTCCCAAACTTATCATACCCAGGCTTTTTCCTCGCAGAAACAGATCTCAACTCCCACCAAACGCTGCCAGCTGTAAATCTGCCTGGAGCAGTGGAATAGCGGCATTTCTCTCTCTCATATCGACTACCTGTCTGTGTGATACACCCCAGCTGCTCCTTCCGCGGGCCTTTCCACACCAAATTCTCGTTCGAGACTTTTTTCACTCACCCCTCTCCCGACGACGACTGATCGCCACGTCGGGTTCACCTCGCTCTATCTTTTCTCTCGCACCTATTTACGTTTCAAATAATCCTTGATTATTTCCGATCACAATGGCTACTGCTACAGAGAACGCCCAGCCGCCAGTCAGCGCTGAGAACACTGCTCCTGCGGTTGAGCCCAATGAGAAGACAAACGGCGACACGGTCACCGTCTTCCACGATCCTGAGAACTTCAACGTCAAGCACCCTCTCATGCATGAGTGGACTCTCTGGTTCACCAAGCCTCCGAGTGGCAAGGTGAGGGTTATTACACTAGAATTTCGTGGCGCTAAAACTGACTTTGGGTGCAGGGCGACAACTGGAACGATCTTTTGAAGGAGGTCGTGACATTCAACTCTGTGGAGGAATTCTGGGGCATCTACGTATGTTTGCTAATTTTTTTTTCTCTATTTTCCTAATTTTTCTGCATGCGTGGGCTCATAAAACCGCTTCTCAATAGAATAACATCACACCGACTTCGGAGCTTGGACTCAAGGCCGACTACCACCTGTTCAAGAAGGGAGTACGGCCGGAATGGGAAGATATTCAGAACAAGCACGGTGGCAAGTGGTCATACTCTTTCAAGGACAAGCGTTCCGTTCCCATCGACGATCTGTGGCTGCACGCCCAACTGGCGGCGATTGGCGAGACTCTCGAGAATGACGGCGATAATGAAGTCATGGGCGTGGTCGTGAACGTGCGCAAGGGCTTCTACCGTGTCGGTCTCTGGACTCGCTCTGTAGGCAAGAGCCTCCCCGGTGACAAGACTGGCCGGACGCCCGCCCAGGGCAAGGAAATTCTGGAGAGCATAGGCCGTCGATTCAAGGAGGTCCTGCGCCTCAAGGACACCGATATTGTCGAGTTCTCCGGCCACACCGAAAGCGCCCACAGCGGCAGCACGAGAGCCAAGGCTAAGTACACTGCCTAGACGACTCTTCACACTTGACGGCTTACGCATGCATTACGGCACATTTTGTCCTTTAATGGGGCGATTGGAGTGATAATGGAGTGAATGAATCAAAAAAAAGCTAATCGCATATGAGACCGAGTCCCAGCTGGAGAGGGCCACTGGATATGTGGCCCGCCTCTCTCTCTCTCGGCTTTTTCATGTCTTCGGCCTCGTGACGACTTCATCCAAGGTTCCTGGACATGTATCTTATTCTCAAAACGTATCTTTTCTCTCTGAGCTTATTCCGTTACATGTCAAGTTTCCTACATTTTATTCACTGTGACGTTCTTCGATCTTTGTTTTCTTTTCTTTCTTTTTCTTACATTTCCATTGTTCGCATGTGGCTATTGATGCGCAAGATATCATAGATACCAGGAATTAAAGCAGTCTGACCACTGCCTTGACTATCCAAGACCCACGATATGATGATAAGGCTATAACGATGTCTCCATATCACGCTACAGAAGAGCGGACCCATATGCATACCTCGGTAACAAGCAAGTTACTGCTCCTGCCTCGAATTGGATACATGAAATCCTGTTGCACTTGTACAGCATGGGAACTTTTGTGCCTTTCATGTTTGATTTGTAAAAACAGGATTTGGCAGAAGCAGTGGGCTTCGCTACCTGAGACAGTAATGGCGGATTTCTCTCAAGTCTTACGGCGCTATCGAGTGAAGCTACTTGAGTACTATTAAACGCAGTGTCTCGAAGGCATTTGCTAGAAATAAATCATAACTACAGATCCTATACTTGTTGATTGCGGAAAAAATAGGCTGAATAGAGTGCAGCTCTGAGATGCTGTTCAAACTAGCTTGAAAATATTCAGAAATTCCAAATGTCTCGTTCGTGTCCAACTCTAGAGCTGCGCTTCGAGGCTCCTGATCCCAGTCGTTACACAATCTCGCTAGGGGTACGTCAAGGCCGGCTGGAATTGAAAGGCAAACGAGGTAAGCCGGGCATGGGCTTGTGAATTTGGAATTTTGAAGACAAGACAGAAAGTAAATCAGAGCTTTGGTAGCTAAAGGTTTTAGACAAATGATAGTCTCATGACATGACTTGGGACTCTCACCACTTGATCCTCCAACTCTCACCAGCCCTCAATATAAGGCCACCCATCATTTAGTGAGTTATATCCACTTTGCCTCTCATAGGGAATAGGAGAGCTTTGATTGCTGACCTCAGCTAGGTAATTTGTGATACCCTTTGCAGTCCGAGACCATTCAGGCCAACGAGACACGGGCAATGACCAGGCTTTACACGAGCCACAGGACCCTCATCTATGAAAGATGCCGAAAAATCCTCTGATACAATCCTAGAGCATGACACACGATAACGGATCGGGGCACAATTTACTTCTCGGCGGGTGGGACAAAGACGCGGGGGAACGAAGCATGCAGGTTCCATCCTCGGAGGCTGTTCAGCTGCCAGGGCGCAAGGTAGCATTCCGAAACATCTCTATTGTTCGATGAAGATCTTTTTTTGAACCGGACGGTAGCTGAAATTTCTAATAATGGCGATCACATGCAGTGAACGCTCTTTCTTACCGCAACCGGAACCCACGTTGTTTTGGAAGACATACGGAGGGCCTAACGCCCGAACACAGATGCTCTCTGGAATGCTTCAGTGGGGTCTCCTAGAAGCAAGGTGCTCTACAGCGTCTTGCATATTCCTCATCCTCGTGGCGTTGTTCATCTCGGATGGCCAGGGTCCAGTCCAATACAAACATGTCATGTTTACTCAAGCGGGACACCCTGCATGAAGAGCAGGCCTGGATCCACACACAACTCGGTCTCTCCGATGCTTGAAGTGGACTTTCCTGGTAGCCTTCACACCCTCGTCTCCAGTCTTGGGTTACATGGATAGATACAGTGCAATCCCTTGATCTGACCCGGCGCCAAGAGGAACATGGAGTGTACCTGCTATCTACGGGATCGAGTACATGGCCCATTTCGGTGGATTGGCAGGTCGCTGCTTCCGACTCTGATACCTTGATGCAGGAATATAAGGTGTGGGTTGTTCCACCTCACTGGATCTCCACCCATGTGAAGTCCATTCCTACCTGCAGATATTGGATATTCCTTAGTGCGGGCCACGTCGATATCAATAATCATGTCCTCCGGAGATGACCAGCCCAAGTGCGTACAATCCTCGCGTTTTCAGTATTCCGCGCTCATGTTTTGTCTAGATTGAAACATCATGGGGATGATGTTCCGTCGAGCGCGAAGACAGCCTCCTCTGAGGCGGATGAGAAGATCTCATTGACCACGCCAGATGGAGAAGAACCCAGCGATGAGGAAAAGAAGAATCTCCAGCACGTTGCTGAGAACCTCCCCCTCTCAGTCTGGCTTGTCGCCGTTGTCGAGCTCTCCGAGCGTTTCACCTACTACGGAATGTCAGGCATGTTCCAGAACTATCTCAACCTTCCGCTCAATGGCAGCGAAGGACGCGGAGCATTGGGGTTGGGTCACCAGGGAGCTACCGGCTTGAATACTTTCTTCCAATTTTGGTGCTATGGTAGGTTGGATTATTTAGCATAGCATTGCGGATCGGCCTTCTCTCAGCTTTGCTAATGTATGGCTGTACTACTAGTTACTCCCATCATCGGTGCCATTGTGGCTGACCAGTATCTCGGCAAATACAAGACCATCGTTATGTTTTGCATCGTGTACTTGGTCGGTCTGTTAATCTTGTTTCTTACCTCTCTTCCGGTTTCGCTCCATCATGGCGCTGGCCTTGGAGGGTTCATCGCAGCCATTCTCATCATTGGTCTCGGGACCGGAGGTATCAAAAGTAACGTTGCTCCTCTTATTGCTGATCAGTATACACGCAAGAAGATGGCCGTGTCGACGACCCAAAATGGCGAGCGCGTTGTCATCGATCCAGCGCTCACTGTACAGCGAATCTACATGATCTTTTACGCCTGTATCAACACCGGTGCTCTCTCGCTTCTGGCCACATCTTATATGGAGAAGTTTATCGATTTCTGGTCAGGTTACTTGCTATGTCTTTGTATGTTTGCCATTGGCATCTCGGTTCTTATCATAGGACGTAATAGCTATGTTGTCCGTCCTCCGCAGGGATCCATCATCACCAATGCCTTCAAAGCACTAGGTATCATGATTGTCAGCCGCAACACAGACGCGCCCAAGCCCTCGTGGCAGGCAGTCAACGGTGGCAAGCGCACCAACCTGCCTTGGGACGACCACTTCATTGATGAACTGAAACGGGCCTTGGTCGCGTGTCGTGTTTTCTGTTTCTATCCCATCTACTGGGTTGTCTATAACCAGTTCTCGAGCAATTTCGTTACACAAGCGCAGCAGATGCAGGGCCACGGGATTCCCAACGACCTGATGCAGAACTTTGATCCCATCTCTATCATCGTCTTCATCCCTATCCTAGAGACTCTGGTCTACCCAGCCATGCGGAAATTACACATTCCCTTCCGACCCATCACCCGCATCGCACTCGGATTCATCGTTGCATCTCTGGCAATGGTATATGCTACAATCGTGCAACACCTCATCTACTCAGCGGGACCGTGCTACGAGCATCCATTATGCGACGCCTCCAAGGTCAATGGCATTGCCCAAGGTAATCGCGTCCATATTGCAATCCAAACTCCAGCCTACGTCTTGATTGGGCTCTCTGAGATCTTCACTTCGGTATCCGGACTGGAATATGCATACACCAAAGCGCCACCCTCCATGAAGTCGTTTGTGCAATCTATGTATCTACTCACCACTGCCTTTGGGGCCGCGCTGGCCGAGGCCTTGACGCCTGCAGCGTTCGATCCCGCCATCCTATGGATGTTCGTGGGCCTAGCCTGTGGGACCTTTCTGGTTGGGATAATATTTTGGGTTACCTTCCACCACCTTAATGATCAAGAAGATGTGATGAATGCCCTGGATGCGAATGATTGATTCTATTGTTCCATGCTGTCGGGAGAAACAGTTAATTGAGTCTTGGGCTTTCGCTGTCATATCTATCAGCACATTAATGAAAGAAAAGACCAATTGTCTATTGAATAAAAGAAAGTAACACATTAAAGAGAGAGGGAAAAAAAATATCAAAAAAGAAAGTGACGACACCAGTAGGACTCGAACCTACGCCTCCGAAGAGAACAGATTTCTAATCTGCCGCCTTAGACCGCTCGGCCATAGTGTCTTATATATTATCTTGCTTAAAATTTGGATATAGGTAGCTAAGAAATGATTATGGATACTATTGAGGTACGTCTGTAGGTTTCTTGCCCACTTCCTAGTACTATGATGGTGGTTTCTTATTATTGAATGTACAGAATATAAATTTTTCTTGGTATATAGATATTATCTGAGTTTCACATATATCCTCGGTCACCAGGAAATTTAGATAATGTAGCTGTAATTTGTTTCTATGTTGATATACCAAATTGGTAAGGAACTGTTGAGGCGTACCTGAGGTTAGTTCTTAGTTCAAGTGCCTGCTCTCTTGGTATTTCTCTCTTGGTTCCTTTCTGGCTTCTTTCTTCTGTTCCCCTATCTTCCTTCTTCCCTGAATCTGCCTTTCCAAATCCTTGCCTCACGAACTAAGCTTTACCTGAAGTCTTTGTACCTTAATATCTAGTGATGATCATGAAGCACCTTGGCATTCTCTTGCTGACTGTCACATTGGTGGCTGCAGCTATCCTGCCAGCTGGTGGTGACGCTGGAGGTGCCCTGTATGCAACTAACAACCATGGTGAGAAAGAAAGTCTCCTTGCTACCCCTTCATAGGTTTACACATCTACAGTCTCGGCTTTTGGACTCGTTGACAGCCTCAACCAAACTCAACTCCCCGGACCCAGCCGTGATCTCAACTGCAGCACCAAGCGTTGCAACAAGGACAGAGACTGCATTGGCGATTGCACCAAATGTTCGAGCCATGAATGCGTCTGTTAGTATCATTCGATATCTTCCACGTATTCAACCACTCATGGCACACTAGACAAATTCATCAACGATGAAGATGTGTGTAGAAGAAAGTGTCAGAGCAATGCAGACTGCGAGTCCCCTTGTGAATATTGCTTGGTGATCAAGGAAATCTGCTACAGTGTGTTGCATAACTTTCCTAGCTTCGGTGAATATTGCTCATTCATTTCCAGACGGGTATCCCCCCAAGAGAGACATATTGACCAGGGATGACAAACCGATGGCCGATCTCCTGGAGGCCGACACCACTCTTGGTGACGATAATTTTCCCGAGAAACACGTCTAGAGGGTATTGGTAATTGCCAGTGAATCTGCAACCGGTGTATCGAATACAAGGTTTGCAGGTCTGTGTGGTCCCAAGAGCTGTCTAGATGCCCCTTCATAACGTCTCCGGGTCTTGATAAGCCTGGTTTGGCCTCGTAACCGTTCGTTTCAGCGTTGATCTCGGCAGTGCAAGCTGATGCCGGTGCTGGACACTGGTACTAGCGCAAGGCATAATAATGAGATTTGGCGACTACGGATTGACTGCGAATGGTAGAATCAAGCATTAATGACTAGAAATGAATAAAAGCCATGGTTCATCAGGAATCATGTAGAGCTGATGTGTTGTCTAACCTGGTGTGATTTGTCATTTTTCTCGATTGATTTACGTGCACGTGACTTATTCCGAGCTTCGCACGTTTAAGCACCGAGGCCGAGCTCACAAACACCAAATCCTGATTCAACAGACGCCAATAGAATCAGAATGTCGAGTTCTGGCTGTCTCCACGGAGCACTTCCATCCTATTCCGATGGCACTAATCTCAGCAGGGGCGCTTTTTATGTCGCGAATCCCGTAAATTTTGTTCTCAGGGTTTCCAGGGGCGCAAAGTATATAAATACCTTGCGTCGGCGCCTGGCCCGTCAGCAATTTGTCTAATCACAGATTCCTACTCTAAACCGCAGACTCCCTGAAATCCTTCATGGCGGACAATAAGAATATTGTCATTCTCGGGGGTTCCTACGGGGGCGTCTCGACCGCTCACTACCTGCTTAAACATGCTGTACCTCAGCTTCCCGACGGCGATTCCTACCAGGTCGTCCTGGTTAGCGCATCGACGCAGGTAATCTGTCGCCCGGCCTGTCCTCGCGCCCTGATTTCGGACGACATGTTTCCTCAAGACAAGCTCTTTGTCGACATCCCGCCGTTGTTCGAACAATATCCCGCGGGACGCTTCCGCTTTGTGCACGGCTCGGCCGTGAAGTTGGACCATGCTGATCGGACTGTGTCGGTCCAGTTAGCGGATGGTCAGAAGGAGACGACGGCCACGATCGCGTTCCACGCCCTGGTAGTTGCCACTGGTGCGTCTACCTCATCTCCGTTGATGGGGTTGAACGGCGATGAAAACTCCCTGCGCGCTGCCTGGTCGGCCTTCCGCCAGGCGCTTCCGACTGCCAAAAGCATCGTCATTGCCGGCGGGGGCCCGACAGGGATTGAGACAGCAGGTGAACTTGGCGAGTATCTGAACGGGCACGCCGGCTGGCTTCGCTGTAAGCTGGATAACCCCAAGGTGGCTATCACGGTGGTCACGTCAGGGGCTCAAGTCTTGCCCGTCCTGCGGACCAGCATTGCGAGCACGGCAGAAGACTATCTCGCTCGCGTCGGGGTGAAGGTCATCAAGAACACCAAAGTGGCTACGGTCACGCCGCCGGAGGCAGGGACTACACAGGCCACCCTGACGACCAAGACCAGCCTCACCCTATCTGACGGACGCACGTTGGAGGCCGACATCTACATCCCTGCGATGGGAGCCAAACCTAACACGGGGTTCATCGATGGGTCCCTGTTGGCTGCGGACGGCCGCGTGCAGACCAATGCCTCGACGTTGCGGGTCGAGGCGGCGGGTCCACGCATCTATGCCATCGGCGATGCGGCCACGTTCGCGCGGCCATCCGTGCATTCGATCATCAACGCGATTCCCGTGCTGGGCGCCAACATCAAGCGCGATCTGCTTCTTGCAGCTGGGGCTACTGCAGGTGAGGACCGGGTCTTCACAGAAGACGTGCGCGAGACGCAGCTGGTCCCGATCGGGCGGAGCAAAGGTGTCGGTGCGGTGATGGGATATCGCGTGCCCAGCCTGCTTGTCTGGGGTATCAAGGGGCGGGATTACTGGCTGTGGACGACTGGAGGGTTGTGGAGTGGTAAACAATGGGCCAAGGAATCATAGCAGCATCTGCGGAGATGTATCTAGATATCTACTCCATCTGATCATTCAGCCATGGATCCTCGAGTAGATCCTTGGCTGTCTTCCTAGCTTCAGGCCGCCACTGAAGCATCCCTCTCATGAAAGCTATAAACATCTCCTTGTTTCTTCCCTCGAGGAACTCTTCCGACAGTTCCAAACTGACTCCTGTCGGGATCTCTATGTCTTGCTTCCATTTTCCTGCAATCATGTCTTCGTAAGCCTTTTTGCAAACGTGCATTTAATGAAGCCAAAAGAATGATACGCTTACCATCATCAGTAAAGAATTCATGGCTTCGTTTTCCACGCCGGAGCATATCTAAAGGCGGTGGCCCTAAAATTCGCATGACTTCTGCAAGATGTGCCCGGGTTGAGTATCCTTTGCCATCCGGGTCATTTCCGTAGAAAAGATGTCTCCCCTCAAACAGATCCCACACCTATAACTGGTTAACAGACATATGATATTTGGAATGAACAGCAGAGCATACCATCACACCGACATTCCAGATGTCGACAGGGTAACTCCAATCCGTCTTTAGCATCACTTCCGGTGATCTATAAATGTTTGGCTGTGCATCGTGATTTCTCCTCTCGTCTCCCCGTACAGCAGAGCCAAAATCACTTAGCACTGCTCGGCCAAACACCTTCGGCAAGTCGAAACGCCGGGAAGCATATACCGGCAACCCATTGACGATTTTGCGGGGTGAAGGGTTCTTTAGTTCGGCCTGGGTAAAACTTTCAAGTATTGACTTGTCTTCTATATCTTGGAGAATATTATCGCTTTTGATGTCTAAGGATGCAAATTAGGGTAACCATTTCTAAGAAAGGTATATAGATGTCTTACCGGTGTGGACAAGCTTGCATTCGGTGTGTAGATAGTCAAGGGCAAGGAAGATCTGCATTAGACCAGCTTTGAGTAGATCTTCAGTAAATCGATGGCTGGGATTACGATATAGTAGATCCCTAAAGCTCTCCCACATTGGTTTCTGCACAAGACACGGATGGTCCCCGCCAGAACGAGGAATTGTGAAGAGATCCAGTGCTTTTCTTATATGAGGGTGGCCAGGGTGCCATGAACTCCCCTGATTCAGTTGCTTGTAGATCTGGAACTCTTCCTGATTACCTTCATCCCGCGTGTAGATTTTGAGTGTCACATATTGATGCCCTCTGAATGTGTCAGTTGGTCAGTGTTTAGTCGCTAAAATAGATAGATCTGCCCCGACTTACTCAAGATCACGAGCAAGCCATACTGTAGAAGTAGTCCCAAAACCAAGTTTGCCAATGATCTGGTATTTGGAACTAATCACATCGCCAATATTAGCTGGATAATATCGCCCTTTTTTGAACTGCTCAAACCGTTCCTCTTCAAGGACCTCTGAGGGACGGACAATCTCGAAGCTGCTGGTGGGAAAACACATGGGAGGCAAGGGCCGTTTAAGGGCCTTTGTGGCCCACTTCAGGAGTGTGGCCATGTTTGAACCAGACTGTACTCAATTAGTATAATAGTGAATATTGAGTCATCAATATAGGAGAGGTAGCGAAATGTAGCTTATCCGAATGTTGTTGTCTTGTTGTCTTGCCGTGCATTCAAGGCCGAAATGCGCCAATCTACTAAGCCCAATCTGGAGATGGCCCTGCATGTTTTTGGATCTTTGGACTCTCTCTTCCAGCGCTTCTTTTCCCCCAGTCAACTCCTCCTCCACCTCTGTTCCTGCTTTATCCTTCGCCTTCAAGCTGTTTCCTTCTCCTATATCTGCCATAGACTTGGAATAATAGTGTCAGCTGGTGCTAGTGGGCGTGCTGCTCTCGAGTCCTCGTCGATGGGGACTGTCGGTGACGTCCTCGTTCTTCCAGCAGTGGATGGAGGCCATTCTCCAGGAATACCTATGATCCACTGTCGAGATCTGCATTGATGACATCGTCGTCTACTTCAAGTCGCTGGATCGGTATCTTATTATCTTGTGAATGTACTGGAGCTCCTTGATAAATCTGGTATTATCTGGCCTGGTATTAAGTGTTGTTTCAGTGATGATTCGCAATTGCTTGACATCGATATCCCGATTCCACTGCGGATGAAAAAAAAAGATTTCAGCTTTGGCAGGTCCCCTGTCCTCTGTGTTGATGTGCCTTCATAAGATGAAGTATGGATTTTTGTCAGCGTCAACCCGCTGGTAGTGAGCGTCATCCGGTCTGGCAGAGAGAAGCTAACTGTTCAGCAAGTTTATACATCATTCCCAAGCCGTTTAACTGGGCGACCACACCACGACGGGCAGTTGACAACCACATTACTACATATAGTAATCTCCATGTGCACTGCCTGCAGCACGAGACTGCCGGTCCGCCCTAGCGTTGCGTGGACGTTTGGGGGCCATTCTATGGGCTTCATGGTTAATCACCACAACTGGTAACAATCTTTCTTGAATCTTTATTACGATATCCTTCCTGCAGACGGCTGAGAATAATTATTATCAAGAAGAAACTGCCTCAGGCCAAACAAACCCGAGTCTTCTCGAATCCCCATCCTATGCAGCGCTGCAGTCACTGGGGCTGATGGACCCTGTGGGACGATCAACGGCCAGGATCCACCACACCCAGGTGTCAATGCACCATAAAGGGGGCTGTGTATGATTCTGAATAGAGAACCGTGGATAGGGCTACGCCATGGTGGTTGAGTTCTGTGCAGGACTCCAGTGGTGTCCTGTACAGCTTCGGAGTATGTAACAATAGGCAGACGCATTCTAATTTATGCGACATTGAGGCTTGGATTGTTCTTGAAATAGAGTGGCTGCACAATGCCTTAGTATGAGATGTGGGTAGCACTTTGAGTCTTAGGTATGGAGTACTATCTGCTGTACGACTTACTGGGATGTACTGCTATGGAGTAGAAGTGAATGCACTTTATAATAACTGCTCAGATGGACTTTGACTCCGTAGTAGAGTTAATTTCATAGAGGGGCATGGCAAATTGGAGGGGCAGGGAGAACAAAGTCGACCTCATCGAGCTTACTATGTAGTGAGTATATTAAACTAAAGATCAGCTGTATTTAGATAGTTTTGACTTGGTGAATGAAATTTTAATTATTAGTAGGTATATTCTGGTGTAATTGAATCCATAACAAAGGCAACAAGCATACCAAAGTCGTTGCCCGGAACCCGCGAGAGAAAACGCCGCTGCCTGCGAATCCATGGCTTTCGTTGCCTCCTGTTAGCCACACACTTCATCAGAGGATCAGAGGAATAAGTGGCAGACTCCAGACACTACTTGCCATTATTGCTTGTTCTACAGAGTCACTTCTTCATCAATTTGGTTTCGAAAAGCCCTCTGAAACACTGTTTCGCAAAAGGGGTCTCGATTACTGCCCGGTCTGTGCTTCGCCCCTAAACCAGCATCAATCATAATAATAAGAAATCACTTCATCTCTGCTGTCGCGCCTCCTCGCCAAAATACTATCTTCCACGCTGCGCCTCTCCTCGCGTTGAAAAGAAACAGAACCACTAAAGTCAATTTGGTCTGTGACTAGCCAGTCCCCTGCTGCAGGATTGATTAAATTAAGTATCCCTCAGTCAGCCGCGGCGTGTCCCAAGAAGCACGTCCCCGTCCTCCAGCCGCCCGCCAAAGTCAGCAGTTGTCTGTCTCTGTCAGCCGCTTGTCTCCTCTCATCCTTCACCAACCTTTACTACATACATCCTTTTTTCTCTCTTTTCCTCTCGAGTTGGCGTCTGGTTCTTCGCTTTACCGCTAGAATTCTACAGCGACGCGAAACGACTCGTGACGTTCGATCGGCCATTTACAATTGCGCTACCCCCTACCTTCTTCCGCCGCTCTCCGATCTGGAAATCGGAATAGGGCTGAGATACTCGAAAGACTACGGTTTTCCTTTTAATACAATATCATAATGAGTGTACGTGATTTTTTATCCCAAAAGGAAGGGAAGGGGGTAAAGGAAACCCCGTGGGTTGAGCGACCGAGTGCTCATTGTTGACGTGTTTAGTACCAGAATCTCAACAGCTCAGACGGCTACGGTCAGTACGACCCGTATTCCGCTCAGCAGAACCCTTACGCTCAACAACAACAAGGCTATGGCCAGGCTAGCGCAATGGAGCAGGGTGCTGGCGGTTATGGTGAGAGGATTGCCCCGCTCCCCCCCCCTGTCGAGAGTTGACTTGGCTAACTGATTGTGTTTCTACTCTTAGAAATGTCATCTATGAACAACGGTTCCAACCAGCAGCAGGGAGGTGCCACGGCAATTCTGAACCTGTGCCGACGCATCAACGAGGATCTGCAGGGCATCCGCCAGAAGCGCGAGGGACAGTTGGTCGCGTTACAGAATGCGCTGCTAGACTCCAGCACCGGCAAGGAAGACCAGGAGATCCGCCAGAACCTCGACTACATGGAGCAGGAGATCAAGAATGGGTTCGAGGCTTTGCGCGAGAAGCTCAAGAAGGCCAAGCAGACGCCCGGCTCTGGTGACTCGCGCGTGCAGACTCAGATTGACCTCGCGAGCCGCAATATCCAGCAGGAGATTGAGCAGTACCGCAAGGCGCAGGTGGACTTCAAGGCCCGCCTCAAGGACCAGGTGCAGAGGCGGTACGAGATTGCCAACCCGGAGGCCAGCCCAGAGGAAGTGCGCCAGGGTGTGGAGATGGTATTAATGGGCCAAGAGCAGAGCTTCCAGGTAGGATATTTTTTTTTCTCTTAATAAAAAAAAGAGAGAGGAAATATGATTGTTAATAATACTGTGATAGGTCTCTGGCAACCGCACCCGACAGGCGAATGATGCGAAGAAGGCTGCTATGGAGCGCTCATTGGCAATCCGCAAGATCGAACAGGACATGGAGGAACTGGTCAATCTCTCCAAGGAGATTGGTCAGCTGGTTCTACAGCAGGAGACTGCGGTCGAGCAGATCAACGAAGACGCCGGCAACGTCGCCACAAATGTGCAGATCGCCAACAAGCAGCTGGACAGCGCCATCGTCAGCGCACGGAACGCCCGAAAGTGGAAGTGGTACGCACTGGGTATCATCGGTACGTTTTCTCACCCACCTTTTTGACTCTATGCAGAAACACTAGATCCCCAGCTAACAACTCTAGTCCTCATCATCATTATCATCATCATTATCGTCGTTGTTGTCAAGGAGGTCGAGAAATGATTCCTCCTACTGGCTGTTTGGATGACGCCATGTGGTGTTGGACTATGTCTATTCTTCGTTTTCCATTCGATAATGCCTTGTTTCCATATTCCTTCCGAGTGTCTCGTATTCCCAGTCTCGCTTCATGATACATTGAAACAGGTGCAATCCAAGGTTACTCTCCGTCCTCGCTCGCTACCTTCCGTTGTATCCTTTGCTATACCACTTTGCTTTTCCTCGTTTGCCTTTTGCCACGTTTTTCCATTCCTCTGTCTCTGTTGTTAAAAAGCAATAACCTAACCCTGACTTTCCACTGTTTCCTTGTTTTCCTTTCTTCTGCTGTCTTTCTTTCTGCCCTTCTGTACATCTGCGACTCATGGGCCGTCGCACATGTATATAGATTGTGTCCTAGATATAATTCCATCAAACTCTTATAATATCTCTGATTCATGGCATGTAGTATATAATTCTTCCTTTGAGTATCTCCGCTAATCCCTATGGATTCTGCAGTCTCTCCTTGTCTCTCTGCTCCTCCTCGGGCGTCCTCGTCCGTAACTGCAACGCATGGATCCCCCCCTCCCGACTCATCTCTTCTTTTAGCAGCGCGTATACCATCCGATGTCTCGCCGGTTGCATTTTTGATTGAAAAGCGGGGGATGTAATGGTAACACTAATTCGTTAGATAGGATATGTAAGCATCTTGTCTGTCTGAGAAAAAAAAAGGGTTGGAGAGCTGGGCGCACTGGAAATGCGTTTCCGTCGATGTCGACCCGCGCATCGCATTGTGGTGGGCGTGGAGATGTGAATCGTTACGAATTATCAGTGTTGAAGGGTTGAATTCTGCAGCAATCTAAATGTAGACTGAAATCAGTATTCACATATACATGGCATCGTCTTTGGGTAATTCAAGTTGAACCAATCTTGGTGTGGGCTCACCTTTTCTCTGATCAGATCCTCCACGGGCGTATTCGAGGCCATCCTGGACGCAGTACTGGAGAGGAAGCGGCGAGAAGCAAAGCGGAGCATTTCACTCGAAGAAAGAGATAGCAATGAGAAGATGCGCTTCTTGTTGGAGGTGGAGGAGAAGGAGGAGTTGGAAAGCAGTAATCAGTGTCACTCTATCGAGCTCGGGCGGATCTCCGCAGCGGATTTATTTTAAGCTTCCTCGAACTTCAACCTCAACCTCGAAGCTTGAATGCAACTCAGGCCTTGACAATAGAGTGAGGAGAAGAATTGACTGTGGTTACTACAGCTAATACAATGATCCATCCACAATAATCTTCTTGTTTCCTGTCATGCTTCAATTAGACCGGGTGATGTCACGACTGCTCCCGCGGGGCGCGTCGGGCCTTGCAGGCTGTCGAGCAATTTCCAATCGACTGCCCTCAAGGGTATCGCTCTCGAAGAACTCTGCGATCACTCGTCCTCTATCTACCCTGCCGAATCTACCGCTCTTCCATGCGCTCCAGAACCATGATCCCTCCGCTGTGGCCGTCGTCCACAGCGCGTCGTCTCGGACCTTCACGTACGGGAACCTGCTCGCTGATGTGCTTCGTGCGAAGGAACAACTCGCCGAGACCACAAAGGGTGGCAGGCATGCTCTGGCAGGCGAGCGTGTTGGGTTTCTGGCGGAGAACAGCTATGATTACGTAGGTACTGTTTCACTTCGCATTCTCATCTGCCTTCTCACGAACGGTATTGCTTATCCTCGGATGTCAAGTGACGCTTCTGTCGATTCTCGCCAGTGATGCGATCGCGCTCCCTCTGTCGCCGTCCTTCCCTGTTCATGAATTGAAGTATATCATGGATAACGCCCAGGCGAAGGTGCTGCTTGCTACGGAAAAGTACCAAGACAAAGCCTTTGATGTGGTCAAAACTGGGCTCGAAACAGAGCCTATTGTTGATATCAAGGAAAAGATTCAAGCCGGGTCATCCGATGCAGGTCCTGTTACTTTCGAGGACGCCGTGGGGGGGTCGTCACAGGGCGGGCTAATGCTGTACACTTCTGGCACGACAAATCGACCGGTAGGCTTCCTACCTTAACCTTTGTATCCCTTGATATGTCTATGGATGTGTGTTCTAATGGGCGAAGAAAGGGGTGCTTTTGCCGCAATCGGCTCTCACAGCCCAGGCATCTTCGCTTCTCCGCGCATGGAAGTACACGCCCAAAGACCACCTGCTTCATCTTCTTCCCCTCCATCATATCCACGGCACAGTCAATGCAATCGTGACGCCTGTTCTTGCCGGGGCATCTGTCGAATTTATGTTTCCCTTTAATACAGATGCGGTCTGGAACCGACTGGCGGCTCCATTTCTCTCGAATGTCGAACCGCCAAAAACACCAAAACCCAAAATCTCCTTCCTTACGGCCGTGCCCACCATCTATAACCGCCTCTTGTCCTCATTCCCAAATCTCTCAGCCGAAGTCCAAGCGGCTGCTAAGCAGGGCATATCTCCGCAGAACCTCCGACTGAATATCTCCGGCTCGGCTGCCCTTCCAACACCAACAAAACAGGCCTGGAAGGATCTGAGCAATGGAAACGTCCTTCTAGAACGATATGGGATGACCGAGGTTGGCATGGCGATCAGCTGTGGCTTGGATGTTGCGGACCGCGTGGATGGCAGCGTTGGTTGGCCTCTGCCGTCCGTCGAAGCCCGTCTCGTCGACATGGAAACCAACGCGGTGATCCTACCGGGCGAGGAGAGGGATCCGACCACCGGGCGCGAGCGGGAGGGAGAAATCCAGCTGCGCGGGCCGACCATCTTCAGCAAGTACTGGGGCAACGAGGCCGCCACTGCGGAAGCCTTTGTAGACGGCGACGACGGCAAGGGCCCCTGGTTCCGCACCGGTGACGTTTCCACCCGCCGGGTTGTCCCCGGGGCGGGCAAGGGCACCAGCGGCGACTGGGCACAGGGCTCCATGTATTTCATCCAGGGCCGACGGAGCGTTGACATCATCAAGACAGGCGGCGAGAAGGTTTCCGCCCTCGAAGTTGAGAGAGAACTGTTATCTCTGTACGCCACCTTCTCACATAGCCCTATATCTTTTTGCTTTCTAACAATTGATTTTTCTACCTTTTAGTCCCCAAATCGCCGAAGTGGCAGTCGTCGGCCTCCCCTCGGAACAATGGGGCCAAAAGGTTGCCGCCATCATCGTCCTCAAGTCGGACGCCCTCGGCCGCAACGGGAAACCATGGGGCCCTATGGACATGCGACGCGCGCTCAAGGACCGGCTAGCAGGTTACAAGATCCCGCAGGAGGTGAAGATCTTGCAGACGCCTATTCCGCGCAATGCCATGGGGAAGGGTGAGTTGACTTATTATTGATTGCTGGTCTTGAGACATGCTGACTTCCCCTGATTTGATAGTCAACAAGAAGACCCTTGTCCAGGAGGTATTTCCAATGCTAACTGAATAATTGCAAAAACTTTTAAAAGTCTTTGGTGTATATCACCATAATATTAGGGTTAGATAAAATAATACAAATATTAGACTGCTGTATGCATAGTACCTAGCTGAGGGACACTAGACACACGGTGATTTAAGAATGGTGATTAGCTTTCTATTGATCTAATTTACAATTCTATTTTGTGAATTTACATGTTATACATCTATTGGCTTAAGCCCACTCGCCTACCCGCTCGAAATGCTTGATCACCTGCGTGGCCTCCATGGTGACCAGCATGCGCGAGAAATCCACAGAGGTGATCTTGGCCTCGACCATGCTAAGTACGTCGACGGCTGGGAACTTCTCGGGGATGGCAACGTGGCAGCGGACGCCGAGAGAGGTGATGACTCCTGCGTAGCCGTAGCCGTACTCGGTGCCTATCAGAGTGGTGTTGGAATAGGGTCTGTGAAGCAAGCAGGGGAATGTCTCTGGAAGGGTGCATTCCCCAAAGTAAAAGCCCCGGAAGAGGAACATGCAGGCCCAAAATTGTTTAGAGGCATTGTCGACCGCGCGGATCCGCGAGTGTTTCCACCGCGAACGGGCGATGTACGTTTCGACATCCTCTTTAGAAAACGGTAGGGCGGAGGCGTCCTGGGAGGCATCAAACTGACGGCCATGTTTCTGTTCGAACCGTAGCGCCGCTTCGATCTGGTAGTGGGCGATTAAGTCGACGTAGCGGCGGAGGGGGCTGGTCGATTTGACATAGGCGTCGAGGCCTAAGGGTGTGTGGTGAATCGGGGTGGTTGATGAAACGCCGCGGGGTGCAGCGTAATCGAACCAGCTACCTCCTCCGTACTCCGACATGTTCTTGTTGGTAAGTTTGGGATATTCCGGGTGATACCAGGTGCCATCATAGACGACGGGAATATTGCGCTCCGCACACCATTTCCCAGAAACCCAGCAGGCTAGGTTCATGAGTGGTGCGACAAGATTGCGCTTGCTCAGGTCGGGGACTTCATGAGGGTCAAAATCTCTCATGGTCACTTGGATCACCGGATCCCCTAGAACGTAGCGCCCCGTATGGACCTTCATATTGTAAGGTTTCATCGGCGCCTTTCCAGCGCTCACGCGGACAGAGTTTTCAGCCGACAAGGGCCACTCCATGGCACCGTTTTGTTTTCTGTACTCGCGGAAGGCCAGTATGAGCTTTCGTAGGATGTGGAATCTTTCCTCGTCGTCTGATGACATCGATTCTTGGATGCCTTTTCGCGTGGAGTGTCGAATGAACTTTCCACCCACGGTCAGCTCCCGAGCTTGCCGGCGGGCATCGGATTCGAACAGAGTGCGTAATTTGTCATGCGTGATGTAGATAACATTCCTGATCGTTCCGTTTCGGATATCTGTCTCCAACACGTCTCCGCTCAGGTTCATCTTGGCGCTGAAGGTGAGGGTCGGTCGGCCACTGGACAGACTGAAAAATTTCTGTGTCATTCCATCTGGTAACATAGGGTATGTACGTTCTGGGGCATAAACCGTCTGATACCGTGACGCAGCATACTTCATGATCGAAGTATCATGAGAGATGAAAGCCGATGGATTAGCAATATGGACCCGGATCCAAAAAGTGTCATCGGACCCGGGAACAGGTTCCAGAGAGACACCGTCGTCAATCTCCTGGGCGTCTACATCATCCACACAGTAGACCGGCAAATCACCCCAGTCGGTTCGCACATCACACATTCGGTCTTCAAGTTGGCTAGCATCCAGTCGCTTACTGGCATCCAATGCCTCCTTCCATTGGGCGTCTGCTCTAGCCGAGATGGAATGGCCTGGAAGAGCAAGGCTCTGGTCCAGCAACCGCATATTCTCCCACGGGGTAGAAACACCTAACTCTTGAAGCAGTAAGGGGGCAGATGCTGAACTCACGTCCATCATGTCATACATCCCCGTTGCTCGCATGATATGACATCCGATTGTGCGTAGCGCGCCGGAAGTCATGCGACGAGGAGGGATGCAGAATAGCTGAAGATATTCAATGATCTTCTGGTCATCGGAATTGAACGGTTCCGTTCCCACCATTTTGTAGACCAGGCCGTTCCCATCCTCCGGCGTGAATCTCTGTCCTGAAGGGCCCACCATGGACATGACCGTCGGCGATCTCACTTTTCGACTCAATCGAATGAGCCGCTGGGCTTTTTGAATAAAACTCTGCAAGGGGTTCGGGTTGAATGCCACCTTGTGTTGCCCTAGATTAGCCAAGATGTGTGTCTGGTGGTCGTGAACCCATCCATGAACGGTTTTGATGAGGTTTGCAATCCTTTTCGGTTGAACAAGGTAGTGATTGGCGAAGATTGAACTGCGATCGTTCTCGATGAGAAAAGGAAATTGGCGGGAGGCTTTATGCACGGCGAAGAGAGAGACAGCATCCAGCTCGTCTTTATTAATAGCGAGCACCGTTTCTGCTAGCTCTTCCAAAGTATACTCAACACAATCATCATTTTCGGCCACTAGCGCATGCATGTCATCAAGGCGCGTCGAATTCGCCCGATAAAACTCCTTCGCCTTCTCGGAGAATTGGTCCATCTGACGCAATAGGGGGGCACCCAGAGGTCTGGGTATTCCGCCTTCTATGATTGACTGCAAAGCCTCACCGAGCATGGCAGTGCGGTCTGGAATATGAGGGTAAAGAGGCTGTAATAAGTCCGGGGAAGCAAACCCCTTGACCACGTAATCGAGGCTTCTATCGAACCCAATCCTCCATTTCCCCCTGTCGGTGTAGAACTGATGCTGTTTTTGAACAGATTGAATATAAATCGCAAAGCTGAGACCTCCATCCGCACTAAACAAAGATAAATAGTCAGTATTATGGATCCTGATTCGGTCTGGGTGGAGGGCAAAGTACTATGGGAAAGCCACTAGATCGCCAGGCTCCAAAAATGCATGTATCCCATCCCCCTCGTCGGCAGTTTGAGAAAAATCGGAGATGTCCTCGTCGGCTACTCGTAAAGCATCGGTCCCAGCATCATGTATTTCTCGATTATCATTCAACATCGATCCGACCCAAGGCATTGACGAGTCTAGTCCTTCGTTCGACGTCCCCGGTCCTCGAACTGGGTCGAGTGTGTTCGCGTGGTCCTCTTGCCATTTACGCAAGTATTGTCTGATATCTCCAGATATTCGAGACTCGCTATCGAGGAGGATTGTCTTTCGTGATGAGAATGTTTCTTCCTTCGGCTTGGCGAGAGTCTAGAGCACCATACATGAGAATAAAACCGATTCAGGCTGATGTAGGAGTACTCACCTTTTTAGACTGGTTGAAGTGCCGTTTAGAGATATAAATCTCAGTGAGCGGATATCTACCTTGTTGAATAGATGGTCGCAGTCCAGAGGCGGCCGTAGTAATTGATGCAGCACAGCGCATGCAGACCCAGCTCTTCTCAGATGCCCTTTGGGGCAAGCGAGCCCCCCGCAGTACCGACGCCATGTCACAGCGACACACGCTGTTAGCGACAAGAGAATCAGGGTTCTGGTCCGAAGATTGTCTTTGTCGCCCACGCGATGACAGAGGAAAACTGCAATCATTCTGCCGGAACTAAAACGCTCACCGCCTTGGCGGTATGTTTCTGCTTCCTATGCACTCCTACTCCTTCAGATTGTATGCCCTGCAAGACCCTGTGTTTGGTTTCAAAGGGGGACTATCAAAGTCTCTGGCTATTAAACTTGTGCATATTGGCCACTTTTGCTGAGAGGAGGTGGAAGAATGGGCATTGTTTGGATCCAATACTGGATCTTGCTGCTCTCTATACACTGGAAGAAGACTAACCCTACACCCCAGATTGTGTTGCCCTCTATAATCATCAGGTTCATGCGAATATTTGGGACTGGTGATTTCAAAGAAAAGTCGCTGTCTCCAACGTGGTCTTTGACCAACGGACTAGATGGTTTCTATCAGAAAGTCAAACTGTCAAGTAAAAAAAGTGCTTCAAAAGCTGATCAATATCAAATCAAGATGGTCTTCAGTACCCCGCCGAAAAGAATCGCCCTCATATGCTTATAAAATAGTAATGCTTCAAACTGCCTACTCAATGAAATTGTTCTTATAGCGTTTATCTCTCTGCGAGCAAGCGGCTTCAACGGCTGAGAGATCTTCAGTACAAGGCAGTGAACGATTGTCAGACACGATGATTCGATATCCTATGAGAACACTCATTAGGTCGGTTATGCTAGAAGCAGAGTTGGAGAAAGACATGGAATATTCCCAACCATGCCACCGTCCTTCTTCTAGGCACTTTGTATTCTGAGAAGTGTTGCTCAGGCGACAAGTCACAGGAAATCGACTCAAGCGGAATTAAGAGTAGACCAGTCTAGCAAAGGTAACAGAAATAGATCACTCGAGGAGCGTGTGGAAGAGCAAAAGTGGTTGAAGCAGAAAAACATCGCGTCGAGACTTGATCAAGGAAGGTATTTGATCCTGCCTAAAGGAGTTGGTCACGGGCCGGTTCTCTTCCCTCGTCCAACCTCTCCCTGCCTTCTGGATAGCAGTAGACGGACAGCAGCATTCATTTCCATCAATTCATAGATCTTTGGTCCCTTTTCTTAGCATTTCTTAACCTTCTCCTTGATCAGTAGAAGGAAGACGCACACTATCATTCTGATATAAGACTGGAAAAGCACAGGAGACGGTCTTCACTAGAGAAAAGCCCACTAGGTACCATCCAACTCCTTCTCAAGGTAGTCCATTCTAATTATAGGGAGCTTATTAGTGATATGTATAAATTCGAGAACTTAGATATTGATTTGCCGAACCCTACATGACATCTATCTTTCAAATTTCAACGCCAAAGTTGATGGAACAGAAGCCTTTTCTTCTTGCCACTGAATCAGTCAAATCCCTTTGCTCTTTGTTCAGACCAGATTGAGCATGAAACGCCCATACTCAAGGATCAAGAATAGATTAATCTCTATTCAAGTTATGGACTGCGATCTAGATCTAGCTAACTGCACCAGCACGCGCTGATCGGCAGTGCCTAGACTTCACAGCCACCTCAAATAACTATTCATGGGGCGAAGAGATACAGTGCCCGGATCATTCCACGCAAAGTGCATCTTGACAGGGTCTTTTGAGTCTGTACACCTACGTACGTGGCGCAAATCTCCAAGCTCAGGGCTTTCATATCCTACAGAAAAACCCAATGGGTCGGATACTATTCACGGACACGAGTAGAAGCATGTGTTTCACAATACTGATTGATCACCTTCAACAGGCTCCAGCCCGGTATACAAAGGACATGGGCCAAGGGAAGTCTCCACCTTCAAGCCCAATCCAAAATTCCGGGAAAATAGTCTGAGATATACTACATGAGTGACTCAGGAAAAGCAGTCTCAGTTTCGCTTAGACTCATAGGACTGTTGGCTGAGAAGCGCCAGCTGCATCCCCAGGATCTTCCACGCAAGCGCCGGTGTGGAGGCACCGCGGCTGATAGACGCTATTCCAGCCACTGGAACCAGATCAACAAAGTACGATTGCTGTTACATGATCCGTCAGCCCTTATTTAGTAACGTGCATATCCTGGGGGAAGGTCTCTGGGGGTGTCTTTGATATTATTCGCTGTTCGAGCGCCTGCTCTGGGCTCCATCAAACGCCGCGGCTCTGAGGAGCCTCCTTCATCTTTGTATACAGGGTCTAGAACAATAGACCTTGACAAGGTCCAAATTTAGATGACCATGTTTTGTTTCATTGAGCAATTGTTGTTTTAGAAGCCTTCATCATGCTATATAAAGGCCTTTCTTGCTCGCTCGTCTCTTTGTTCTTGGAATCTAAACCAACAACATTGATCTCGTCTTCTAGCATCCTATTCCCTTTCTTTCCCTGTCTCCTTCCTATTTTCTTTTCTTTTTGCATCTTATATTTCTCTACAACCCTTGACTATCATTAATAGCACGACATCTCTACCTCGCAAAGCGATAGTGTTTTGCCGCCCTCCTTGACAACGCCCACAGCGACCAACTTCAAGTTTACCAACTCAGCTTTTCCTTCTGTTATATATACTACTCTATTAGTATCATAAAACTCAAGATGCTTTCCGCAAGATACGGTGCTCTGGGGGCGACTTTCCAGATCTCACGCCTCTTCCAAGTTTGTTCTCTCATCGCCATCATTGGGATGACGGCCAATTTCATCTCTGAGATCATCGGTGACGACCTGACACCCCCAAGCGTTCTAATTGGAACCATCAGTGTGGTGAGTCGAAGAGAGGAGAAGAAACAAAACCAATATTGAAGGCTCTCTCCACGTTCAGAGTCTTCCTAACAAGTCGGGTTATATAGACTTCCATCGCGGCCATCTACTGCATCATCTCCACTATTCTGTTCATGGATAATATCCTTCCATTTCTCCTCGGTGCCATCACGGACGGGCTGGTTCTTATCGCTGTCATCGTGGTGGCGGTTGTGGTGGGCAAGCCGGTGTCGTATCTGGAGTGCAATGTCATCGGGGATTTGACAGGAGACAGCACATCCGCGTATGACTTCACCGTGACTCTAGAGAATGCTCTGAATGAGGCGGGGGGCAGGATCAAATACAGCGACTGGATTGGAGCGTCCAAGGCGATCTGTTTGGAGACGAAGGCGATTTGGGGATTGACTATTGCGCTGTGGTGAGTGAGACCCTTCCCTTACCTGTACTAACACTAACGGGTCTGCAGCATCCTGTTCTTCTTCTCCACCATCTGTAGCGTCTGTCTGTGGCGCCAGAAGAAGCTCAACTCCGGCGAGAAGCTCGAGGGATAAATAACAGCAAAGGCATTGCACCATTTGAGCCCTGGAGGCGATGGGATACGGCTGGGTCAGCACTTACGTACTTGACAAGCACATTCACAGGACGAGAATCATGGAGGATTAATAATAGGTCGGGTCGGCTTTCTGTCAAAATTCTGCACATTTCGAGTTTTACTGTTTCCAAATGCAATGTGTTAAACTGTGTATATGTTTGTAGCCCGATATTCGGGGGTTTTCTGTGCTACCTTCCGTTCTAGGCACAGCCCGTTTATCTCACTTTTCCACATGTCTGTCTGACTTCACTTCTGACTTCACCTTCTGACTTCATCTATCCACATCAACAAGCACCATGGATCCATCATTATTGACAGCTCCGCGGGTTTTTCAGATCACAGAGCATGTCCTCCCTTGCCAACATATCCGCGAGTACCCACGGGCGACGGCTACGAGCCAGGACGAAACGCTGCACCTTGCGGTCAAACAGTACAGACCGCGCGACAACTTGGACCCTCGACCGGGGGACATTAGCATCATCGGGGCGGCTGCCAATGGGTTTTCAAAGGTAAACAGTTCAACAGTTGTAACAATCCAAATACGGTTGCTGATGGTCAGGAACTCTACGAGCCGCTCTGGGTCGAATTGCACCGCGCGCTGGAACAAGCTGGCGTCGCCATCCGCGGCATCTGGATCGCAGACGCGGCGAACCAGGGGGCCAGTTTTGCGCTCAACAAAGAGAAAATCGGCGATGACCGTAAGTCTTTTATTTTGTGATTTGGTTGGAGGGCAGGTCTAAGAGCCCAGCGTCCTGGTTCGACCACTCTCGCGATCTTATCCACCTGGTGAACATCTTCAGGGAGCAGCTCCCACGCCCCATTATTGGCCTCGGCCACAGTATGGGCGCTACCGAGCTCGTCCAGGTATCACTGGCCCATCCACGTCTCTTCCACAGCGTCATCCTCATCGAGCCCATCCTCTTTTCGTCCTTCAACTTGGACGATCCCTCTGTAAAGGCTGCAAAGTTCCCACCCGCTGTGCACGCGGCACGACGCAAGGAGACCTGGCCGTCTCGCGCAGTGGCTGCGGAGGAATTCCAGCGCAGCCGGTTCTATAAAACGTGGGATCCGCGTGTGCTGGACCTGCACATTCAACATGGGCTGTGCGAGACGACCTCTGAAACCAACGAGGTCACACTGGCAACCCCCAAAGCCCAGGAAGTCTTCAATTACCTCCGTCCGACGTTTGTTCCGCCGCCGCCGCCGCCGCCTCCTCCTGGCAGTGGTCCCTCGGAGTCCCCGCAGTTCGCAGACCCAAGTGCACTACGCGACATGCCACATGCCCTGGCGCAGCAGCAGTCGAGTCGCCGCTCTCTCTTCTACCGACCCGAGACGACCATCACGTACACCAACCTGCCGCACCTCCGGCCCGCGACGCTCTTCGTCTTTGCAGCGCAGTCGATGTTCGTCTCGAGCGCATCCGACCGTGCCCGCCTCGTGGACCGCACCGGCTCAGGGGTCGGGGGCAGCGGCGGCGCCGCAGCCTCGCGCGTGCACACGGTCGTGGTCGAGAAGACTACACACCTTGCTCCGATGGAACGCCCGGGCTCCGTCGCGCGGGAATGTGCTGGCTTCATCCTCTCAGAAGCCACACGCTGGGTAAGGGGCGAAGAAACCCTGCGCGGAGAATGGCGCGGCAGAACAGGACACGAAAGAAGAGAACTCACCGCGGAATTCGTGCGGTTGTTAGCCGTTGCCGAAGAGAAGAGTAAATTATAAAATTTATCTACATGATACATTGAATATAAATGAGAAAAAAAAAAAAAAAAAAAAAAAAAAAAGTGTCTACCCCGAGCTCACAGGGGGAATAATCCCCACCTCATCCCCCTCCCGAATCACATTTTCATTCCCATTCGCATTTCCTTGGACATCCACATATTCATCTCCCAGGCTGACACTGCAGCTATCCAGCACTTTCTCCGTGATACCAGGGTACCGCTCTTCCAGGACGGCGAAGAGGCGAGACAGGGGAAGCGGCGCGGGGAGGGATTCGCTGTGTTTGCCTGTGAAGCTGGATGCGGTGGAGAAGTAGTGGATTATAAATGACATTATGCCTTGATAGATTAGTTATATATATGGGTAAGGATTGAGATGACAGAATGAAGTGAAGAGTGAAGTGAAGAGTGAAGTGAAGAAGAGACGCGGGGTTGATAAGATAAGACTACAAGGATTACGTAGATACTTCAGTGATAACTAGTATTTACTATTTACTATTTACTATGTACAGTAGCTGCCAGCGCTTTGAAGGCGCCCAGCAGGTCCCGCCTCAGATCTTCCCAGTTCTCCAGCCCGATGCTGACGCGCAGCAGTCGCGGGTCAACCGTCGAGTCCGACATGGCGCGCCACTCGATCAGGCTCTCGACACCCCCGAGACTGGTCGCATGGTGGAAGAAGGACAGATGGCTGGGCAGGCGGCGCGCGAGATCTTCCTCCCGGAGGACAATCGCAAACACGGGGCCAAACCCGTTGGGCATCTGCCGTTGCAGCCAGGCGGGGTCGTCCTCCTGCTGCTGCAAGCTTGCGTGGAAAACGCGGTGGACGACGGCCTGGACGGCGGCCTCGTCGCTCCCGGGAGTAGTTGCGTGAGGCACGCGCAGGATCCCATCCAGCCAGGAGACTAGACTTGCGGCGCTCTGGCTGGCGCGTTGCACGCGGATCTCCAGCGTGCGCAGGCTGCGCACCCCAAGCCAGCCCTCCATGTTTCCCATGACACTGCCGAGAAACAGGCGGTCGTCGTGCAGCTGTTTGGCCCATTTCGGGTTTTGCGTCGCGAGCACCCCGCAGAGGAGATCGCTGTGGCCCCCAAAGTACTTGGAGCCCGAGTGCATCACCAGGTCGGCCCCGAACTGGAACGGATCCTGCAGTCCCGGCGGGGCAAACGTGCTGTCGACGATCAGGTACGCGCCGCGCGAGTGGGCCTTGTCGGCATAGCTCTGGATGTTGAACGCCGTGCCATGCGGGTTGACGGGGGTTTCCAGGTGGATGACGTCGCCCGCTTGCAGCTGCTCCGCGGGGCAGTCCAGGTCGAGTCGCTCGAGACCCGTGAGCCGGGAGAAGATTTCGATCACCCCGTGGCACCCGTGGTAGGCCTGGCCGATCGCAATCCGGCGCGGGTTCAGGAGCGTCAGCGCGGCGTTGAATGCCGCCAGGCCAGACGAGTAGCTCACGGCGTGTCCGTTGAGCAGGGACGAGAGAATGGTTTCGAACCGACTGTAATTCGGAGCGGTGTGGCGGGAGTAGATGTGTGTCGTGGGGTCGAGATCATACTGAAGCATCCCACTTAGCGATGGAACGTAAACAACATCCCCATGAGATAGGGGGGAGCTGTGGTACATACAGTGGCCTTGGTCGCTGGGGCCAAGTCATCGGGATTGTCGGGGTATCGGAAGGTTGTAGATAGATGAAGTGGGGGAGCCACGTCAGTGACCACATTCAGAGGGTCATCGGCGTGCAAGGCGCGCGTTGAAGAGCCCAGCGGGGTATTATCGGCCATGGCGATGGAGCAAACAGAGGCAGGAGGAATATAGCAAGCTGCAGGAGTAGGGATGAGTAGCAGAAGAAGAGGAGGGGAGAAGAAAAAGAAGAAGAAGAAGCGGTGGTCGTGAGGGGGGTCGGCTGTCACGTGGGGCTCCCAGGTTCGTTGTATCACGTGATGCGTATAGATCGATCAACATTGCAGAGGGAGTTGAAGGAAAGTAAAGTAAACAGTAGGAGGTTGGACTAGCGGCGAAGCGAGCCCATGCGCGACGGTTCCCTCACCGAGCTGGGCAAGGCCGCCTGGAAGTTCCGCCGATCTAGACAAGTGAGACGTGAGCAGTGGTGGGAACAGAAGAGAGGAGAGAGTAAGGACGTACCGGCTTCGGCATCAAAGGCAATGGCAATGTCGTCGTGCTCAATGGGATACTCGGGCATATCGAGGCAGACAAAGTCGGCCGAGGGATCGTCGTCGGTCTTTGGCAAGGCGAATTTGGCGTCCACGATGCGGATGCCAAACTTGCCGGAGCGACTGAAGCTTTCCATGTGGTCGGTGCTCTTGAGGACAAAGTTCAGGCAGCTTCCGTGGCTAAAGTCTCCAAAGAAGGCCAGCAGCTGGATGACGGTGTCTTGCCGCACCACCTGGATTCGAGCCAGAGTGGCCTCCCACTTCTTGTAGATGGGGACGACCATTCGCCGCCGCGAGATGGTGAATGAAGAGGCGACCCCGTCGAATAAGACTTTGAAGCCAGTGACGGCTTCTTCAAAGGCATGAAGACCTGAAATAAAGTATTATTACAAGTAGAGGTGTAGAGCTGCAGAAGGAGAAAACATACCCTGCATATTGGCGAATTCGAATCGTCGAACCATTGGCTGTGTCTTGGCCGTCTGGAGAAATTTGGTCAACGTGTCGGGCATCTCCTTGCGGATGAGGTTATCGGCCACGGAAACCGTGAGATCCTGCTGTCCAGGGCGATAGAGGCTCAAGCCAGTCTGTTTATGAACATCCAACCGGAGCTTCAATTCACCAGGGCCTAGAAGACATTAGTTTTCTTTAACAAGTTTTTTGGAGAAGGAGAAAGCGAGAGGCTGACCTAGATTGATCCGATCTGTCACAGACCCCCACTCGGTGGAAACGATGACCCGCAGATGCTCTGAAAGCACCGTGGGACCGTAGCCATGCTCGACAAACACATGATCCTGGTCAATGACCAAAGCATGGCCGGCGGGAAACTGGATGTGCGAGACCGCGGGGGGCGACGAGCCGTTGGCCTTGCTAGCCGGCTGCTCGATCTTGAACGATTGCACGGGAATGTCGGGGATCTTCAACTCTCGCTCGCGGGTCACCAGGCCCAGCAGGAGGGAGTGCATGGTGGTTCGGTCCTTGACTTCGTCGAAAGTGAGCAGCATGGAACGGGTGCGACCATCTTCGGTGACTTTCAGCAGCAAGGCGGGCGCGCCATTCTCGCCCCGGAGGAGCCCAAACACAATTGGCGCGCCGTATCCCAGCAGATGGCGGACGCTGCTCAACGTCTTGACTTTGGGGTGGGTCACGACCGAGAGCCGAAACCCCTGGTGCATGCTTCGGGTGCCTGTCCCCTCGGTGACCGTCACCGAACGTTCAAACAGTCGGAGCCGGCACTTTTCACTGGGTTCCGGGGGGAAGGCCTTTTGCGGCGCGGGATCCATGTACTGGAAGACCTTGATGGTGTTCTCGAAAACGACCGATTCGCCGGCTTCGGGATGGAGACTGGCTTCCGTCTTCAGGGTGTACTTGACGATGTTCCAGATGATCTTGAAATCCTCTTCTTGGAACTCGACGTTGAGTTCGAATCCTCGCGGCAGCTTGACCCGCATCGAATGCGTCCTCACCTGCCACTCCACGTCGTCCCAGGTGGGCCCTTGCTTGCGGTCGCCCTGGATCATCACATTGACCAGCTCGCTTTGGCTGCTGATGCCCGCCAGGACGTACCAGTCGGCACGGTCCCGGATGATGGACAGGACACAGGGCATGGAGTACTGGCGCGAGTCGTCCTCCTCGGAGCTGACGTAGACGTCGACGAACATGCTTCCGTAGCTGAAATAGCGGCTATTGTCGCCCAGCGGCATCATCTGCACGGTCGTCGGCGCCCGGCCGGATCGATCGACCAGCATGGACCGCGTCGCAGCCCCGGACAGCACGGCCGAGACATCGGGCGCAAAGGAAGGATACTGCATCCAGATGCTGGTGTCGGTGTGGTGGTCCGGAGCGGAGTCCTGGGTGGGCGAGAGCGTGCCCAGGATATTGTTGCGCTTGATCGACATAGCCAGGGAGCGGAGATGATTCATCATCCCCTGGTGGAGGCCCAACAGATCGGCCAACGGCTTGTCTCCGGTCGTGTTGGCCACGGCCAGCAACGCATCCACGCCCATTGCCCCGTACCTGCTCAGCTCCCGGTGTTGGGGCACCAGTTGTTCATTGATCCACAGGGATTTGCCCAGGTCAAGGACGGCCTGCTTGGCGCTCTCGGACGCGGCCCGTCGGCCTGCGCCTGCGCTGGGGGGCCGGGAGCGCGCATACGCTTCCAATCGAGTCTTGCCACGCAGGAACCACCATGCCGCCGCCCGGATCCATTCTGCCAGCGACGTTTCCGCCAGGGGCTTGCTCGTCTCCGCAGCCAACTGGAAGAGGGACTCGTAGCGTTCAATATGGCTTTTGAATTCCACAAAGGCCGTGTCTCCAAACTGGTTGGCAATCGAGCGTAGGGAGATTTTCGGTGGTTGAGAGTTCGTCTGTGGGGGGGGTGGTTGCGGGCTCCGAGAAACGTCGCGGACATCACGGCCGTCCCTACTCGGCGGCGGCCGGTCGGCGGCGCCATGGTCCTGCGGCATGGCTCGATAACGTGGTGGAGACTTGTGGTGCTGGGCCAAGCCTCCTCCTGGGGTCAGGTTCGCGGGGAGATTGGGATCGATGGGGCTGGCATCGCCGCTTGGTTTCCGCATGAGGGGACTGGGCGGGGACCGGAGGGTGTTGGTCGTCGAGGAGAGGCCGGTCTCTGGCCGGCCAACTGGTGAGACTGCATACGGGCTATACGACGCTGCCGGGGGGGAGTTTGACGCCAGAGGTGGATGTGGTTGTGGTTGTGGGTTTTCGTTGGCAGGCGATGGCGGCTCTCCGTGGTATCGATTGTGCAAGGCCTGGCCCTCTTCGGCCTGCATCTTGGCCCGGACACGCTGAGCAAACGAGTTGGATTCGGGCGAGGCGCGGAAGGACAGGCGGGAGCCGGCGTCTCCCAGATTCAGCGCCATGAGGAAATCGGCATCCTGGGGGCTGTTGATCAACAACGGGTGGCCAGAGTCCAGCTTGGGCCCACCTTTGAGCAGTTCCGGGGGGGCAGCCCGGTGACGATCGCGATCTCCAAACGAGGTGTCAACTCGCAAGTCCGTGGGCCGAGCAGCAGGATCGGTGGTCTCGGGAGCCTCTGGGCGGGCGAGCTGGGAGGGAGGGGCGGCGGGGTGGTCTTGCGAACGGGCCTGGTTCGCCTTGCGCATGTCGCGAGTCGGAATCTCGCACTCATCGCCGCCCTCACCCATGACCGCGGGTTCCCTGGTACTGAATTTGACGCGCAGATGCTTGCGCGGCCGGGCTTTCTTGGGACTTGTCGTGTGAAAGGAAACGGGCGGGAAGGCATCTGTAGCCGAGGAGGGATTCGAGCGAGGCGAGGTGCCGGTGACATCGTGGGTCGATGGCAATCGATCGGGCGCCGAGACCTCGAGGCGGGTAGTCATGGGTAGACCGCGCGGAGTCGTAGCAGCGACGTGGTGCTCAACAGGCTGGGGGCGCGAGGCGCCTAGAAAGGCTTCGACCTGCTGGTCGGCGGAAACCAGGTGGTTCTTATCCTTGGAGAAGAGCTTGTCTCGCCAATGCGGTCTTTTGAACGCCTTGCGCTCAGGGGCCACATAGGCCAGCATATCATCAGCAGGCATGATAAGAACGGCGTCTGCTGGCGGGACTGAAGTTGTTGATGTTGGTACGACGATCACGCTATCACCATTGCCCACTTGACTTCTCCAGCGCGCGATCTGAGATTCCCTCTGTTATTATTTCCTCCTCTTTCTCTTAATTTTTTTTTTTTTTTTTTACCGGGATTTATCGGTATTTATCGGTCTGAGGGGGAACGGTCTTGCTGGTGCCCCGGTGGGGTGGGAGAGAGTGATTCTATGGGTGAATAGCAGCGGGACAGTCAAGGATAACAGAGCGACAGGAAAGAAAGAGAACCAGGCTACCCAAGTCAGCGCCGAGTCGTTGTGTGTGTACTGTGTAGGAATTATAGGGGAGAAAAGAGCAGCGACGCAACGTACCTCCGGTACTCCAGACCAGCAAGCAGCCAAGTCGTAGCAGCAGAGCTCGGGTTAAGATTGGTGGTGGAGCAGGGGACAAGTGATCTGCCACACAGCAATTAACGAAGATTGATGACTGGGCCACTCGAAGGACGAAGGGGCCCCTTTCAGGGGATAAGGGATTTTTTTTTTCCCCTCCGTACGGAGGAGGACTTACTCACCCGAGCAACGAGAGCAGCGGCAGAGCAACGGTTATTGCGTCTCGGACGCAGGCTGGGCCAGCAGCAGTAGATAAGAAGGCAGCAGATTGGATGAAACCGATGGAAACCTGGCCGAGCAGGGTCCGACTCCGACGTCCCTCGAGGGCGGTTCCGCAGGTGCCAGGCGGAGGCTGTGTTCGCTGCAACCAGGGGAGAAGCTTAGAAGTCAATTAGCAGTGTCTCTCCGCAGTGGGGGGGGCTAGTTGAAGCACGAACAGTTAAATGAGCGTCCTATCAGGAGTTCGTGCTTGTACCAGACTCGTAGCCAGTACGAGGGGGTCGACGAGGTCCAGGAGAGTGCAGGAGAGGAGGATTGTTGTTGTTGTTGGTTGCGTTTCAGCGAATCCTCGGGACGTCAATCACGTGGAGACAACCAGCAGGCAGGCACGGAGAGGTACCAGGTACTCCGTACAGAGGACTACATAGAGGAGAAATGCTTCAGCCTGCAGCAGTGTAATTATTATGTAGTTCTACGTTACTATTCTTCTCTCATGGAGCAGCTTACGCAGTGCCCAACGAGTCGTTACGTGGACGCATCCGTTGCGTGCCTGGCGTAAGCCTATCGGCCTCTCCACTGTTGTCTGAGTGTCTCTCCTGAAACACCGGTCCACTTGGGGACAATAGGAGATAATTATAAGATCGTTTAATATTTAGTATACTACCCTAGCTAGTTGGCTAGTTCTACCTAGTAACTAGTTCTACCTCGTTAACTACTCAGTACAGAGTAGTTCCTACTTGTAGTCTAAATTTATTGCAAGACAAATATTTCTGCCTCAGGCATAAAGCGTAGATCATGTCATGTGATGACTAGCCCCTTTAGGCTTAGACTGGACTCCTCGTAACACTCGTCATCGTCAATACGGAATCCTGCTTTCATTCATTCATTCATTCATTTTGTCTCCAGACCGAGACTATCTTCTGTACACAGTACAGAAGACATCCTTTTTACTGTTTGAATCACGCTCAATATCGACTGGCGTCATGGATTAACTGTAGACCAGGGATCAGCCACTGATGGTAAGGTCATTCTGAATCAAGGAGACTGAGCGGTCAGGATTCTCAATTCTTAAGATCTTCCATACTTCAGGTAAGATCCTACTACACTTCCACGTACGCCTACTCATAGCTGGAGATCACAGGCTACCTTGTTATCGAGAATCGAGGCAATCAGACAGCGGTGCGACGGACTCGTGAAACGGTGCTGACGGAGTACTACTACCTAACATACATACCTACTAGGTAGGTACTTTACTCTGGCAGCGTCATACATGGATGCAATATCATTCTTGAACCTCCATTGAGCTCAATTCATAGAATGTCTGTGATACTATGAAGAATTCTACCTCCAGATTCTCTAATAGGCTGCAAATTGCATGAGAAGCTATTACTCATAAAGATATCTCTTAAACACTGTCTAACGTCAATATAATCCATTATAGGTTATAAGTAATTAGTAGGTAATTATCATACACCATAGCTATAGCTATAGCTATAGGTTCTAGGAGTACTGAGTACTGAGTAAGTACTGTAGGTAACCCGCACTAACCTGGATGGAAATAAACACCGAGACTCCCTCGTCTCGTTTCTTAACACCAACAACAACGACTACAACCCCGAGTTTTATCAAGAATGGCCTCCCAGCAGCCAGACAGGATCCGCAGTCCCAACCCCGTCTTGTCAGGCATTTCGAGGCTCGGTGAGTACGACAGAAGTACTCCGTACCAGGAGCAAGCTCAAAACCCCGCGAAGCGAGCAGATCTCTCGAGGAGCAGGGAAACGGCTGGTCCGATCTGTGGGATACAGGAGACGATCATTTCTGGGATAGGGGGGAACTGTCTGCTGCGTTGATCGAGATCCTGGAACAACGCCAGGATCTGTTCCGTCCGGTGGTGGATGGTCGTCGGAAGAAAGTCTTGTGAATCCAGTATTTTCCTCCCCCTCCTCATTGAGACAGGTTAATTTTGCTATGATCTCTCATTAATATGCTGGTTTACTCCTAGGGATGCAGAAAAGGCTACGATATCGTCATGCTCGCTCTCCATTTCGACGCGTACGGACTAGATATCTCTGCGAGACTTCTTCAGGGAGGGGAGTACTACGACCTCATCTATGACTATACAGTGGGTTCAATTTCTATGGAATCGGTCACTTAAGTGTGTCTAGTTCATCTACGCTCTCTCTACCCCCATCGTTGCGTCGACAATGGGCAGCCCGTATGGCCGAGCTGCTGCAGCCAGGAGGATCCCTGGTGTGTCTGGAGTTTCCACTCTTCAAAGATACTCCGTACCAACCTTCCAGGACCTCTTGGTCAGATAGCTCAGGTTGCACAAGGTCGCCTGGATCCTCAATCTGTCAGTATATAGCATAGTCCTCCGTACTCCGTACCTCTACAGTACCTCTACAGTCTAGCTATAAATCGATCGTATGATACTGTAGCTACCTATAATATTATTTACCTATTCGACATTATTCAACTACTGACATATTATTGAATATTTACCACAAGTACAGAGGATCATAAGTCTGAGATAACTAATAATAGCTGAGACTGCGCCTTGTTTGCTAATCTTGGAATCGCTTCTGCTCCACCTCAGATTCTCCTCGTCAGCCCCTTTGGCTTCTTTCGACCGGCAGAGACTCGCCCATTTCCATCCTCCCTCCATCGCGAATCAATCAGAAAAAGAAAAGAACTTCCCCCTGCTTGCTTTTTTCTTCCCTCGCTCGCTACCTCCCTCGTTCGCTTCGCCCTCGTTCTCCTGTGCTCGCGCGTCCGGGCGGTTTTTTTTTCCCTGGCAGTGGAGCAAAAGCAACCTCCAGCTCGTTGAAGGGAGCAACAGAACCCACCGGCCACGTCTCGACGCATGCCTTTGACTGGTTCATCGCTTCATCAAGACGGATAACACACGCATTCGCTTACTCCGTTTCCTATCCATTTCCCACCGTCGAACATCCTCGCTCTCTCTCTCTCACCCCTCCCCCCCTCCCCCTTCCCTCCGTACCGCGGTCGTCGTCGTCTTCGAGTCGCTGTCCACGCGTTTTTTTTTACAACCCGGGGGAGGACCTGCTAGTCCACTGCTGTCCACAGTTCGGATTTCAAGGGTTCGCCTCGGTTCCAGGCTGGGTCAGGGTCAGGGTGAGGGTCAGTCGATTTTTGGGGGGGACCTTCGATAATAAGGAGAAAAGAAGGGGGAAAAGAGGGAAAAAGAGGGAGAAAGAAGGGGAAAAAAAAGAAAGAAAAAACAAACAAAGGCTACGGAGGAATTCCATGGGCTGACCTCGCCGAGGAGGTCATCCCGGCTGCCGTGAGCCGGTCGTGATGACGCATGGGAGAAATAAGACAACAATGCCCACGTCGGGGAGATGCTTCTCCCAGGGACAAGAATGGGCCGAGATACCGACTCGCAGGCGGTGGTGGAGGACAGGGAGGAGGGGGAGGAGGAGGAGGAAAGGAGCGTCGTCGTTGTCGTCGTCGTCGATACCAGGCGGATTGCTCGGGGTGATGATGATGATGATGTTGTTGTTGATGGTGCTGGTCCAACCGGCCAGGGCGGCTCTGATACAGTTCCAGAACTGCCTGTCGCAGGACATTGTCGAGTCGCAGCCTCTTCAGCTGCAGTTTGTGCCTCTGGACGTCTGGGCCTCGTTCGACTTTGACAACCCGCTGCGACCGTTGAACATCACCGTCTACGGCAACGTCTCGGGCACCGCCGATGGCTCGGCCTACTATCCCTCCCCGGACAACTCCTCGTGGAGCAATCCCAACGATACCTATGGCAAGATCCCCTATGTCTACAAGGCCACCAACACCCTGACCACCCTCGACGCCGCCTCCGGCGTTCTCACCTTCTCGCCGTGGACGGACCGCGAGGGATTCTGCAGCGCCCTCGTCCAGGGCGATTGTCCCCTGGCCCCGGTGTTTTATGTCGACCAGTCCAATCTCTCGGCGCTGCCCGCGTTTTCCATCAAGCGCAACATGTTGACCAGCTATCGCTTCTCCACCATCTGGACCACCCTCGAGATCAAGTCCGGCGATACCGCCGTCACCCCGCTGGGCTGCATCTCCGTCTCCGTCACGCCCGATCTCGGGGGCTCCCTCCGCGCGGCCCTCACCTTCACCCCCTTGGTCATCCTGATCCTCGTCGGCGTCGCCACCGTCCTGGCGGGTATGTACACCCCCTGGGGGTCGACCGACCTGTTCCGCTGGACCAGCAACTACGGCCGCGACGAGGATGTCCTGCGCCTGGTCACCCCGGGCTTCGCCGACTGCCTGCAGTACATCCAGTTCGCCGTCCTGACAGGCGCCCTCTCCCTCAACTACCCGGGCTACTACCAGCCCGTGGTCGGCCAGGCCGCCTGGTCGACCCTCATGTTCAACCAGAGCTTCCTCCACCCGGATCAGGGTCGCAACCCGGTGCAGGACGGCGTCTACGCCCTCAACGGCTCCTACGGCCTCCAACGCCTGACCCAGGTCGTCGGCATGGAGAACTCCAACGACGTCTGGCCGGGCATGATGGTCTGGCTGCTCGCCCTCGTCGCCAGCGTCACCGTCTTCGCCCAGCTGGCCTTCGCCCTGCGCTGGCTGCGCCGCGAGCTCGCCCACATCCCCGAGGAGGACCTGCGCGCCAAAAACATGCCCTTCGCCGTCGGCAACGTCATCCGCATCGTCTTCGGCTACTGCTTCCTGCCCCTCATCTCCCTCTCCTTCTTCCAGCTCGTCATCGCCCCGCACTCCCCGGCCTACACCGTCGCCCTCGCCGTCGTCGTCATCCTCATCCTCCTCGCCTTTGCCGCCTGGATGGTCCGCGTCATCGCCGGCACCCGCCCCAAGGCCTTTCTCTTCGACGACCTCTCCACCGTCCTCCTCTACGGGCCCCTCTACAACACCCTCTGCGATGACGCCGCCGCCTTCGCCCTCGTGCCCCTCATCGTCAACTTCGCCCGCGGCGTCGCCATCGGCGCCCTGCAGCCCTCCGGCATCGCCCAGCTCGTCCTCCTTGCCATCTGTGAGGTCGTCTTCCTCCTCAGCCTCGTCGCCTTCCGCCCCTTCCCCTCCCCGACCTCCATGAACCTCTACCATGGCTGCTTCGCCTGCGTCCGCTTGCTGACCATCCTGCTGAGTATCACCTTTGTCCCCTCCCTCAACGTCTCCGAGGCCGCCCGCGGCTGGATCGGCTACGTCATCCTCATCCTGCACGCCGTCGCCCTCGTCTTCGGCTTCTTCCTCAACGCCCTTCAGACCCTCATCGAAGTCATTGCCCGTCTCGCCGGCGCCGGCGGCTACGAAGGCGGCGCCACCCGCGGGGGTCTCACCAAGGTCTTTGGCATGCGCCAGCTCTCCCGCCGCGGCACCCGCCGCCGCGCCGGCGTCGGCGTCGGCGTCGGCGCCCGCCAGAGCATGGGCTCCGAGGCCGCCATGCTGGCCCACGTGGACGACCGTATGTCCTCGCAGTTTGACGGCTCCCGCCCGCGTAGCCTTTCGGGCAACTCGGCCATGCTCCTGAATCGTGCCAGCGACGCCCGCATCAGTGCAGCCTTTGGCGACGGAGGCCGCAGCGTCAGTCACAGCCGCGCCAACAGCAGCGGCCCTTACACGCCCACCACCCTAGGCGGTGGTGGCGGCAGTACCTTCCTCCTCCACAGCACCACCACTGGCAGTAATTCCCCCAAGAGCGCCGGGGGCACCACCGTCATCGGCATGCCACAGCCGCATGATCCCTACTATCGACCCCCGCGGCCTCGACGCCGCGCCGCAGACGCTGCTGGCGGTGGTGGCCAGTCATCATCCATGGATAAAGGTCGCTACAGCAGTGGCGGTCTCAGTACCGCCATCCGTGCGGTGGGGGATAGTGGAGATGAAGATGGCGGCAATGGCGGCAATGGCGGCGGCGGCGGCGAGATGTCCATCGGCCATGAGGAAGGACCCTCGATATCAGGGCGGGCGACGCCCGTCCCGGCCTACCTCCCAGCGCCCAAGGATGACCTAGACTACGACGATCCGCGGCAGTCGCGCACAGACTACGCCGTGCGCGAGGTGGACTTTTACTACCGGGTCCGCGGGCCCCCGCTGTCGCAGAGCGGCACGCGTAAGCTCAAGACCGGGCCTGCGGATCCCACGGGACCGGTCTCGTCGGCGACGGGATGGTTCCGCAGCCTGTTCAACGGCAAGACGAAAGAAAAGGGGAAAGGCTTCGAGGTGGTCCGGAGCTCGCGCGCCCCGCCTCCGGGTCTGATGATCCCCCCCGAGCGCGACGCCGAGTTGTTCAACGAGCCCTACCGTGATGATCCTGACGATCCCGCCAGTCACTCTCGTCAGGCGTCGCAGACCAACCTGCCGTATCGTGACTCGGATGGCGGCCTACATAGTAGCAGCGGGAGCGGGAGCGGCGGCGACGACGTCGACGTCGACGACGACAAGGATGGTGAGGATGACGATCACCACGAACGGAAAAGTCAAGATTTCGATCTCGCAGAGGCGAACCTGACGCTCCCGCAAATCGATGTCGGAGGTGGGATCGAGCTTCCCAGTCGGATGGGCTCGTCGCGCACCAGCGGCAGCCAGCCTGCGTTGCGCCTGGAGACGCCGTCGATCCCGGCGCGCAGCTCGAAACGAGGCTCCTCGGTGGGCTCGATCGATTCCGAGAATCTGGGAACGGAGATTGCCGTTCCCAGTCTACCCGATGATCACCATCACCTTGGTTTTGTCTCCTCGACCTCTGGCACAGGCCGGCTGCCCTTCACGGCAGATCGGAACCGCAACCTGTCGATCGCGTCGACGACCGTCTCGACGCGGTCGAGCCAGAACATCGACCGCAACGGCAGCATGGGCTCGCGGGTCGAGCGGCCGTCGAGCATGGGCTTCGTCGTCCACCACCGCGCGCAGGACAACATCCACGAACCCAGTCCGGATGAGCCCTCGTTCACCGGCAGCGCCGCGGAGCTGGTCACCGTGCCTCTACACCCGACGGACTCGCATTCACTATAATCAACTCTCTCCAGTCAACCTGGTCCTTTTTTCCCCTTGTTTTGACAGTCTTTGGCAGTCTTTCAGGTGATACGAATCTCCTTGGTCTTCTTGGTACCCTATCTAATATAGTATATCCTCCTTTCTCTTCTTCTGCTCTTCTCTTCCTCTGTTCTCTTCTCTGTCATCAAAAATTGCTGCTATTAGCCTGTTTGCTTGTCGGTGCTGTACATCGGTTCGATTCGTGTGAAATAGGTCAGGTTGGTTATTCTACATTTGTAGTGTGTAGTTACGTCCATTCTATTCTATATAATAATTTATTCTTCATTCTATTCATTCTATTCTATATAATGATTTATTCTTCATTCATTTCTCTCTTTACCGCCTTCGACCCCGCGACTCTCTCTCTCTCTCTCTCTCTCTCTCTCTCTCTCTCTCTCCTGTCTACACAATAACCAGTAACGCTCTATTCTTCATCTATTCTTCATCTATTATCTCATTTCTTCCCTATTCGCTCATCTTAGACTCTATCTCTGTTATCCAAAATTCCTTCGTATCACGCGATCGAGTCACCCTCGCCGACCACGAGATAGCAGCGCCCGACGATTCCAGAAGCCTGCTTACGACGAACTCTGCCTCAACGAATAATTAATTCATTCCTTCACTGTTTCTGTCTACGGCCTTGACTTCACATCACTGTCTCATCGGTATAACCCTTCAATGACGGTCTGTCGTGCCACCGCCGGAGATTGGCGTCTGCGATAACAGCCTCTGGCACTATCTCACCTCCTCTCCATCACTCTTACGCCTCATCAAGTCTCTCTATTGATCCCTTTACTCTCTTCTTTCAACTCTCCCTCCTCGCCTCATCATCTGTGATCGTCGTTGGAAACCTCCATGTTCTCCAGTTCGCCCCCCGAATCCTCCTCCTCCTCCTCCGCCGCCGCCGCCGCCGCCGCCGCCTCCCACCGTCATCAGATACCAGCATCGAGAGAGGAATCGCCGGCTGCTGCATCAGAGCGTAAGAGAAGGCTGACAAACTCGTCGGAGAATGTGTGGCCGCGCCGGCCGCGGCCAAGCACCAGGACGGTGATGATCGAGTCTTCTTCACCATTGGCAGCGTCGACGTCGATGGAGGAGTCGGTTGGATCGACGAGTTCGAATCCCATCGATTTGGCATCATCCTCCCCGCCTGCAGCTCGCGGCGGCAGCAATACGCAGATGTACAACAGCAGCAGCGGCAGCAGCAATACGCAGATGTACAACAGTCATATGGATTACACGCTCCCCCCCTGGCAGCCCGACTCGGAGGTGAGCGAGTGCCCGATCTGCCGTACCGCGTTCAGCTTCTGGTACCGCAAGCATCACTGTCGCAAGTGCGGCCGTGTCGTCTGTGCCGCCTGCTCGCCCCATCGCATCACCATCCCCCGTCAGTTTATCGTCCGACCCCCGGACCAGCCGTGTCCATCATACCCGGTTGCCGCGGGGCGGACGACCGCCGGCGTGGCACAGGTGATCGATCTGACGATGGACAATCATGGTGGTGATGCTGCGGCAGCGGTGGCGGCGACAGCTCACCCCTCTTCTTTTTCTTCTTCTTCTTCTTCTTCCGTTACACTCCTCAACCCGGCTCTCGGCGGCGGAGAGGAAGTGCGACTATGCAATCCCTGCGTCCCGGATCCCAACCCAGACCCTCCGCGAAGATACCCTGCGGCCCGGACCAGTGAGGAGGGTGTCTTGACGGCCACCGGTTGGCCGTCGACGCCTTACGGTCTCGCTCCGAATCAACCGCGTCATCGGCCGTACCATTCCGTCTCATCCATACACCATTCTGTACGTTTTCTCTGTATACCTCTGTATACCTCTGTTATGTTAGTCCTGCTAATAATCAGGATGTTCATCCTGGTCGACGGACCGTCGGCTCCAACGACTATCTCGGCTACGGGGGCTTCGGAAATGCATATGGTCCCATACGCTTCCACCCAAGTTCTTCGATGTCGCTGGCGACAGCGACGACCTCGACTCCCTCTTCGCTCCCCGCCCGGCATGGCGAGGCCCGACCGCCCTGGTTCTTCTCCGGTTCAGAACCCGAAGTCCCCTCTCGCTCGCGACACCACCACGTCCCCCGGGGCCCCCCCGTTGACGAACGCGATCTGTGTCCCGTATGCAACCGGGCGCTGCCGCCACGCAGCCAGGACGGCAGCGAGGAGGCGCGCGAGGCACATATCCGCGAGTGCATTGTCAGCCATGGCTCGCGCGTGCGCTCGCCCTCGTCCCGGAGTGACAGCAGTGGTGGCGGTCTTCTCCCGGTCTCCTCACGGCCACCCTCGCCCCTCCGCATGGTGACCTTTACCGCAACGGAGAAGGACTGTCTAGGCCAGGAGGGCAGCGCGGCCGAGTGCACGATCTGCATGGAGGAGTACGAGGTCGGACAGCCGCTGGTGCGGCTCGAGTGTTTGTGCAAGTTCCACAGGCGGTGCATCGTCGAGTGGTTCGAGCGCAAGGAGGAGTGCCCGGTGCACAAGGTGTCCTATTGATTTTTTCTTTTGGCTTTGCTTTCTATCTTCAGCGTATACCCTAGACCTGCTTATACTCTATATACCTTGTTGAATCATACCTATCTCTATACCAATTCATATTTCTATACCTATACCTATACCTATACCTATAAATATCTCTATATACTTATATAATAAGTCATGAGTATCATTAAAAAAAAAGAAAAGAGTCCTCTCCGTACAGCATCAAAGCCCGTCTCCCACCCGCTTCTCCCTCAACTCACTCAACCTCGTCACTCCCTCTCCAGCAGACACCGCTTGGTCTTCGTCTGTCTGTCCGTTCTTCCATGCATCAGGATATTTCTATACTACATATTCTCATTAATCGACACATCCTGGCCCACTGATTCCACCGCCGCTGGTCGGCCATCGGCGTCTGTGTTCCCCGAGGTGAGTCGATTCTCACTTCTTCATCTACCATCTACCATCATTACATTCATCGTTGAATTTATTCTATCTTTCATCTATTCATCATTCTGTTCTTCGTCTCATCGCTTATGAGCTAGAATTCAATTATTTTCTTCGAATGAGATGGCGAAAGCTAAGCTGGCAATAGGTCCCCCCGACCGCGACCGCGACCGAGACACAGACACAGACACGAACGAACTCCCCTTCCAAATAGACAAGCCTGCAGAGCCTCCGATCTCGTTACGATATCCATGGATATTGATCCTCGATTACATCGCCCCAGCGCCAGCGCCGGTGCTGGGGAGAGCAGCAACCCGTCGCCCTCGTCCGCGCACACCGTCACCTCCTCGTCTGCGACCGAGTATCCCGACCCGAGCCTGAATCACCACAACAACCAGTACGCCTCCCGACCGTTCCAATCGCCCGATCCTAACGATCCGTTCGCCGATCTGAAGCGCCCGCGCGCCTGTGAAGCCTGCCGCCAGCTCAAGGTCCGCTGCGAGCCAGACGAGGATTCCAGGGGGCCAAGCGGCGGCGCGTGCAAACGGTGCGCAAAGGCTCGGCGGGCGTGCGTGATCACTGCCCCGACGCGCAAGAGGCAGAAGAAGACGGACAGTCGGGTGGCAGAGCTGGAACGCAAGATCGATGCCCTCACGGCGAGTCTGCAGGCCTCGCAGGGTGGACCTCTTCCTCCCCTTCCTCCCCTTCCTCCTCTTCCTCCCTCTCTTCCGTCGGTTGCTCCCGCGGTTGCTCCTGCAGTGTCAAGTCGTGACGATCCGCAGTATACCGCGAGACGGTGGCTAGGCGCTGCTACGCAGCTTGCACCGGTTCGTATTCCGTATACGCCTGAGGAGGTGTCAGCAACAACCAGTTTGGCGGGGAATAAGCGGCGGCTCAGTGGCGAGGTAAAGGAATCCTCTTCATCGGGGAGCCCTGCGACATCGACGGCAGCAGGGACAGCAGCAGCAGCAGCAGCAGAAACAACAAGCGAAGGACCCGGGAATGGACCCGGGAAGCACGGGCGAGTGTGGGCGGGCGAAGGCTCGAAAGCAGAGAAAGAAGCGACGCAGACGGTGGACGTGATCGACCGGGGCGTCGTGGACCACGACAGCGCAAGCAAGGCATGGGACCGGTACGTGAACGAGCTGGCGGAACAGCTGCCGATCGTGGTGTTTCCCACGGGGACGACCATGGAGGAGGTGCGGCGCACGAAACCGGTGCTCTTCCACGCCATCCTGGCCGTGGCGCTGGGACCGTTCCAGCCGGCGCTGCAGCTCTCGCTGACCACCGAGTTCTACAAGATGCTCGCCAAGCGCGTCGTCGTGCGCGGCGAGAAATCCCTCGAGCTCGTCCAGGCCATCCTCGTCACCTGTATCTGGTACATGCCCCCGGACCACTTCGAGGAGCTCAAGTTCTACCAACTCACCCACATGGCCGTTGTCATGGGCATGGACCTGGGCATGAACCGTCGCGCCCTCGCTTCCAGGCAGCATGGCAACCTCCTCCATCAGATCATGGGGCCCAAGCCCAACGCTGCTGATCCCAAGGCTCCAGAGACTCGCCGCACCTGGCTTGGCTGTTACTTTATGGCCGTCCAGTGAGTCTCCTCTCTTCTTCTTCTTCTTCTTCTTCTTCTTCTTCTTCTTCTCTTCTGACAGTTTGAACCTCTACTAGGGTGTCGGTCGCCCTGAGACGAACCCTCCTAGTTCACTGGCAACCGTACATGGATGAGTGTATTGAAGTCCTGCAAACTTCGCCCGACGCCCTCCCCTCGGACCGTGTGCTGGTGCACTGGGCCAAGCTGGCCCATCTGGCGGAGGATGTGGCCTTTCAGTTCTCTGCCGACGAACCGTCCACCGAGATGACCGTCTCCAATCCCAAGGTTCAGTATACCTTGAAGGGCTTTGAGAAGGAGCTCGATCGATGGAGGAAGCAGATCCTCCCGGAGGAATACTCTAGTACTTCCTTCTCTCCTTTGTCTTTTTGTCTTTTTTTACTTTATTGTCTGTAAAAAAAAAAAAAAGAAAAAAAAAAAGAAAAAAACTGACTGGTCAGCTACTATGAGACAGTTTGAAGATGTGTTAAGCATCTACATGCACGAGATCGCCATGCATACCGAACTCAACGGAGAAGGGCAGGGGACCTCTTCTTCCCCCCGGGGGGCGAATAGCACGGCAGACGAGGAAGGCCGGATTCCCGCGAGCGCCGCGCACATCAACGCCCTGTCGTCGACGCTGGCTGCCGTGCACGACGCGCTGGACGTGGTCACCTCGGTGGACGTGCACAAGATGACCGCGATGCCGACCGTGGCGCTGGCGCGCACCTCGTACGCATGCGTCGCGCTCATCAAGCTGTGCGCCGTGGTGTCGGCCCCGGGCAACCGCGTCGGCCAGGTGATCCCCGTCTCCAGCCTGAAAGTCGAGTACTATCTCGACCGGGTGATTGATCACTACAACGCCGCAGGCCAGCTGGACGGCGGCCGCACCGCTGCCAAGTTCGCCGTGGTCATCTCCATGCTTCGCAACTGGTTCCGCAAGCGCCGTGAGCAGGATCCCTCCCTCAAGCGACCTTGTGAGGTTACCACCACCAACAACAACAACACTAGCAGACCCGGCACCAGCCCGTTACATCTCCTCAGCGAAGTTGCCATGGACTCGAACCGGACACCCTACCCACGGACTTACGAAAGTCTACCGCAGATCTCCCCTCCTCTGCAGCCGAGCTCGTCTGATCCGACGGCGTGGTCGCCGTACCCGTCTGTCTCGCTGTCGCAGGGGTATTACCCTTACCCCCAGCCATCCACGACGCAACCGGAGCCGTACGACATGTCGAGCATGATGCTGTACGAGGCGACAGGGTTCGTGCCTGAGCTGGGGCTTCCTGTCGGTCTGAACCCGGACAACATGTTTGCGCTGGGCAACATGGCAGACGACGGGCTGTTTTCTTTTCCTTTTGGGCCGGATGGGGGGTTGAATTAGAAATTTCATACAGTACTCTGGGACCTGGGTCTGTATAGCTATTATATAAATATAAATACCTGTCTGCTTAGTAATCACGGCTGTTGTCTCATCCACCGGATTGTCTCAACCCCCGCACCAGATCCTGGACTCACGGCTAGTCGGCAGTTGGTCTGTTGATTATTTAAGGGCATAGCCGGTCGTTTTCTGATGGCCAGCATGGCCAGCCGTTTTCTCTGATGGCAAGCATGGATTCCATCGAGTCGAAGAGGGAGGCTCCTGAGCCGGTCGCTGGAGGAGTCTCTCCGGATGTCTCTGAAGAAGCCACTCCAACGCCTAGTCGGGTGTAAGAACTAAAATTACTTGAATAATCACTGAGAAGAATGAAAAGCTAATGATTCCAATGATTCTAGACAGCCGATTCTCGTTGTGGTGGCCGGGTTCCTGGTCATGTTCACCAGCACGGCGGTGATCTTCTCGTTTGGCGTGTACCAGGCGCTGTACGAGGCGATGGCCAAGGAGGCCGACACGCCCTTCACGGGGGCCTCGTCGGCGATGATCGGGCTGATCGGCACGCTGGCGATCGCGCTGATGTCGATGGCGGCGCCGTTTGTGATGACCTGGATCAAGGTGTACCCGCCGCGCGTGGTGGTGATGGCGGGCGGCGTGGTGTTTGGGGTGGCGTGCGTGCTGGCGAGCGTCAGCGAGCGACTGTGGCAGTTTGTGCTGACGCAGGGCCTGCTGCTGGGGATCGGCGTGTGCATGGCGTATATCCCTGCGGTGACGGTGAGTCCGACGTGGTTTGATCGGCGGCGCGGCCTGGCGATGGGCCTCATCATCGCCGGGTCGGCCCTGGGGGGCATCGTGTGGCCGCCTGTTCTGCGGGCGCTGATCGACGCCGTGGGCTTCCGCAACGCCCTGCGCATCTGCGGCTGCATCTGCTGTCTCTGCAACGTGCTGGCCGGCGCCGCCCTGCGCTGGGAGCCTCGCTTCTACGAGCGCCAGGTGCGCGTCCAGGTCCGCCATCTGACGCCCGCCACGGGCTGGTACAAAGTCGTCCCCCTGGTGAACTGGCAGGTTGCACGCACCTCCAAGTTCGCCGCGCAGGCGCTGGGCTGCTTCCTGCAGTCCGCCGCGTACTCGACGCCGCTGTTCTTCTACGCCTCGTACGCCCAGGCCCTGGGCTACAGCGGCACCGCCGCCGCCAACTTCATCACCCTCAGCAACGCCTCCAACTTTGTCTCGCGCATCCTGACGGGCTACATGGCCGACCATTGCGGCCGCATCAACGCCCTGCTCTTCACCACCTTTGCCTCCACCATCGCCGTCCTGGCCTTCTGGCTGCCCTCCATCGTCGCCCAGGCCCACGGCAGCTCCCTCACCGGCCACGCCCTCTTCTTCGTCTTCACCATCCTGTACGGCTGCTTCGCCAGCGCCTACATCTCGCTCTTCCCGGCCTCCCTGATCGAGCTCTTTGGCGTCCAGAACTTCACCTCCGTCAACGGCGCCCTCTATCTCGTCCGCGGCCTCGGTGCCCTCGTCGGCACCCCGCTGACCGGCCTCCTCATCCCACAGGCCACCGCGCTGACCGCGCCCATCGCCTACGAACGCGCCGCCATCACCGTCGGCGTCTTGCTCTTCGCCGCCACCGTCGCCATCTTCTGGGCGCGCGTCGAGGTCACCTTGGGGGGGTGGAAGTGGAAGGTCTAGCCTTTGTATAGTATTGTCTTTTGATAGAGTAATCCATCTCAATCTCCATGTACATTATCTTCTATTGAATAGAGTAATTCATCTCAATCTCCATCTCAATCTCCACGTATATTATCTTCTATTGAATAGAGTAATCTATCTTATTCTCCATCTGACACGGACTTAGGAGTTGACTCATATAAATACCCCACCAAGTCCATCTGTCTTCCTTCACTCTTCACACACTTCACCATGTCGCTCGTCAACCGTCCGATCGGCCCCATCGGCTTCGGCCTGATGGGTAAGTATCTCTTGTTCCTGTCCTGTTCTTGTCTTATTCTTTCTTGCTGAACGTCCAAGGCCTCACCTGGCGTCCGAACCCGGTCTCGTACGACGAGGCCTGCGCCGTGATGAAACGCGCCCTCGAGCTGGGCGCCAACTTCTGGAACGCAGGCGAGTTCTACGGCCCCCCCGAGGCAAACAGTCTGCAGTTGCTGCGCCACTACTTCACGCGGTATCCCGAGGACCGCGCCAAAGTCGTGCTCAGCGTCAAGGGCGGGATCGGGGCCCACGGCCCCGACGGCAGCGCAGCAGGGATCAAAGCCAGCGTGGCAAACTGTCTGCGGCTGCTGGAGGGAACCAAGGAGATCGACATCTTCGAGCCCGCGCGCGTCGATCCGCAGACCCCGATCGAAACCACCGTCGCCGCCCTCGCCGACGAGGTTCACGCAGGACGCATCCGCGCCATCGGACTCAGCGAGTGCAGCGCCGCCACCGTCCGCCGCGCCGCGGCCGTCCACCCCATCGCCAGCGTCGAGGTCGAGCTCTCGCTCTTCTCAACCGACCCGCTGTCCAACGGCGTCGCCGCCTGCTGTGCAGCCCTCCAGATCCCGCTCGTGGCCTACTCGCCGCTCTCGCGTGGCTGGTTGACGGGCACCATCTCCTCCCTCGACGATCTCCCCGCCGACAGCATGCTACGCCAGTACCCGCGTTTCCAGCCCGAGGTCTTTGACTTGAATCTCAAACTCGTCGACGCCCTGCGCCTCATCGCCGCCCGGAAGCGCCTCACCCTGCCCCAGGTCGCCATCGCTTGGGTAAAGGCTCACAGTGAAAAGTCCCCGGACTTGCCCCTCATCATACCCATTCCCGGCTGCACCACCGTCGCCCGCGTCGAGGAGAACCTCGCTCGCGTCGATCTCGACGACGCAGACATGCAACAAATTGCTGACATCTTGGATCGCATCCCGGTGCATGGGGGGCGGTACGGGGGGTTTCTTGCGGCTTTGATGGATGGATAGTACATCGTAGTATCAGACAGAATGAATTGATTTTTCTATTTGGTAGTTAGTATGTGAACAAAAGAAAAAAAAAAGACGATCCCCCGAGCCGGAATCGAGCCGGCGACCTTTCGGTTATATGTTACATTACAGCCGAACGCCATATCCAACTAGACCATCGGGGGTGGGTCGATGGTTACAGAGGTTTCGTCTTTATGAACAAATCATTTACTTGGTTCTTTATAACTATGTACTATATACTATACTGGAATTCGGAATTTACGTTAGCAGACATTCTTGCTAATCGAGTAGTGTATTATTTTCTTCGTGTGTTTTGGTAATTCCTTTGTATCCAGTTGGCTGTTGTCAGTACTCCTTACTATGCGCGGTTAATGGTCGAAGACTGCATGTACATGTTCAGATATATATTCAACTATGTCGCAAGGGAATACAAAATCAAAACAAGCACACTACACGTCAATAAACTTCGCTCTTAAATATCAATATAAGCCGACAGACTAAACAACTACACTGTGACATTCAGGAGACATAAAAGTACCGTGGCATACAACTTAGCAAGTACAGAGTACTTAGTATGAACGGATGGCTCAAGATAGGCTGACTGGCTCAAAATAGCAGACAGGCTTATAATGTCAATAGTGGGCCAGCCTCCAACAGCAGCCGGGCTAGCTCAATCGGTAGAGCGTGAGACTCTTATATCTTGCGATCTCAAGGCTGCGGGTTCGACCCCCGCGTTCGGCTTCTTTTTTTTCCAACTCATTTATATGTACACCCTACCAACCTGAAAGACACATTTAATGCCATTTTCTATATACTACTTGATACAAACCAGCTCTACATACGATGTCCACAGTCAATAAAGTATAATCATATTACGACAATGCTCCATGTCCTTCCCATCGGGATGACTGTAAATTCAATCTATAGATCGGCATCAGCGGTCCACCCTCTCCGCTATTGTCGCATCCGGTGGCTGCAGCTGCGTCGGCTTCACTCGCCAAGGCCAGCATTACCTATTGAACTAGTTAATTGGATACTGAATGATCGGCATGGTTTGTCAACTAGTGATCAATAGCCTCGAGGTAGTTACTAGTAGTAATAAACCTATTCTTATCATGCTATCATTATATACTAGGATTGGTGATTATACACAACGAACCATAAACCCTCAACCCGTGTCTTCTACACCCCCGCGTCATCCTGTTCATACGGCTCAGTATCGAAATATCCATCCCACAAGTCGCATTGCTCTTGGATGGCAGACTGATCGGAGACGGTGGCCAGGATTTCAGACCGCCGTTCCGCAAACTGCACGGCAAACCCTTGGCTGGAGTGCCATGCAATATGGCAATGCATGAGCCAGAAGCTTAGAGACAAGCCAGTCAGCAGATTGCTCATGCTTATTCATATCTATTCTCGCCCTTTTCAGACTTACCCTGGGTTATCTGTTTGGAAGGCAATGACCAGATACCCCCCTCCAGGCAAGGTGGCAACATCTCGTCGTGGAGGATTATCCGTGTTGAGCGTGATCGTGGTGAGATCGAGCTCACCTTCGCCCTGTGCAAGGATATTGAAGTCGTGCCCGTGGAGATGGATCGGATGAGAGGTTGCAAAGGTGCTTTCGTCTCGGATGATCCAGTATATCCACTTTTTTTTTTTCCCATGTAAGCATGTGCACTTTCAGGGTGGTTATCTTCTAACATACCTCATTAGCAGCGTCCAACTCATATACTCCGTAGTCAGCCGGATAGACGGTGTCATTGCTCTCCAGCATCAGCAGCGCTGGCTCGGACCAGTCGATATAGAATGCAGACCCGTTCATCGTCCAGTGGAAAATATTGTCAATCTTGTTATTGCTGAGATCGAGACTCTTCTCCACTCCTTGGCCGGCGTTCAAGGCCATGTATGGCACAAGCTTGTCCAGTGGTTCATCCTGGCATTCCTCTGGGAAATCCTTCATGTGCGTGGTAGGCACTGCGACGGGGTCCGATCCCTCGTACCGGATAATGCCGAGGATATTGTTAGCATTGGAATTGTTGCGGCAGGCTGTCTGGTAAGTCGCACGCAGCCAGTAGTTTCCGATCGGTTGGTCTGCTTCCACAATGATGTCGTAGCGTTGGCCCGAGCCGAGAAGGACGTTGTCCGTCTCATAAGGCTGGATGGGAACCAAATCGGTGGCGGCCACGGTCAGTTTGTGGTTGTCGATGGAGAACCTGAAGTACCCATCGACTGCCGTGTTGACGAGTCGGATGAGATACTTTTTCCCCTGGACAAACGAGTTTTCGTATCGCTTGCCGGTACCTAGACAAGCTGGATCACTGGAGCCCCTACAGTCAAAGGTGTTTGTCCCGTTGATGAGGCCGTTCGGGAGCGGCGGCGGGGCGCCGTACTGGGTGATCCCAGCCCACAGGGTGAACACGGATTCATGGGCCCAGTCTTGTAAGGGGAGCACACCGAGATCCACATCCCAATTTGCAGACGATGGCCCGTGGATGAGAATGGGCCCAAATAACCCGTTTCCGTACTGGAGACTAAAGTGAGAATGGTACCAGCTGTGCCCGTACTGCGTTGCCCGCCAAGTATATGTGTAGGTCTCTCCAGGCGGGATGGGACACTGAGTGACTCCCGGGACGCCTTCGTCGGGACTGAATAAGCCTCTGATGCAACCTCAGAAAAAAAAAGGTTTCATTGACTTACCATCATTTTCGTTATTGTTCAGTTGCCGAATTCCATGCCAATGGATCGACGTGCTATAAATATTCCTCAATTAGTACTGCCCCACCGAGTCTGGAGAGAGAATGGATCCATCCTAGTCAATTACCCATTATTTTCCAATTCATTAGTAACATGCACAACAATCGTATCCCCCCAGTCTGCCTCAATTAGAGGGCCAGGAATCTGGCCATTGAACGCCAACACTTCCCGTTCATACCCATCTGGAGCGAGGGTCAGATTTTGAGCAGAGAGCCAGAACTAGATATTCTAGGTCAGCCAGTCGGCCAAAGGAACATGAATTGAAATGGGAGCTGACCTCTCTGGTAACCCCGGTGTCTGGAACCACATCGTAGAAGTTGGTATTGATATCATACTGGCCCCAGCAGTGCCTCGTCGTCGGCCCATTGGCACATTCACGACGGCCCACGGCTGCAGCAATGGCCGATGACAAGAAAGATAAAAGAGCCAGAAGAAGCATCGTCAGAAGTGATATCCTTGGACTCTCCATTGTGATCACGCAAGAAGAGAAGTGAGCACTGAGAGGGAAAGGGGTTTGGCTGATGACGAAGAATTAAGATAGAAGGGAGGTTCTATATAGATGTCCTCCATTGGGGGGCGGGATTCCATATTTGTACCACGCTGCCCGTAATGAGAATAGAACATACATCCTCCCCCCCCCAAGGGGGCAGGGGGCCTCTGACATGACCGAGTTACAGTAGCGTATTCTGTAGTTACAGAGACGAGGAATTATCATGCAGACGAACATATCCACACCCTCCAATCATCAGAGTACAGATCACGGAGTTAAGATGAGCGAAAGCTGTTTATGCAAGGGATCGGCGAACGGTTCCAACAGAGAGATCGTCCGGGTCATCGGAGAAATTGGTTTTTTCTAAGCGTTCCTGCAAGCTTGACTAAGGAACACGATTCCATGGTATCCCAAAGTCAACGAAGAGCTGACGAGTCGCGAATGACAGGTGCAGCCACGACTGTTGGGGTGTAGGGGAGGTGAGACTGGTCTCAAGAGATTAGTAACACCAAATATAGGAAAGCGAGCTGACAGTGTCAGGTCTGAATTGAGAGCCCTTGGCGGCCTGGTGGCCCAATACCATCCACCGCCAATGGGGTTTTAAAAAGCTTTCATTGTTGCCCGGGCGCCTTCGAAATCCCCGGGTAGCAGAGGCTTAGAGGGCCGAGAGTCCCCGTGGCCTGGCTGCTGGAAACTTGGAAGATCACCAAAGACAATCAGATCGGAACCAATTCCTGGATCTCTAGGCGTGACCATTGATGGGAGGCATCAGGGGAGTGTTGGGAAATGGGTAAAAAAACAGCCATGACGAATGTATGTTTTGATAGCAGAGGCCGGCTACCCCACAAACACGAAGACGAACCAGTAACCGAGCTTCCGATCTTGAAGCTTGGGAAGTTATCTCCTCTTCTCGGACTCGAAGAAGCCCAAAGTAGTGCTGCTATCTCGTGTCCGACAAGGAAAGTGGATGCCGTTACACGCTTCGAAAAGGAAAGAGGTTCAGAAGATCCTTGTCGCATGGCCGTCCACGTCACCAGTGATCGGAACATGGATCAGGTACCCAGGTTCCTGCACCTGCTAAGATCTAACATACCAATGAAAGCCAAAGCCCTGAATCTAAAAAATATGGAACCGATTCCACGTGCGGAGACTCTTTTTTTGAACAAGCAAGGGAGCAGTTGATTAGCTATCTCATATCTTGGTTCACCCCAAAATTTGGGGGGAAGTATGTGACTGGTATTGTAAAACGAGAAAACCTAGGTGATGAGCCTAAAGTCGAAAAGAAATCTATGCCATTGGTGAGAGAGCCTGGACGTGTCGAAACGACAAGTCAGCATTCCCCGTATCTAATAATGGACAACAAAAACGAACCTTCTTTCGAAGAAGTCCGAATAGAAGACCCCAACACGGATCCCTGCAGAATGTGTCAGTTGACGCAGGGATCAATCCAGACGCAACTCGCTGCCCTGTCCTGCGATGGCACGACTCCCACGCGATGAGTCTAGCTCTCCGAGACCAGATGGAGTAGTTGGATGCAGATCAGGTCCCACAACAGATCCCTCAGAACATGTCCACTTGCTTTAGCTTTCCAGCCCTCCGTATCTGTCCACACTTGCTTCCTGGAGATCTGCAGCTCCTCGCAAAGCCTGCGTTTTTGGGGTTCGGCAGCCCTGACCGACTTTTGCCCTCTCGGAACAATCCCTGTGGCTGCATCTTGCAGCTGCATGTCTTAAATAGTTCATCTGCAATGGATCCTATCTCGATGTCAGTTGGTTGTGTTGAGGCGACGAGGGAAAGAATCGTGAGAGAAGAGAGAAGAGAGAAGAGAGAAGAGGAAGACCGACTGGCAACGTGACTGAAGACAACGTGACCAGGAGAGCAAACCCGTCAAACAAACAACTCTGGACACGACCAAATGTTTCCTTCGTCTAACACCAGGTATTCTTTGGTCCAAGTCACCTACCAGCTCGCCACAATACGATCGAGATAAGGGCTACATTTGACGGAAGAAGGAATTGGTAATGTGGATAAACGATTCATGACCCATTTGACGAAGCTAAGAGATCGAATGACAAGCCAGCAGAAAACGACTAGACGAAGCGAACCAAAGCGGCATGAAAAGCCACCTTCGAACGCCAGACCACTATTTGGGCCTCGTATTCAGCGGCAGCAGAACCAAATCTCCCCACTGCTTAGATACAAAGTGCCACCAAGACCGTGGTCGAGGTCTAGACTAGCACACAAGCTGTATCCCTGTTCGTGGAGACAGCGTAGCACTTGGAGAGCGATTAGTCTGCTCTGCACAGCACCCTTGGGCGTTGGCTGTGACCAGACTGCATCCTTCAACCTGAGCTCGAAGTTTTCGGACACGAAGTCCTGGTAGCATCCCTCAATTCGGTCGCCAAACGCTTTACACATCGCCTTGGCTAGATGAGCCGGGGCGTTGACCAGATGGATCAGGTCACGCGAGTCAAAGGAAACACACAGCCAAAGGCGTTCCTGCGGCAGTTGGCGTTGGAGGACCAGTGAAGCTGTATTGTCAGAAAGAGAGAGAGAGAGAGAGAGAGAGAGAGAGAGGAAAGAGACAGGACTAACCCTTTTCACCATATGCTTGGTAATTTCCCAGTCGCCCTAAACCTCCTGCCACCGGGCCAACCCCCCATCCTTCCTTTGCAAACATGTCCAGCAGGTCTAAGACAACCCTGCGGATCGCGATTTTCTCTTCGTCGCCGCCATGCGCAAAGGGATTCCCGCGCAGCTTGATCTCCATGCTCTCGTCAAAGGGTCGCACATCTTGGATGCCCTTGGGCCATGACCTCCTCAGAACCTCCGTCACGCGCGCCTGGAGGTTGTCGGGGAAGCCCAGCAGACGGATGCGGTCCGTCCAGCTGAAGTACATCAGCACAATCTGGATCCCCTCCATCCGCGGCGAGGCCATAGATGTCGCTTCGTGGTAGGTAGGTGGCTTGTCACCCATTTTGAATCAGGTACTCACTAGTCTAGTAGTTAGTTTACTTCCAAATATTGATACTATAGCAGCACATTCGCAGTATCTTAATGCTATATAAAACACAGTGCGAGTACTATGCTAAAACAGGCAAAGTGTCCTTACCTAGGCAGTATTGTAACTAGGTAACTAGGTAGTTATCTGCTATATAGATAACCAGTAGGCTGTATAAAATAAAAATAATAAACACTCCTGTAGGATAGAGAGAGAGTCATAGGGCAAGGAGGCTGTATCTAGTTGTTTTCTATTCTATATAAGCACCTCTGATGTGATTATTGCTGCCTGGAGGCTGGACACCTACTACAGTAAGCTATATACATCACCTCTTCCCTTATACTAGTCATCTAACTGGCCAATATCCTCCGTTATTACGCCTCATTGCCCTTGTTTCACCCTGAACGGCTGTATTTACTATTGGGTGGTTAGGGCACGACATTAGGGCATCCTTAGCACATCCCGAGTTTTATAATTCTAGGTATTATCATCATTAATTAAGACGCAGTTAAATGAAGACAATTACCTATTAATTACCTATTCATTATATTATATTATCCTGTTCTCTTATCAGTGCTTACGCTCGTCTATGACCGATTTGCGGGGAATACCCCTCACGTGACCACCGTTATCTCCGCCGCTTCTCCGACGTCACCGTCCAGCAACGCGAGTGGAAGACGATGAAGCGTCTCGACTGGCTATCGCGGGCGATGGCTGAGATAAGAGCAGGCTGGGGGCAGGGGTAGAAGCTACTAATGAACCAACAGACACGTTTAAAGTCTCCCTCTACTGACCGTCTGTCCCAGATTAATTGGGAGGTTGCCTTGCTTTGGATCGCCACGCGTCGATCCCCTCCCCTCTCATTCCAACAAAGAGCGAATTAATACTCACGCCATTGTCTCGACCCTTATATCTCGATAATATAAACAGAAAAAGAAGAAGAAAAAACATCGGAAAGGATGTCGTTGCCTCGCGTCTCGTATCTCGAGTCATGGGAGCACAGCCCAGCCGCGTTCTGGCGTCGGCAGTCGTCGATCACCGATTCAGAACCAGAAGACGAGCTCCATCAAGAGCTTCCAGAGACGTCGCTGTCCTCTTCCTTCCCCTCGATATATAGTCACCACCGCCTCAACTTCAATCCGTACGCGGCGCCCGGGTGGAGTCGCGCCTCGGTCGAAGATGCGAACGACGACCGTGTCTCCTTCTTCCAGAGCTCCAGTGCCAATGTCCACAAGAACAACCATACGGAAATTGCGCCAGATGAGCTAGAACCACAGTATGTGGCTTTTAAGGAACCAGAGGGAATAGCTCCCTTGACGACGGGGGCTTTTGAAGTCAGCAAGGCGAAGAGAATCGGTATATAAAGCCTTTCAGATTATCTGTCTGTCTGTCTGTCTGTCTGTCTGTCTGTTAACATTGAATAGTCCAAGTCTTCATCGCTGTGGTCTACTGCTTCCTTGCAGCAGGTGTCGTCTTTGGGTTTGCCGCCATCAAGCCGGTGCTCATCCGCGAGGGGGTATATCGGCATCTGTGCTCCCAGGAGGAGCTTGACACGGGCGCTCTGGTTTGCTATGGACAAGAGATTCGGTATGAAAAATACGAGTTACAGTTCGTGTAATACAGTCGACTGATTCAATAGTCTCAACCTGATGTTCACCATTGCGGCCGTCGCGACCAATGTCTCGGCGCTGCCCGTAGGGACCATTCTCGACACGTATGGCCCGCGAGTCTGTGGGATCATCGGGAGCGTGTGTCTGGCGCTGGGCGCTGTCTTGTTCGGGTTTGCCGCCCAGTTGCCCTTTGACGGCTATATCCCCGGCTATCTGTTCCTCTCGCTGGGCGGGCCGTTTGTTTTCATCTCCTCCTTCCACCTCTCCAACACGTTTCCGGCACGATCGGGCTTGATCTTGTCCATGCTGACCGGCGCCTTCGATGCGTCCAGCGCGCTCTTCCTGGTGTTCCGTCTGGTCAATGAGAAGACCGGGGGTGCCTTCTCCACGACCAAGCTCTTTTCGATCTACCTGACCGTCCCGCTCTTCATCCTGTTCGTCCAACTGTCCGTCATGCCCGCCACGTCCTACAAGACCGTCGGCGAGCTCGTCGTCGAGGCCGAGACGCAGATCATGGAGGAGGTCCACGACCAGGTCGACGCCAGCATCCCTGATCCCCGCGAGGGCGAACGCCAACGCAACGACCGTCGTATGCACCGCCACAGCATCGTCAGCCAGATCCAGGATCTGCTCCAAGATAGCCCGGACGAAAGCTCGCCCTTCCAGACACCAACATTTCCGGGGTCGCCCGGATCCCCCGAATCTCCCGAGAATAATGGCGGTTCTCAGCAGCAGCCGCGGCCCGCGGCCCTGAAACCCAAACCGCCCGCGTCGCAGCCCGCCGTCGGCGGCGTCTGGGGCGCGATGCACGGGTTCTCTGCGCTGCAGCAGATCCAGTCCCCCTGGTTCATCCTGATCACCTTGTTCACCGTCCTGCAGATGCTACGAATTAACTACTTTGTCGCCTCGATCCGACAGCAGTACGCCTACCTACTCGACTCCCCCGCGCTCGCCCGCCAGATCAACGATGCCTTCGACCTCCTCCTCCCGCTCGGCGGCCTGGTCTCCGTCCCCTTCATCGGCACCGTACTCGACTCTCTCCCGACGCGCACCGTGCTCGCCTTACTCGTCGGGGTCGCCTCGCTGATCGGTCTTCTCGGCTGCATCCCCGCCTGCCTCCCAGCCGCGTACGCAAATCTCGTCCTCTTCGTCCTCTACCGGCCCTTCTACTACACCGCTGTCTCGGACTACGCCGCCAAAGTGTTTGGATTTCAAACCTTCGGCAAAGTATACGGTCTGATCATTTGTTTGGCGGGGATGGGCAACTTCGCCCAGACCGCCCTCGACACCCTCACTTTCAAATCTTTCCATCGTAATCCTATCCCCGTCAATGCTGCTCTGACACTAGCCGCTTGCGCTGTTGGTGTCGTCCTGGTGATTTTTGTGTCGGTTCGTGTTCGCGCCATGGCTGCCGCGGGTGTCGTCGGCGAGATGGACGTCCAGGATGATTGTCCCTCTTCTCCGCAGGTCTCGGAACAGGTTCAGATTGCTGTTCGGGATTGGGAGCGTGAGCCTTTGATACGGGATGTGCAGCGCTCGTATGTTTAATATATATAAATCATATTGAATAGCCTCATGTAGAAAGACTAGTGTACTCCTCAAGTACAATGATTGCTCTAATCCAAGTAAAAGATCTAATTCCAACCCGGTCAATGATAAGTCACACTGTAGACATCAAAGCTGACCACCTGCCCATTAAAGCTGACCCCGTTCTTGTTGGCGTAAAGGTGCTTCCCACTGCTCACCACGGTGATGGTATACTTGCCTCCGCCGATATAAGCAATATCGAAGAGCACCGCGTCGTTTGCGTCAGTGACCAGCTTGCCCTCAGCGCCGATGTACCGTCCGTCCAGCGCGGAGGAGATGGTGAAGTGCGTGGTGCCTGTTTCCTCGACGTGGAGAACCCAGCGCTGGGCGAGGCCCTCGTGGGTAGACGTCGCAGCGGTCACGGTCACCTTGTCGTTGCTGCTTTTGGACTCTTCTTCGGCGGCCAGCGCGTACCCGTCGATTTCGAAGACGAGATACCGGCCTTCGGTCAGGTTGCCGCGCACGCTCTTGAACCCGTCCTCGTAGTAGAGTGCGTCTTCGAGTGTCTGGTTACCGTAGGGGATCGTAGGAACCACGTCCGAGTAATAGGCCTCGCAGGCGACGTAGGTCCCCACGATCTCGCCGTCGGAGTCGGTGTAGGGGTGGGGGGCTTGAGGGAGGGAGGGGACAGAGTAGTCGGGCTGTAGGAATATTAGTCAAGTTATCATCTTCAAAAAAAGCGAATATAGATCAAAGCTCACGTTATCCCAATCGAAAGCGTTCAGGAGGTTGGACATGTGGTTGCGGCGCCACTCGGACATCTGGGCTGTCACGACGTTTTCATACCCCTTGGCCTTGAGGAACTCTTCGACAAAGAGGATCTGAGAGTTGTGGTCGGTGTGCTCGGTGAAGACCTTGCCGCCACGGGTCCAGGGGGAGATGATAAAGATCGGGACGCGAATTCCTAGTAGTCAGTTAGAGATTACAGTATTTTTAACCCTAGCATAAATCAAAACGCACCTGGTCCCGCAAAAGTGTATCCCAGTTCCCCATATGGATCCTCGAGCCATTCCCCGGCCGTGCCACGGGGCGAGTGGTAGGGCCAGATGGGGTCGCCGAAACCGCCGCCTTCGTCATAGCAGATGATCAAAACAGTGCTGTCCCAGTTGGGTCCGTGGGTGACGGCGTCGACGATCTTCTTCATGAACCAGGCGCCGTCGCCGGGGGTGTGCGGCGGGTGCTCGTTGACGGCTCCGGGGGGAAAGATCCAGCTCACCTCGGGCAGGGTACCGTTGGCGGCGTCGGCATAGAAACCCTCGAGCGAGTTGCGGTCGCTGAATGCGAGCCCCCGCTCGTACAGACTGGAGTTGGTGGCGGCCTCCTGCATGGACTTGAAGTAGAAGAGGCCGTTGTTGGTCACGTAGTCGTATTCGTTCATGTAGCCGCGCCAGTCGACACCGGCCTTGTCGTAGATCTCAGCTGTGGGAGGCCAGTCCAGAGGCACACAGTTCAAGTTCGTGCCCTCACACCCTGGGGTCTGGTTGTCATCTAGCACGACACCACCGGCCCCGAGCGGCTGGGGGCCTCCGGGGACGTTGATGGATCCGGACTGCCACATCCACCGGTTGGGGTCGGTAGCGGACATCACACCAGCCTATTCAACAGATATATCGCATGAGCTTCAGGTTTTCTAACCCCCCCCCTTAAGTAGTCTTACCGTGTACATGTCACCAACGGTCCAGGCATCGGCCATGGCGTAGTGGAAGGGAATATCCTCTCGCTTGAAGTAACCCCAGGCCTGAGGCGTACAGGAGACTGCCCACTGGTCCATGGTGCCATTGTTCATGCCTTCCTGGGTGGGCAACCACTCGTTACTACCAGGAGACATGCACATGGTGCGGTTGTGCCAATCGCCCCCTTCGTAGTTCAGCCAGAAGGGGAGAAGCCAATCCGTAGCATCGGTGAGGGTAGAGACATTCCTTCGCTGTTAGTACGAGATACCTAGCTAGCTAGCTACTAGGTAGGTTAAGTAGTACCTAGGCTATAGGAAGGGAAACCTACTGGTACCACACCGACTTGCCATTCTCATTGATCTGGACGTTGGGATCCGCAAAGCCACGGACACCGGCCATAGTCGCAAAATACTGCCCATGGTCAATCAAAATCCTGCCCTCTTCCCCTCCGTCATCACATCACCACGTACATGCATGAACGAGCGGTTCTCCTGCATCAACATCACCACATGTTTAACATCGGCGAGCGAGCCCGAGCGGGCCACTCCAGCACCGGCAAGGACCAGAGCCAGGCTGTGTCGGAACATGTCGATCGCTGGCAGCTGCTTGACCTTCTCGAACTCTTCTCCTCGACGGCCATATCTGCCGTCTTCTTATACCCCTCCCTCTCTCCATGTGCTATGCGAGAAAAGTCCAAGGAGAGAAGAGGAGGGGTAAGGTAGGATTGTGCGGAAATGAGAGAGACTCTCAGAGCCCTTGGGAGCGGCCACTGGGTATTCCACGTGCCAGGAACATTGAGCATTATTGCTGAAAGATGTCTGAAGAAGGATTCGTCGAACCTGGCACTGTCAAGGTTAATTCTACCCTTGCAATCCTTTCTGTTTCATCTCGCTCTTCAGGATCTCATTAGCCAGCGTCTTGTTATCGTGTAGATTCGCGTAAATTCGTGTAGATTAGGTAGAACAGTCCTCTTTACTTACTGTCTATCCCCTCTCTCGATTCATTTCAACCAGAATCATTCGGATCAAGCAGTGGGGATCAGACAGTCCTCCCCAAGCAATAAAAATCCCAGATATCGTCCTTCCTCCAGGTTGAAGCTTTCAAGGATTCCTCTGTCGATCCGCCGGCTCTCGCCCTGACCAATGGGAGCCTCTCCTGCCTCACGTGTGTTACTGGCATCATGTGACTCCCGTGATCCTTGACCTTCTTCACTTTCAGGAGCTTCAATTGCCAGAAGAACTTCTCTCTCTCTCTCTCTCTCGCCAGGTAAGTCAGCTCTGGAAGAGAGAGAGAGATGGCACGATGGCTTGGTCTCACGCATTTTCTCTCGCAGGCAGTCTATTGATTCTCTCGACGGCCTTGTTGATTGTGCAGACCTTCTGGACGGGGCCAGGGGTCCCTACGTTGGTGGCAGAGCACGCTGTTTCGGCTGCAGAAAGACGTATAGAGATACTGTTGCACCCGCAAGATCATGTCTTGCGGCCAGCAGACTCGCTCCGACATGTGTGGAATATCACCTCGGGGCGGAAGGTGCCAGATGGAGTTGCAAAGGACGTGTTTTTGATCAACGGTACTTTAAAATTTTTTTAGGGGAAAACAAGACCACGATCGAGGGGAGACAGTGGCTAACACTGAAGATAGGTCAATTTCCCGGGCCGACGATCGAAGCTCGTTCTGGAGACGTGCTCGAGGTTGAGGTATGGAATTCGCTGGCAGACGAGGAAGTTTCGATTCACTGGCATGGACTGCTTATGAGAGGTAACTGAATATCCCTCCCCCCCTCTCTCTATATACTGGCATCTATGTGGTACGGTATACTGATAATGCAGGGGCAAACCATATGGATGGTGCGACTGGTATCACACAGTGTGCTATCCCACCAGGGGCCAGCTATACTTACAGGTTTCGAATAGAGCAAGAAGGGACTTTCTGGTATGAGTTCATCACCACATATCTCATTGAGAAATCCAGAGTAACCGAAATAACTAGGTACCATGCGCATTCGGATGTCCAACGAAGTGACGGACTCTACGGAGGACTAGTGGTACATCCACCTGGAGCCATCCAACAAGACGAGGAGATTCTCCTACTGGCAGGAGACTGGTACCACCGACCCGCTGGAGAGGTGTTGGATGCCTTTATGGATGCCAAAAGTGATGGCTCAGAGGTATTTTCACGACGAGTCTGCTTTGGATCGATAGTTAAATAACCAGCATAGCCATGTCCGGACTCCCTGTTGATCAATGGACTCGGCCATTTTGACTGTTCTCGGGCATTGCCTGCATTCCCGGTTGATTGTAGCCCGTCGGATATGCCCTGGATCCAAATGGATACCCGGAAGACATATCGAGTGCGAGTGGCGAACGTGGGGTGAGTTCGTCCTTACATGTATACCATGGACTTGTACTCATCGAGGCAGAGCCTTGACTGGCATCTCCATCACCATTCCAAATGCACAGATCCAAGTCACTCATTTTGACGGGCAGAGAATCACTGCATCGCCTCCGGTCAACTCGGTTGGTGTACTTTATCCGGGTGAACGAGTTGATTTCATCCTCAGTTGGAATCGGCCAGAGGAGACCAGTCAACTTATTATTGATCTCGACAAGGAGTGAGTGTGTCACTGGTTCATCAAAAGAAGATGTATTGACAACCAAGAAACTTTCAAACTCCCAATCTCGCACTGTCACCTACGCAATCATTCGCCATATCAGACCCGAAGGGGCAATTCTCCTCATCCAACCAGACAGAGATAACTTCCTTCAATCTCCAGACCGCACAAGGGCTCTTATTACCCCACCCCCTACCCGAACCGAAGTCCTTTGTTGTCCTCTACAGCGCCATTCAGATTCTCGTCCATGAACACAACATCCCCATGGGCTTTATCAATCGCACGCACTGGAAGAAACAACCGCAGCCGCTGCTCAGTCTAGGCCGAGAAGACTGGAATAGCTACCAACTTGTTCCTTGGACAGGCCCGGAGCCAGCGTGGATTGACATCGTCATCAATAATATGGACGTCACGGGACATCCATTCCATTTGGTTAGGATACGCTACTCCTCCATAAGTATCACCCTAGCTGACGATATACAAAATATGAAAGCACGGGACAACCTTTTATGTTCTATCCTCCTACCGTGGCAAAAGCGGCTGGGACTACTTCAATCCATTTGACACGTCTAAACCCCCCAAAGGCGGCGCCTACAACGTAATCAACCCGCTGGAAAAGGACACGGTCTACGTGCCTCCGCTGGGATACGTGGTGCTCCGCTTCCGAGCCGACAACGAAGGTATCTGGATGCTGCACTGCCATGTGCTATGGCACCAGGCGAGTGGAATGAGCATGGCAGTCCAGGTGCTCGGCGACGAACACGCGGGTTTCCGAGACCACCGCATGGGGGAGGTGACGAGGGAATATTGCAGCGGTACCTACTCCCCAAGTCATTTGAGAGAGGTTGATAAGAAGCTGGCTATATAACGAGTAAATGTAGGTTAAAGACATATAGTTACTAGAGTTCAATGGCTATCCTCTCCTGATATTAATGGATTATAGATCAAAATATGAGATAGTATGTCTCTATCCGGTACAGCGACGGGCTGTACACCTAGCACTCTCCTGCTCCTAATAGTCCTTTCAGCCAATCCATGCTCTATATTAATGGCGGGGGTGGAGCGGGTGGAGCGGGTGGAGTGCGGGACCCCGGGCCGATTTCCGCTTCGAGTAGATCTTATCTAGCCAATCATTGCCAATCGCATCAAAATACGTATGTAGTAGACATCTCACCTACTACTCTGTAAATAAGACTGGGAGTAGAGCAAGCGAATCAAGAAAGAAAGCCTCGTATTAAACCCCGTGTAAAAAAAAAAAAAGCTACACAACAATATTCTCCACAAAGACATCTCTCCACTCGGCGACAAAGGCCTCCACGAACGTAGCCTCATGGAAGGCCTCGTTGTAGTTGACCCCGAGATGCATCTGTCCGTTCCACGTCCACAGACGCATCTGAAGATACCGGCCGGTCATCTCCGATGCAATCCACCAGTCCTCCAGGGTGTAGGTCTTGCTGTTGCGGCCACCAACCCCAACCCCTTCATACTGCGGTCGCACATGCCGGTCAATAATCCCGATCGAGCTGAGTTCCGCGTGCGCAGGCCTGCGCAGGGGATCAGGAGGCGGGACCGCAAGTAGGGCAGTGCACTGCCGCTCATACTCGGCCAGGATGGTGAAGAGGTTGCGCGGGCTGTCTTGGCCCAGGTTCCGTGCGTAGACCGGGGTAAGCGAGGCTGCGATGGCAGAAAAGTCCCGCGCCACATCTAGATCCACGCTGATGGGGATGCCCGAGTGATACGGGCTCGCGGCCGTCGCGGGCTCGTTCCACGGCGCGGGCAGATACTTGTGTAGATCGACGGAGACGAGGCCCGTGAACTTGCCTCCAGGGCGGCCGCGCGTTGCCGGATCAAAGTCGTGGATTGCGTACCGCTGCATCACCAGAGCGAGGGCAGCGTGTGCGGCCGTCGTGACGGTGAGGCCGCGTGCCTTGCACCCCGCGATGATCTGCTGCGTGGAGGTGTGCGGAAGGTTGAAACCGTACCGCCGCGTCGTCCCGGGTAGCACATTGGGCCGCGTCGGCAACGTCAGGTGCGGGCCCTCGGCCTTTAGTACAGAAAGTTCCTCCTCAACGGCACGAAGGATTGCGGGCGTGGCTTCCTGTGGCACACCACCCGCCTCGTCGAGGGAAGGCGGCAGGCGGGCAGCCTCGGAGCCGTCAAAGACGAGCTCGCCCAGCGAGGGAGGCCCGTCCGCTAGGATCTGCAGCAGGGCATCCTGGGTGCACATCATGGAAGTGGCGTCGAGACGCCAGTGCGGCGCCCGGAAACACAGCTCGTGCGTATGCGGGAGAAAGTAGAGCTTGACCAGCGCCGTGGGTGGGAAGGTCTCGAAGAGGCTTTCGGCCGACGGGGCAGCCAGCGCATTCACAACAGTCAGTGTCTCCTGCATCCAGGCCTCGAGGTCTGCTGTCGAAGGCACTGTGTAGACGAAGCGTGCTGGAACGTCGCCATTGCAATCGTCGCTGGGTCGCGCGGCGATGTGAGGGTACCGATGGCGTAGCGCGAGCCACGCCCGGCGAAGTTCGTCCACCGACGGCAAGCTCTGGAAGCGGACAGTACAAGTGACATGGAAGTGCTGCTTTTCCAGCGCGATAGTGGACGCTGTAACGGTCAGGTAGAAGGCCTCCAGCGAGTCGAACTTGCGTTCGTAGCACCCGGGGAAGACCTGCTGCCAGGGCATGGCTCATAAGCCAGAGAAAAAAAAAAATCAGCCATCTACTGTATATACAGTAGAAAGCACACGTATGACTCTCTTTTTTGCATGAACGTTAGGCCTCCAGTATGAGGGCTCTTATTATCCACCCTGCAGGGCAGCCCAATCAGACAGAAGATCACAATGCTGATCAACCCCTCAGAGGGGCTGACGTGGCAATACATGGATTACCCGATGCTGGGTAGTGGTGAGAAACAGAATACAGATAGCAGACTCAAGGTCGAGACTTCGTTCACGGAAAATAATCGCGGATTGAAAACTTGACTGGGAATCAAAACATGGCCAACCAACTCGTCTGGCTCATCACCGGCTGTTCATCTGGCCTCGGGGAGGCTGTTGCCTATGCCATTCTTGCCAAGGTGAGTGCCTCTAGGTCGTTATTGTTCTTGATTTGCATGTGCTCTGCTGAATATTTCAGGGCGACAAAGTCGTCGCGACGGCTCGGCCTCGCGACGGTGTCAGCGGTAGGGAACGTCTCGCTGCCCTTGAGGCTGCGGGTGCTGCAGTCGTCGAGCTCGATGTGACCGAGTCGCAGGAGAGCCTGGATGCCAAAGCGAAGCAGATCTGGGATATATACGGTCACATCGATGTCCTGCTCAACAACGCGGGGTTCATTGATGCCGGCATATTTGAAGAAATCAAGTAGAGAGTCCTATCCTCGTTCCCCCATTGGACTCATAGAATCGTCCCAGTGATAGGCGCTGATTGGAAGAACAGTGAGCAAGTTCTCGTCAACTCCCTCCGGAACAATGTTCTCGGTCCACTGAATCTCACCCGGTCGTTTCTACCGTCCATGCGCGCCCGGCAGACGGGTACGGTGCTGTTCATGTCGTCCGTGGGCGCCTACTACGGCGCCCCGGGGGCATCGAACTACTCAGCATCCAAGGGCCTGCTGGAAGGGATTGTGCCGAACATGGCCGCCGAGCTTGCGCCGTTTGGTATCCGATTCTGCCTGCTGACGCCAGGCTACTTCCGTACCAAGGTCATGACGCCGGGAAATATCCACTACTTCAGTGGCCCGAACCAGCGCTCGGAGTACAAGGAGATGAACAAGTTAGTCCAGGACCACTGCAATGCCGCGGACAGCAAGCAGCCGGGGGATCCCCACAAGGCGGCAGTGCTCATCGTCGATGCGGTCCGCGCAGAGGGCCGTTGTGCAGGCAAGACCCTGCCTCTGCGACTCCCAATAGGCCCGGATGGGTTCAAGGCCGTCAAGGACAACTGCGCTGAAAAGATGGCCATCTGCGAGGAATGGGGGGAGATCATGGCAGACACGGATCTTAGCTAGGGACCAATAGTTAGCAGCAGTTGAAACAGAGTCGAATCAATATATCGTTCAGTCCTTACACCAAAAGAAAGAAAAAAAAAAAAGACTCAACACAGTCGAATGTCAGCGAGGAGATCGCCTGCAAGGACATCGATGCCCCCCGTCTGCTTGTCCTCGATGCCGAAGCCGAGGAAGACGATATCGTCCAGGTAACCGTGGTACTTGAGGCCGTGGTTCTTCCAAGTCACCGAGGTCATGAACATCATTTCCGAGTAGGCCTCAGGCGGCACCGGCGGCGCCTCCTCGGTCGTGGGAAGCGCCCACCGGGCAGCGGCCAGATCTTCTTCCCACTCACCGGGCCTGCGGCGGCCGTGGATCCAGAGCGGCTTGGTAGAGAGGCCGTAGAGGGCAAAAGGGGCGGAGCGGCGAAACAGCATCACGTACGGCTCATAGACCGAGTGGAACTGGTAGAAGCTTTTGTGATGGAAGATGGTCAGAATGAAGGTATTGTCCTCCGTTTCTTGACAGGTCGGGTCCGCTCGCCGGCACAGCGTGATGGCCAGCGAGTTGGTCGCCTGGTGCAGCGATTCGAGCTCGCTCTCCAGCCGCGGCAGATGGGCCTGCATGCAGCGATCATCCCCCGCCGCTGCTGCAAGGGGCGCGAGATCCTCTCCCACAGAGCCGTCGGCGCTCAGGCGGGCAAAGGCACGCCGCGGGGCAATATCGTAGTGGGCGTACAGGGCGCCCGCGGCGTCCCAGAAGACGAACCAGTTCTTCTCGACGACCCCATAGGGTACCGGCCGCTGCAACTCCGTCGCCTGGCGGAAGGTATCCTCGTGGTAGAACTCGAACCCCCAGTCGACCAGCAGGCGGAAGTCCAGCATCCACTGCGAGAAGCATGTATGGACCGCGTTCGAGCCGTAGATGGTATACGGCGCCCAGGGCCCGAAGAACACGCGAGCATCGTGCGGGCCCTCGTTGAGTCGGAAGTAAGCCACATCTCCTTCGCACATGGCGTCGTCGCCCTGGGTCGGCGCGATGGGCAGCACCGCCGCCGGCTCGACGCAGGCAAGCACGCCGTCCGCGCGAAACACCGCGTTGCAGACCAACTCGACGTGTACGCCAGTCTCGTCCCCCGGTAGCCGTCGCTTCTGGGCAACGATTATCCACGTGTTGGGGAGCTTCGGGTGCGGTAGGATGCTGGGGTTGATCGCCTGGTGCCCGTCGAAATCAACCAGGAAGTACGCTCTCGAGGCGCTGGAAACCGAAAAAACCTCGCGATAGCGCGTCATGTCCACCTGGGGAGCCCTGAGATCATTCTCCGACCCTGCGAGGCCTTGTGAGAACCTTGGTCCCGACGCGTTGTCATCGTGGTGTAGAGAAGGCACCAGGCCTGGCTGTGCCCCCCAGCGCGGCAGTCGGTCGCGATAAACCGTGGCTGCGATTAGAACCATGATCAACAGTATTGCCAGAGAAAATACCAGCCGTTTCAGCCCGCGAATCAGCATGGTGGAGGCGTGGCCAGCGGTGGTGGCTCTTCCTTGTGTGTTGTTGGTGGTTGTAGAGAGGAAGAAGAGGAAGAGGGAGAGAAGAGGGGGAGGAGGACTATTTATGGGCAACGCAGAGGAATTGCCAATAGATAGGAGGGAATAGTTTTTTAATTTACGTCAGGTGGGAAGATTCGACTGAGAAGATTCCTAATTCGATGAGTTTATGCTGCGAGTTCTATCAAAGTTGGTGTTTTTCCATTCTATTGATTGATATTAACTAGAATTCAAACACTACTGCATACGAATCAGACCAGATCTTTGGTATTTCGATCAAGGTGTTTCCTTCTTGAATTACTGAATTTCAAGCAGCCGACTTTGGCAAGGTCTTCCGGTACAGCCACTGGGTGAAGCGCACGCATGGCTCGTCTACGAGACGGGTGGCGATGTCTCCCATCCAGAGGGTCAGCGGTAGCAGGACCAGCTGAGGCAAAAGGAAGCTGATCTCAAGACCCAAGGGTCCGCGCTTGGGCAAGGGAAGCCGGTTGAACCAGCCGGCCAGTTTGATGGCAGAGTCCTCGTGTTCCCACCCGACAGCGGCGTACAGCCGGTCGCCGACCGTCCACAGGAGGGGCCCGTGGACGAGATAAAACGCGTACGAGATGCGGCCGAGATACTGGTTGAAGCGGGTCTCGAAGAAGCGCTGCAGCCAGGGCAGGCGGGGGATGCTGGCCACCAGGAAGGTCGCGGCCCAGAAGAGGAAGAACCACTTGAAGTCGAAGACGGCCTGCGGCTTCAGGAAGGACAGGTAGTACCACCCGGGCGACTGGCGCAGCGTGGTGAGGTCAAAGTTGGAGGCGGGCACACCGCCCAGGTACAGACTGACGCCGAACAGCGTGTAGAAGATGGGGTCGCGGTACGGCTGCAGGCGCGAGAAGATCGGGGGCAGCGCGTCGCGCGCCGCCAGCAGATCCAGGTCACACAGGAGCATGCCCGCCATGAACAGCGCGCAGAACCAGCCGTCGGCGATGTAGAGGAAGTAGACGATCAGCGCCACCTCGCCGGCCAGGCGTGCGTTGCGCCGACACCGGCTGAACGCCTGCAGCGCCGTGTAGATGACGATCGAGCCCCGGAACTCGACGGGGATCGACCAGGTGTGGAAGTTGTACGTGAACCACGGCTCACCCCCGGTCCGAAAGACAAAGGTAAAATTTTTGAACTCGACGTACCAGTTCCATAGCTCGTCGCGGTACGACCCTTGCGGATCGGGCACCGCCCGGTAGCCGAACAAGTGCCACGAGGTGATGTAGATGAAAGTCGTGATCATAATGGGGAGATGCAGCCGCAGCCAGCGTCGGAACAGCGCCGATGCCAGGTTGTCGTTCAGCTTGGTGTATTCGCCCGCATGTATCAGGCTCAGCGGTTTCGTCGACAGCACATACCCCGACAGCACGAAGAAGACGCTGACGGCGAAATGCCCGCCACTGAAGAACGTCCGCACCCCCGGCAGACATGCAAAGTAGTGCCGTCGCTCGTACCCAAACGCGTTCTCTAGGATCTGCTCCGAGGCGAACTTGTCGTGCGCCCACAGCTGGTGATGCATGCAATACACCAGCAGTGCCGCGAACCCCCTTACCCCGTCGAGATATGCCGTCCGGCGGCGCGGTGGTGATTGTCCCTGCTGCTGCTGCTGCTGCTGCTGCTGCTGCTGCTTCAGGCCGCTCTCACGCCCGGCGCCCGGCTTGCTCATCCACGCCGGCCGCAGGACATCAAGACAGCCCCGGATCGCGCGAATGTGCGGCGGTGGTCCTTTCACCTCGGGCTTGACGCCCTGCCACAGGTACCCATCCCCATTCTCCAGCAGCCCGTTATCGACTCGCGGAGACATCCTCGTCGACCGGGATTCATATACTCATAAATCTGTAGAAGACCAGAAAGAGAGGGAGCAGAACAAGGAAGACATGCGTTTAGCTCATGACGAAGAGAACGGGGAATGCGGGGTGGGATTGAGTCGTGACGCTTTCTTGTCTTTTTTCTGAGGGGAACTTGCCGATCCCATCATCACTTCTCCCCGTCCAGTCAAAGTATGGACAATTTTAGTCACCATGGACTTGCTGGAGTCTATGGACTAATGTAGTATATCATTTGTAGCCCTGGGCCGAGTCTTCTCCATTCCCCTGCGTCGAGGGCTTCGTCACAAGCAAATGCACGGGCTGCAGGGACCAGCTTCCGAGGTTGCATTGCCGACGACGATCGCCATACGCAAAATGTCTCAGTACTATTGAGAGGCCTTTGGCCGGCTGGCATGTGACAACCAGGCAGTCAGACTTCGGTCATCGAATCGATCGTCACTGACTGGTTGCGTGAAGTCGGGGTCTATCTCCGCACTCTGCCGGGCTCCAGATCCCAGGGATTTCTCCAGACCCCGGACTCAATCCGCCAATAAAGGCGGGGCGTATATTTTAAAGCTTCGCTCAATGCGGCTTGACGGCCGAAATAGTTTCGTTCAACCTCACCAGTCAGGTACGCTGCTTCTGGGCGTAGCCGATCCTTTCACAGGATCCATTCCATCCCATCTTCTTCTCTCCCTCCCTCTCTCTCTCTGGCTCCAGAAGTCGATCGAGTTGGAAACCGTCGCCTGCTAAGGAGCTGACGTCAAAGACATAACACTCTTATCCTCGGCGGAATCCATTCGGTAGTCGGAGAGTGAAAGGGTACTGCGCGACCCCGGCAGTGCCAACATTTGACCCCCTTGTCAGTCATAACTCCGTACGGCATGGCCAACTCTCCCCTTGGTCAACGGTCCCCAGTAACCAACAAGCGGGTCGAGACGGGGTGGTATAGACCCGGTGGGATCTCTCACCGCGGTTGGCGAACAGCAGATCCCTACTTCTGTAGTAATCATCGTGGTAATCGTAATAAAAAAAGCGAAGAGAGCAAACCCTGGGCTGATGTCCACTTTCCTGGTTTGTGATGATTAGCAAGGCCCGTACATAAGCTTCCACTACCGGTGAGCTCATCAACCTCGGCGAGAGATTGCGTCCTTGTAACTTCTCCGCATGCCTAGAAAAGTAGACAAGACTAGCTAGATGGAACGAAAGATCTGAAAACCCGGTTGAGGCGAGGGGCTCTCTCTTGGGGAAAATTACCTCACCTCCATGTGTTCTTTCTCTCTCTCTCTCTCTCTCTCTCTCTCTTTCCTGCTACCTCTTGAGAGGGAACAAAACTATTCGGAGAGAAGTCTCTTCCACCTGCTGAATTTGCCTTCCATTCCTCCCTTCCCCCCAATCGTGGTGCATTTCGGATGTCTCAAACGAGGACTTACATGGATGCGATCTCCACGGCAGATCACTGGAAGGGAACCAAATCCGGGTTAAAACCGAGATATGAGCCCTCGATAGACTCGTTGCGTATGAAATTCGAAACTGACACGGGCGTCGTTCTCACCGACGGCACCCCCTACCTCAACGGAAACAGCAGGATGATGACGATGCAGTCGCCCGGCAGCCCCTGGGGGGTGGGCACCACACGCCTGCCGCGACAGGTCCGCAAGATACTGCCGGCGTGTGTGGTCTTTTTCATGCTGACGCTCTATCTGTCAATTACGGGCCTCTTTGGCGAGTTTGGAGGCGCTGGCAGTGGGTTCCCATCCCGACCATCGTCGGGGACTGGGCACCTGTTTCCGCGCAAGATCTGGCAGACGTGGAAGGTCGATCCGCTGGAGTTTGATGAGCGTGATCTGGCGACGGCGCGGAGCTGGACGGCAAAGAACCCGGGTCATCGGTATGAGGTGCTCACGGACCAGAATGATCTGTACTATGTAGAGACCTATTTCGGACCGGACGGGTTCAACCGGCCGGACATTGTGGCCATGTACCGGGCTCTCACGGCTAAGATCATCAAGGCCGATCTGCTGCGGTACCTCGTCATGTACGTCGAAGGCGGGGTATACACGGACATCGACGTCGAGGCATTGAAGCCCATCCAACGCTTCATCCCAGAGCGGTTTGACGAGCGTGACATCAATATGATCATCGGGGTCGAGATCGACGAGCCCGCACTCAAAGACCACGCCATCCTGGGCCCCAAGTCGCAGTCCTTCTGCCAGTGGACGTTTGTCTGCAAACCCGGCCTGCCCGTCATGATGACCCTAGTCGACCACATCCTTCTCTGGCTGAACGAGGTCTCCCGTCGCCAGGGCAAGCCCGTTGCCGAGATCGAGCTGGACTTTGACGAGGTCATCAGCGGCACGGGCCCGTCGGCCTTCACCAACGCCGTGCTGGAGTACATGAGCCAACGCGAGGGCCGCTCCATTACCTGGGACACCTTCCACAACATGGCCGAATCAAAGCTGGTGGGAGGCGTGCTCGTCCTGACCGTCGAAGCCTTTGCCGCGGGCCAGGGCCATTCCGACTCGGGCAACCACAACGCCCGCACCGCGCTCGTCAAGCACCACTACCACGCCTCGGGCTGGCCGACGAACCACCCCCGGTATAGCCATCCCCTGTACGGCGAGGTTGAGCAGTGTAACTGGAACAAGGAGTGCGTGGCCGAGTGGGACGCCAACATCGCTGCCTTCGACGCCCTCCCCCTCGAGGAGCAGGCCAAGCAGCTCGCCATCAAACAGGCGATGGACGTACCGGAAATGGACGACACGATACCGATACCGATTGATTTCTGATGAAAGACTTTCCTTGTGACGAGAAAAAAAAATAAACACACAATCAAGAGCGAGGGGAAGGGGGACAGGCAACACAAAGCAAACCGAACAAAGACGCAGACAGGGGTCTCACTGTTCACTATTCAAGTCTGTCACATACAGTGGACCCCCAGCTCTCGAGATTCGATGCCTAATCACCATCTCAGTGGTGAAATCGATGAATCCAGGGGGGAGGGAAAGAAGAGAGAAGTGAAAAACAAAGCGTTGTGGGAGATGAAGGCGACCGCGACCTTTCCGAAAGAAGAAAATCGTTCGGATTTCCAATAAATCGTACAGATGAGAAGAAAATGCTTTTCATCTGCTTTGATTTCTATTACTATTTGGTGTTTCGTGGGTTTTTTGTGATGCTTAGGGGTTCTCAAGGATAATAATACCTGGTGCTGTGGATAGATGACTTTATGAATACAATGGAATCATAAATTATTGACTGAAAGTATCTGAATAGTATTGAGTTCAATCAATGCAAGTATATAAGAGTATTTCATATATCATGGTATCAAAAGTTTTACAACTACACCCCTAATCAATTTCGATCAAGGTGTACTTCCCGCCCTCTGCGTATCTGTCCAGGGCATCCTCAACGACGGACATGTAGCCGAGAACCTTCTCCTCTTGCCAGCGTCTGCCGACGACCTGGACGGCGGTGGGGAGACCGGCCATCTTCTGTGCATTGTAGTGCTTCCAGGCGCCCCGGGCGACGGTATTGTTGCACCCCAGCTTCTTGAGGGTGGTCTTGTAGGGAGCCACGAGAGCATCCTTGACGGGGTCGACGTGGCCGACGGGCAGGACACCGGCGGTGTAATCCAGCAGATTCCAGAGGAAGGTGTAGCCGCAGGAGGAGACGGCGTCGTGCATCGCCTTGTGCGGCAGGGCGGGGGTAGCGTTGACGGGACACAGGATGAAGTCGTACTGTTGGGGTTTGGCATCCCACCACTGGTGCCAGGTGGCGCGGAAGGCTTCACGCCTGGCTACGAGCTTCCACTGTTCGGCGCCGTTCTTGAGGGAGAAGTTGCGGATCAGAGCTGCCCCCTTCGCGTCGCGCTTGATGTAGCGCACAAACAGGTAGTAGAGGTAGCGGAGCGGACGGGGGAGGTTGGCAATCCGCGTCAGCTGGTCGGCACCGGGGTCAGAGGGCTCAAAGGTGTACCGGTGCGAGTTGAAGGTGTAACAACCGTCCGAGTTCAGGAGCTGAGAGGCGAGGTCGAGGCCAGTAAAGGGGTCTGCGGTGGCTGGGGTTGCGATTTCTGTGACGGTGTGGCCGGCAGCGGTCAGGGCGGCGACGGTGGTAGCCAGAGCACGTTCGATAGCGGGCGTAGGAGGAACGACGCCTGTTGGTAGGAAGGGTGACACGTTAATATCGGTTCACACTTCATGAAATAAAATCCAGGGTTCAATTACCATCGTTGCTCATCACACCAATATTTAGCTTTCTCTCCTTGACCTCGTTTTCCTCGTCCTTCCTCCAGGCAATCGGATGCACGGTGTAGTCATATTTCCACGGCTGCATACCGATGAGAGCCTCGGTGAAGTAAGACAGATCATTCAGGGTACGAGCCATGGGACTGAAAACGCTGGCAATTCCCTCCTGGCCCGCCATGCTGGTGTTAACCCCAGCTTTCGGCCAACGACCGGTGCTGCAACGGAGGGAGTAGATTCCACTCCAGGCGGCAGGCACACGAACGGAACCCGCCACATCGGAACCGATACCAATACGGCCTCCGAGAGCTAGAAGGGCGCCCTCACCACCGGTCGAACCACCGGGGGAGTATTCGGGGACATGAGGGTTGAGACAGTGTCCCCAGAGGCCATTAGCCGACTCGAACGAGAGCAGGGTGATTGGCAATGCCGTCTTGGCATATGGGACCGCGCCTGAGGGTTAATGAGCACCGCTGACTGCTTGTAGGGAGGAGGGGAGTATCATCGTACCAGCATCTTTCAACAGTCTCACCATCGGGCCATCCTCCTTGTACGGCTTCCCCGCCAGACGAGCATAGCCGAGGGTAATGTCAAACCCCTTCACCTGGAGAGAATCCTTCAACGAAATAGGAACGCCCGCCAAGGGACCCTTGAGATTCACCTCCGACTGCGCCCACGTCTCTGCTTCCGGTAGCAACAGCTCTGTGATGCAGTTGGTTTTCTCCTGGGCCTTGACGGCGACCTTGCCGTAGGTACGGAGCACATCGACCGCAGCGAGCGAGCCCTGCTGGACCTCCTGCACCAGCTCTTGAATGGGCTTATTGACCACCGTCTTGTCAAACGCCGAGAACGGGGCGTGGTATTCGGGGCCCAGCGCAGCGAACCGGGCAGCACGTTCCTTGCGCTTGGAGTCCCTTGACTTTCGTCAGCGAGGGGAGGCCAGTACAAGTACAGCAGCAGACCTGAAACCTACCGAACCCGCAGGTACGTGAAATAGTCGAACGGAGGGAACATTGTATGCACTGATCCTCTGAGAGTCCACAGCCAGCACAGAATTGCAGAGAGAAGAGAAAAAAAAACCACCCTCGGCTCGGGGCAGCTCCTTTTGTATCGCCTGCGGGGAAACCAAACAGCGAGTGGAGAGAGAGACAGAGAGAGACAGGACAGACAGATAAGGGAGGGCCTCTGGACCTTGTCCTTGGCTCTCCGCAGATAAGCGGCAGCAGGCCGATCTCTGCGAAACAAACGGTCGGAGAAGACGCTGGAAGTCGTGAGACAGTCTATCAGACGGCTATGGGGTTTCTCTTCCACGGCGTTGGCCTTCCCAGACGTGAAATACTCAAGTGAATAAGTGAATAAGGAATGAATGTCCCTGACTGAAGACTGAAATTCGAATGACCGAGCGAGAGTCACGTTGGTCCCACGTGATGGGAAACCAGCTCTATGCCTCTTTTGGCAGGTCCAGGCGGGTTTGAAGGCGTTAGATACTTGAATAGAGCTACATAATTGTATTACTCAGTGAAAAGATATTACTGGAAGCATGATGGTGTAGTATTGGGATTGAATCAATAGGCACTTCGTTCTGCCAAGTGCCTGGGGAAGACTCCGTATCTCATGCGGATTCGATATCGCGGCAAGTAGAATGATTAATGCCTGAGGTATAATATAATGCCTGAGGCAACATGATTACCTCATCAACAGCTCCCTCCTCTCCTACTCGTACAGGCTGACCGACACTCCCTCACTTGCTCTGGACTCTACACGTCTCCTCGAGACTTTTTCTTTGGAAGAACCATTAATGGTGTCTAGGGACATAAATCGGCTTTGATCTTGCCCACGATGACCTAACATACACATGCTATAGGGACTCAGGGGCTGTTCCTTGTCCACTCTCGCCTCATTGCCGCGAATAGGCAGCAGAGAAGGGGGTAACAATTGGAAATTCGTCTCTCTGCTCAAGATCTTATCTTTCTCTAGGGAAATCGACGTTGCATATCGGGAGAGGTCTTCCCCTGCTGTCTTCCCTCTGCTGCGATCAGTCTATCATAAACATGGAGGAACGTCAAACAAGCCGAACCTGACAGACAGATTTATTGGAAATGCGACAATGCAAGAATACCCGAGGGTCAGCATCTGCCAGCGGGTATGATTTGTCAAGAGACTCAGACTTTGGTCCTCCGTATCTCGTCTTCCATCTGGCAGTGGATTCATTGAACTGCTGTCTAATCTAGAGTTGGAATTTTCATGAGGCGGTCATTTTGATGATCTATCACATTGGATAGTGGCAAGGTCAGAGGGTTGACTGATCGACTCTCTAGTGGAGATGGTAAGATATGGAATCTGATTCTGGACAGGTTAACTGGCTCATAGCCCTATGAGATTGCTATAGGTCTATATTTACAGGGACATATTTCATCTGCCAACAGTGTTCAAATCATCCTGATCGATTGGATGGTACTCGAACCCCAGGCCAGCCTGCGTCGAGACACTGCAGTGACCTGTCCCTAGTCCTAGCGCGAGAATCTTCGTGGGCGTTCCCCCCTTAAGCCTGGTTGCCTTGGTTGACCGGGTCAAGCTGTCACAGGACATTGAATGGTCATTTCTGGACTGTCACTCGCTTTGGACTATCCGATGATACGGGATCTGTGGTCACATTTCCAATGACTGTGGCCAGTTTCTCACAGATCGGTCTTGCCGATCGGGTGTCTCTCGCAATCGGCAATTTGCAGAGTGTGATTGATATAGCGAATGTCGGGTCAGGTGTTCATCAAGATGGCGGTGTTTTCTTTTGCAGAGAACCAGCTCCGTCAACCCTTTGTACCTTGCTTCAGCCAGTTATGCGAGGCGAACCACCAGATGACGATGACAGCTGCGGCGATGAAGAATGAGATGAGAAACGCAATTGCACAGCCGCAGCAATAACTTCGTCGGGTTTTCTGTTGTTGCCGATCGATCCAGTAGTCACTGAGAAAAGAGAGCAAAAGGTCAGTGATGTGGAGATTCCTCCCGATGCCATTCCTGTATGTGATAGACATACGAAAGAAAGGTCTCCTTGTCGGCAGCTTTGGCCTCGTCCATGTGGACAGCGAGGGAGAAACGCCTCCAGAAGCCCGAGTCTCTGACGGCAGCCATCCTCGATTGGAAGTGAAAGAAAGGTAAATGAGTGAATGAGCAGGCAGTTGGTTGGTGATCCGACGAACTGGATGAGTGAGATATATGAACTTCGACGGGAGGTCGACGACGTATCACGAAGAGAAGATCAGGAAAGGATCGGTGAACCGGTGGAGCGAACACAGGAGAAGGGGGAGGAGGGGAGGGGGAAAGAGAGGAGAAGAAAAAACCCTTAGACCCTTAATGAGATGGGTTGTCGCCTGGAATGTTTGGTGTGCTCGGTCCAGAATGCCGCATTGCAAGAATGATGCAGTGGATCAGGCCCACTGTGGATGTATCATCTTCCTAGAGAAGTACTCCGTGTTTCCGTACAGGGTACCTGTCAGTTAGGTAGCCATTCATCGAAGAGGATAGATAGATGGTATTTTTAGCTTAATTGGCTACTATGTAGTACATTGTACTTCGTAGTAGCTAACTACCTAGTTAGTTAATACATATCTATTATACCAAGATTCGTCCCGGCAAGTCGGCACTGCTTACCTACGGAGCATATCCATGTACGGAGTCCTATTAACTAATAGCTAGCTGACATCGCTGATCAATAATGCCAGTATTAATAGTTTAGCGACTTTAGATGCCACGCGGCGTCCCACTTGTAATAATAAGCGCTTAATAGATTATCATCAACTATAGTCGAGAATGGTCGAAATAGTAAATCCTAATAGTATCATCCATGGATCGACCCGTCCGAATAAGATTACAGTTAGATGGGGGCTTCAAACTTTGTAGCTGTAGCCTTGTGTTTGTTACTATTTATTTGAATGCCTCCTTATTGTTCTAATTAAAAGTTCTGCTATTTCCTGGTGAACAGTCAAGGAAATGAGAGGGGGCAGTAAGGCAGTAGGGCAATAAGGCAGTAAGGCAAAGGCGATAAGGCAGTAAGGCAGTAAGGCGATAAGGCACAAAAAGACTCAGGCAACAATATGCCTGAGGCACCAGACACGCAAACACTACTCTTCACTCCATACTCTGTATGAGACATTGGTTCAAAAAATAAAATCCTAATAAAGAAAGACGAAAGCAAAAAAACCAAACGAAAGATCAAAGAGCCAAAACGATCTACGCAGGCAACCGTGGACAGCCACAGCCACCAGCAGACACAAGACTGACTCTTGACTCTCTCTCCTTTGCTCAATCTCCTGCCTCCCATGACCGTCTAACATTCTCCCGTCTCACCTCTCCTCTATTGCTGAGATACTGCATCCTCTCCAACCCATGAGGTCCTGAGCCTTGAACCCTTGACTCTTCTTCTGTGGTGTGACAGCTGTCATTCCCCCCCGCAGTGGTGCCTGACCGCCCCCGCCTCACTTGTTCCTGTTCCACGCCTCTCTTGACAACCACCTGATATCTGCTTACCACCACCGCGTTCCCTGACCGACCGACCGATTGAACCGACCGACAATTCTACAATTCTACATCTGAGGTTCAAATATCCTAGCCCCTGAGGTCTCATGTCACGCTGGCCGACTCCGACGCCCAGTCCACATGTCTCGCCCTGGCTCGCCCGGGTGGCTCGTCCAGTCTCGAACACCAACAACAACAACAACAACAACAACAACGCCAACAACTAGCTATGTCGACTGCAGGTGCCAGCAGTAGCAGCAGTAGCAGCTACTGGGGCATGCTGATCAATCCCGATAAGAGTCCCTCGCTGCTGCTCGAGCAGTTGTGTCGCGGTATTGCCCAACTCATGGTACGTCGTACGTCCTGAAGCGGTGGCGATCGACAGGCATCTTTTGGACCGCTGGTTTACTGACTTGACGATGGCTAGACCACCTTCGATGCCTACGAGACCTTCGATCTGCCCCCGGAGCGACTGGCGACCTTCTACCGCAAGGTGGGCGGCAATTATGACACCCTGTTCCTGGACACCAAGGGGCCCGCCCTCTCCTTCATCTACCAGTCGCTGGGCTGCTTCCACAGCCTGCAGCCCACCGACAACGCTTTTGAGCCCCCCTCGCGGCCCGCTCTGCTGCCCTGCGGCTTCGTACGCTGGCAGACCATCCAGCTGCTGCTGGATCCGGACGAGCATTGGGAATACCTGCAGCATGCCGTCGCCCAGTGGGATATCCCCCGCCCGGACGGCGGCTGTTTCCCCAAGTCCATCCCCCGTACCGCATTCCCCTCGGAACCAGACCCTGACATGGTTGCCTGGCACCACAATGTCTCCCAGCGCCTTGAATATGACTACTGGAAGCGAAACACACCCCACCCTTCACCACACCATACACCACCGGCCCCTGAAGAGCCGCCAATAACAGCAGCAACAGCGGCGGCGGCGGCGGCGGCGGCAGCAGCAGCAGCATCGTCATCATCCCATTTCTACTACCAAACGTCCACCAGTGCCCCGCAGCCGGAAACTCCCGATTACTTCACGACGGACCACCACCACCACCACCACCAGCAACAACAACAACAACAACAACAACAACAACAACAACAACAACAACAACAACAACAACAACAACAACACCATAACCATCACCCTCATGCTCACCAACCCGCTTCAGGGCCGCGCCGAAGTAATCCAGATATCAGGACGGAACGTGCAACCTCAAGGTCGAGGCGCCATCGACGGTATAGTTCCGATTACCCAGATTCTCCGCCGCAGCGGGCCGCCAAGGAGGAGGAGATCGAGGAAGAACAGGATGACGACCTGTCGATTGGTCTTAAGGAAAGGGTCAAGACAGGCTTTGTAGAGCCCAGAGCACCTACCCCTCCTGCTCCTGCTTGGACGGAGAGCTCGTCCAAGTCGCGAGGCCGAGAACGGTCATCATCGACCGTCCGACACTCCCAGAGCAGACAACCACCACAGCAGCCGCGGCAACAGCAAAACCACTACCACCACCACCACCACCAACAAAACCAATCACACCAACGATATCATGCGTCCCTTCCACCCTCCGACGCTTCTTCAGAGGATTCGGAACCCCATTCTCAGGAAGATCCGGTATTTGAGGAACGGTACCGGCGGCATCATAACCTCTCACTGCCCCGAGACACCCACGCTCGGCGTCATTCGCATGATGCAGCGTACAGCCGCAAACTGCAGCGAGACAGCTCTCCGTCATCCACGCAGCGCCGTCCCCACCGATCTGATCCCGCACATAGCTCGAGATCGGGGAGATGGCGCGATCAGCCTGATGTCCCCCCCCCGCCGCCCTCGTCTCACCGAACTGCTGCTCCTTCTGTGAGCAGCCATACAGCCCCCCCCAAGGTGTACAGTGAAGACCTGCCTCCGTTGAAGAGCTCAAACTCACGCTTCTCGGGCATCCATTTCCGGGATTACATCTTTGAGGATCCCTCCGCGGAACCAGCGCTGCATTCGCACGCCTACGCTCGGTACGTCAGCCCCAAACGGGCAGAGGGGTACGTGTCTTCTCGCCCGCGATCGAGCCAAATCGACCCGACCTTGGCCGCCGCCGACGACGTCCGCCGCAACAGTTACAAGAATGGGTCTAGTACGGTGGGCAACCGGTCTGGTAGCGGGGGAAGCGGTTCGGAGCGAACACGATCGTACAGCACCGCCGGCTTGAGCAGTTCCGCTGCTGCTGCTGTTGCTGCTGCTGCTGCTGCTGCTCGTCCCCAGCGATGGGACAGCCCTGCGCGCAGTTCCGCAGCCAAACGCTACACGCCCGGCGTGGCCCCAGTGGAGGATTACGAGTATTCCACTTCTACTCGTTCGAGGCGATCCGCCAAATACGACCGATGATCATCGCATAGAACGGAACTCCTATTCGGTCTAATTTATCTAGATGGTTGAATGATTTGTTTTATCCTTGATTTACACGCGACAGTTCCAATTGGACGGAATCTCTCTCTCCTCTTCTCCTTTCGTCATCCCCTTCGGCTTGTCTTCTTTTTCCATCTTTTTTTTTCCATCTCTTTTCTTCTTTTTTTTTTTTTTTCATGGAGTTTTGTTACGTGGGACGGAACTGATCTCTCCATTCGGCCTGTACAACAACGTGCGTTTGGACCTGATGTTTCAATTTTTTTTTTTTTCTCTTGGAGAGGGAGGGCTATTTTCTTGAGCTATACCGGTACCCCATGGCACCGACGATTTACGAGGCATGACTGATGACTATACATAACTACAACTTGAATTTGATTGTGACTTGTAACTGACGAATCGTCTTATGTAAGATTGGGTACGTACTACCTACTACCTACCTAGATACGTGTACTCCGTACCCATACTGTCAGATGGAGTATGATATGAGTGAGACAATCCTAAACCAAGATCGATCTCCACGAGACTTTCAAGTTTCTACCATGGATGTACCGAGTAATCGAACTATCTAGACGCAGATCAGGTTCCAGAAGGTTCAACGAGATTAAGAATAAATTAAGTACACTGTGGGGATGGACATTGCCCAAAAATTGGCCCCAGAGTATCCATGCAGTACTGTAGTATGTACCTTGTAGTTATATAAGTATTTTCACTAACTAATAACTAATAACTCTATCTAAAGCTGATAATAATCTAATACTATATCTGATAGCTAATACTATAGTCATACTCCGTACTCGTGGACTAATAGATAAGGTAAGACTAGTAGTCAAATGATGATCCCACAAGCCAAGTCGACGATTGCATCGGTGGCTGTCATCGGGTGTCTCATTTCGGGGTTTGTCCTTCACCGTTCACGCCAAGCATGGAGTAGCTGTAGGAACCGAACTTAGATGATCAACAAGGGCAGTATTAAAGATAGTAAAAAAAGTATTCTGCAGAGAAAAGAGGCAGATAATTATAAAACAGAAATAACCGATGGTTTCTCTCTTCTCCCCAGCTTCTATTCTGCAAGGCTACGTCAGATCGAAGCGGCCAGGCTCACGATGGGGTCTAGATCGGGATTTGGTGGCAAGTTTCTCTCTCTTTACCTTCCCTGCTAGGCCGGCTTAGGCAAGGCTGTGCCGATCGGTGCCACCTTGGCAAGTGGTCCGCTGGCTCCCTCTAGTCCGGAACCGGTGGATACGGCTGCCTACTTCGGTTAGACAGAGCCGCTTCTCCCAATGAATCCGGGCATGATGCAGGAGTGGGTTGCAGCGCGGGCTTGTGATTGGGTCTCGGTAAGTACCTGGGCACGTGTGGACGACTGGGGAATCGACCCAGATATCCCCCCCGCCAATCAACGTGTAGCCCCGCAGCTCCCAATACGGAACTGCCCCAACACGGAAGCGACT